CGCGAGTTTGCGCTGCTATTAATCGAATAGTTTCCACGCAATTAAAAGTCCGACACATGGCTACCACGCGATTCGTTGTGTTTTCGTGATAAAATATTATACGCGAGCTTTCCGTTATGTGCGTTAAAACGAGACGATACATGACTCGATGGCGATGGCGGCGATGGCGATGGCGATGGCGATGGCGATGGCGGCGGAGGTGGAGGTGGCGGAGGCAGAGGCGGAGGCGGTGGTCACACGCGTATACTCGTTTTTACGTCCGTGCGAAAACGCACATCGAGCCACTCTTAAATCTCAACGTTGTTACACCGAGTCGATTACGATTCGTTGCAATTTAAATTATGAGATAACTGGCTCGATTACACTCTATCTATCTCTCTATCTTTCTCTCCTTTCTTTCTCTTTTTCTTTCTCTTTCTCTCTCTCTCTCTCTTTTTCTCTCTTTCTTTCTCTTTTTCTTTCTCTTTCTCTCTCTCTCTCTCTTTTTCTCTCTTTCTTTCTCTCTACCTCTATTTCAACGTGAATCCTGCTTAACTTATTAACTTTTTACAAATAATATTTGTTTGTATGTATGTATATATAAAAAAAAAAAAAAATTAAAAAATTATATAATGTTTGTACGCAATTGAAATTGTGAAAATAAACTTTACTGCAGTCAATCACTCAATCTCTCACTCAATCTCTCTCTCTCTTTCTCTTTTTCTTAATCAGTTATCTGTTAAAAAAAAAAAAAAAAAACTTTTTTTTCTACAATTTATACTATAATTATAACTTGTAGTAAAAAAAAAGAAACATTGACTCATGAATATGAACCAACTGATACTTATTTCTGTCGGAAAAAACAAAAAAAAAACAAGAAGAAACGAGATAAGACATATGCATACATGTCTGAGTTAACTAAATAATTAATTTCGACGACATTAATCAAATGTGTATCTTGAAACAAATAAATAATTGATGAAGATATTAAATCAGAAAAAAAAAAGAAGAAGAAGCCGAACGTGACGAATGCCTGCAGATTTTTTCATCGAGTCTTTTTTCAAATTAAACGTAAAAAAAAAAAAAAAAAAAAAAAAGAAACTTTTTCAAATAAATCATCAATATTTATAATAAAATATCGATATGTAATATGAGTAAAGTAATACTAACGTAATCCTGCGGCAAGCAATCCTGATACATAATTATTTATATCGATATCATTTGTTTTACAAAATGCTTAACATTACTTAATAAAAATACTAACTGAATAAAAGTACTGAAGAAAAAAGGAAAGAGATAAAAAAAGAAGGAAAGAAAAAACCGACGAGAAAGAAGAGAATTTAACAAAAGTACCGTAACGTAATACGTCCGATAGAATAGTGATTGTGTGAGTCGTACTATATCTAATGGCGTGTTTCCTAATGCATTGTAACGATATGGAAAGCCACGGGGGAGCACACGGAAATAATAAAAGAAGTACCGCCAGGGCGTGTCGTCGGCAGGTCACGAGAGTGTAAAACGAGTACCTAGGTACGTTGAAAAATACGCCGTCTGAAATGTGATTAATAACGCTCAGTATAAGTTGACAAGCTTGCAACTAACATTGACTTCTTAATTCCGTGCTACATGGAAGAAAAAAAAAGAAAAAGAAAAAAAAGGAAAAGAAAAAAAAGAAAAAGAAAAAAAAGAAAAAGAAAAAAAAGAAAAAGAAAAAATATTTCCGACACGTAATACGTATATAAGGTACGTATATATGGCTCTTTCGATTTAGCTACGATAATTGAAAAAAAAATTTCTTTGAAAATCGTTTTACCTTAATTTTTTTAATTATATTCTATAACACGACAAACAAATTAATACACGCGCACGCGCACTCACCACACACATACATATATGTTAAATTATTATTAAAGCACGTTTATATCGATCTTTCTATACAAATATAATTCAATTATACAAAATATTAATAATCGAATTAATACATATATCGATAATAAAATGAACGTAAAATTATTATATATAAAAAAAAAAGAAAGAATAAAGGAAAATAATAAATAATTTCCATCGCATATTAACAATTGAAAATTTGTTTCTCTCTTTTATCGATCGTTCTTCGCAAAAAAAAAAAAAGAAAAGGAGAAAAAAGGAAAAAGAAACTATGAAAAGTGATAGTCGAAGAGAGTCTCTTTCGAAGATTCATTCTCCTGCAAAATATTATAGAAAGAGATAGAAAGAGAGAGAGAGAGAGAGAGAGAGAGAGAGAGGGAGAGAGAGAGAGAAAGAAAGAGAGAGAAAAAGACAAGAGTACAAAGCGTATATTATGCGAGCTGTAGTAGGGTGGTAAGAATGACGGTGCTAGTGGATGAACGTAGTCGGAAAGAGGAGGATAAATGAGCCGGAGACTAAGGGCAAAACGTCGGATAATTAGTTTCTTGATCCCGAGACAGTAGGCGACACAAAACACGAAGAAAACGAGTATCTCTAAGAATTCTAATGTCACTACTGTTGTGTGACAACTGTCGTTCTTGTTCTTTGTCTATCTAAAATGTGTGCTGGCGACGTTACTTGGAAAAAGATTAAAAATGAATACAAATAACTTAATAACTTAAAAAGAAATATAGATAAATTGTACGTGTTTACGAGTTTCTTATGTTAATAAATTAAAATCTTATAACAATTTGTTCGTACGTATCTAACTATCAAAAATACAAAACGTCGTTTAATCTCTGTAGAAAAATGTAATAATTATTAGAAAACCTCTCGTCAAAGATTCGAGCAATTTCGTTGAATAACAAATAGGAAAGAATATGCGATCCCTTCGAATTTCCACAAATTACTGACCTAACCTCAAATGTGAACTTAAAACGTTCAATGTTCCTAGGCATTTTACAATGTTTATTTACGTTTAAGATTCGATCTCATCTATATCCTTCACATTTCCTAAAACTTTATATAGGTACCTATTATCTCGAAAAAAAACAGTTTTATCGTAAATTATCTCTCTCTTTCTTTCTGTCATTCTTTGTCTCTCTTTCTCTCTCTATCTCTCTCTGTCATTCTTTGTCTCCCTTAACCTTCTCTCTATCTCTCTTGCTCTTTCTATAACATTATATAAATTTGAAGTCATACGCTCTAACATACACACACACACACACACACAGATTTTTGAAATATAATTATTTCTCACGATAAAATTAATTACATACATACATGTATAATGTTCCTACATTAATACATAGATATATTCGATGATTAATAAAATAATTAAATACCTACTTACATAGGTATATAAATCATAATATTGAAAGTGATTTAAATGATAATAAAAAATAATTATTCATAACGTAATTATCTTAATTGTAATTATCGTAAATTATCCTAATGCTAAAGGAAAAATAATATAATTGTGTTAAATATTATTTAGGGTAAAAAAATATTTCCGAAGTCGTTAGTTCGTTCACGGGCATGAATTTCAAGAATGTCTTCATTCGAGATTCGATTAAAAATTGTGACATCGCGGGACATGAATCAGTTCTATATATCGAATATCCTCATGCCGAAAGGTCTTCCTTACGTCGGATAATGTCCGGATAATGCGCTCATTTAAATGCATGCTAGCCGAGCATTACTTCATGTTGGTAAGCCAAGGGCTCGAACAAAGAAAGAGAGAAAGAAAGGAAGACAGACAGTCAGACAGAAAGAGAGAGAGAGAGAGAGAGAGAGAGAGAGAGCCAAGTGTATTAGGTCTGATCACAATAATAGCACCCTTTTCTCTAGAAACTCTTCTTTTCCTTCATAAAGTACTTAACCTTTGGAAAGAGAGTACACTTATATCGAAGACGTAAAAAATCTTTTTCGATTTCGATTCGTCCATTAGAAATACGAAATTAACATACGACAACGTCTCGTATCTAACAAAAGTATAGATATTATCATTTTGTAAATGTAAAAATATTTACCCATGATATATAGCGAATCTAACAACAAAAGCTTTTGTCTAAAGGAACGAGAAGGCTAATAATGTGGTTAATCAATGGTCGAGCTATGCCACCTTCTCTACGTTTGCTACATTCCGACCGCTGACAATTTCGCAGGGACCTCGAAAATCAGCGCGATCTAATGGACATAATATTTCTCGTTGACCAGCCACGATGTCCTTTGAGTTCCGTTCAAAGCTTACCATAGAATATATATGTACTATATATATATATATGTGTGTGTGTGTGTGTGTGTGTTATAATTTATATATCTAGATAGGAGGCGGTGGTATAACAGAATTATTTATTGGCCCAGAAACCGATATTTATTAAATATTTTTGAATAATACGAATATAATAAAAAAAGGAATATTATCATGTTTTCCAGTTTCTTGAATCGATTTAGTACAACGAGATATATATATATATATATATATATATATATATATATATATATAACTTATATGTATCCATTATGTATGGGAAAAGCCGTATGCATGGCATTGCCGTTGCCATTACGTCCCATCAGAAACATATCCACACTTTGTTGATAGATATACCTAACCAACCCACGGTTCGTACAATTTTCTCGACAACTACGACCTATGACCACTCGAAATTCCATCAAGCATTTCCAACAACGGAAGCAACGATCCCAACAGCTCTACGTTTGACAAGCCTGTTTTCCTGCGTTTCACTAGCGGTCACCCTCGGTGTGGCCTTTACGTGCGAATAACGTTTTGCTTAGTTATTTTCATATATATATATATATATATATATATATATATATATATATACACACCATTCTCGAAGTTATACGAAATCCAGCAAATACAGTAGAATCTACCACCCTTTAACTCGATTTCAAATAAGAAGATATATATTATCATAACATTCATCTGTGTTTTTTCTCTTCTTTTCTTTCCTTTTTCTTCCCCCTTAAATATCAAAGAACAATCTCTATTGTGTTGTGTTCTAACATTTTCGATCAAAGGAAAAAAAATAAAAAAAAAAAAAATAAAAAAAGATCGACAAGTTTGAAGGAAAAAAAAAAGCTACATAATTCCATAAGAAAATTTCACCAAAACTCAAGATCTTTGTTTTGTTAAATGGATGAAAGAGAAAACAATATAAAGAATGCGACACGTTGGTAGTACTCTTGAGAATGCGTTTACGGCATGTTGGATAGTCGATCATGCGTTACTAACACGCTTTCCTGCCGGTTACTCTTCGGTTCTTTTGACATTCCATTATGCAAAATCGCTGTTCCCAAGCGGAAGTAAATGCTGAATGACGCGTAGACGATTTCACGGCGACGTTACATCGTCGGAACGCATCATTTCAGGCGTCGATTAAATCGTGATGTAAACTAAGTAATATATATACATACATATGTACATACATTCATACATATGTATATTTATTTAACAATGGAATAAAAATAAAACGGGGTAAAAAAAAGAAAAAGAAAAATTTCACTGATCATCAATTATCCTATTTTTCTTTAAAATTTACCTTAAAAAATTTTCCTTAAAAGATTACGATTTGATGGTATGTGTAAAAGACAGAAATAGAGAGATAGAAAAATAAATAGATAGATAGATAGATAAATAGATAGATAGATAAAGAAAGAGAGAGAGAGAGAGAGAGAAACGTGCACGAATAAAATTATGTATACTTCTAATAGATATTTGCAAATTTTTCATTTTCAACCTGTTAACAAAATCATATCAAACAAAAATTTCACCTATTTCCCGATAAAAGAATAAATATATTATTTGTTTCTTGTTCCAATAAATAAACAAAAAAAAAAAAAAGAACCATTATATCGATGCCAAATTCTATTTCTTTTACAATTCATTAATCCATTTATCAAAGTTTCCTGATCTCCATCCTCAAGTCAAATTTTATTTTCGTTCTATCGAAAGAAATTTCATACGTATGTACATATGTACATATGAATCGATTCACCGATCGAAGGATCTTTCTCCTTGTAATAACAGATTAAAAAATGAAATAGTTTTATAGAAATGCATTTGAATGTTCTTGAAAACTCGTTAACACTCGTTCAAAGTATCACGTGTGCAGTATGGCCAATGAAAAGTGTAAAAAAAAAAAGATGGAAAAAGAGAAAGTGAAGATAAAGATTTGGTTAAGAAAGAAGGAGGAAATCGCTAGGATTTTCAGAAAAGAAACTCAGAGAAGGATGACGGATGGAGGGCAGGAAGCGACACAGGAACCGGAACCTATTACTTCAGATAACAACTTCCCTGAGGCTTCCTTTCCTTTCCTTCCCTTTCCTTTCCTTTCCTTTCCTTTTCCTACACGACTACCCTTTAAACTCGATATACGCGTACACATATACTTTCACACATAGAAATAGAAATAGAAATAGAAATAGAAATAGAGAAAGAGAGAGAGGACTACACACTCTACGATCTCTGCAACCCGAATCCGGAAATTTAGCACTCCTTTTGCCATTTTGCCGGCTCTCGTGCAACTGGTGGCCTCGCGATACCGTCGGACCATCCAAACGCGAGTAGAGAATTTTAGGATAAGCCAGTGAAAAGCCGACCAACGTATATACCAACGTATATAGATATTATATATATATATATATATATATATATATATATATATGTCTATGTATCTACCTATCTCCTACATTAGCATGTACTACGAAATCGAGATTTAATTTGATGCAAATCGGCTAAACGAGGGATAATAGAAATGAATTTCTATTTAAAACTAAATAATCCTAAAGGTACTTTTGAAAACTTTTTTCTCCCGAAATAATGACTACTGTTTAATAAAATTTAAATTAAAGATTCAACGAGACATCGTTCGTACTTAATAAAAAGTCTAAATAAATATATACATATTGGATTCGTATTTACATGTTGCAATATAAGAAGGAGTACGGAATGAATGAGTTAACGTTCAAACAGAAATGTTGAAATGGAAATTTGGGGACGGATCATCGAGAGTACGAGAACGAGGATAACGACGACTATAGCAATACACCGTTTGACGGCCTCTTCCTAAATGGACTTCGAGCGGGTTACCCAACTGTTGCGCCTTCATCAGAAATTTATGCAGAATCCTCGGTTAACCGTCCCGGCCAATCAGCTTTGTAACGAAGCTAACGTCGTACCGACAAGGGAACGAAGAGAGTAGTCTCGGAACACACTGACGCTGTGATTTAGTAAAAAAGAAGACCTTAAATATTTCATTGAGCCCGTTTGAATGTGTATGTGTATATGTGTGTGTAGTTGTATGTGTTTTTCGTTGTTGTTATTCTTGTTCTTATTCTTCTTCTTCTTCTTCTTCTTCTTCTTCTTCTTCTTCTTCTTCTTCTTCTTTTTCTTCTTCTTCTTCTTCTTTTTCTTCTTCTTTTTCTTCTTCTTCTTCTTCTTCTTCTTCTTCTTCTTCTTCTTCTTCTTCTTCTTCTTCTTCTCCTCCTTCTCCTTCTCCTTCTACTACTTCTTCTTCTTCTTCTTTTTCCTCCTCCTCCACCTCCTTCTCAACTCGACAATGTCCAAAGTTAACTCGATTAAATGCCAAAAGTTACGACAAAACTTCCGTTAAATTTTCATCAGGATAACGAAATACTAAGAGAGAGAGAGAGAGAGAGAAAGAAAGAGGGAGAGAGAGAGAGAGAGAGAGAGAGAGAGAGAGAGAGAAAGAGAGAGAGAGAGAGAGAGAGAGAGAGAGAGAGAGTTTAATACTGGCTGAGTTCAAGTGAATATCAAAAAGTGAAGATAAGGAAAGAGAAGTTCGTTCGAATCGGAAGGACCTTATTTTTTTTTTTTTTTTTTTTTATATATATATTCTTTTCTTTTTCTTTGTCTGATTATACTCACCGACCAATGCCAGAATCACCGTTAAAAGGGATGCGGCTGGAAACGACACCGGCATGTTGAATTCCAACATTTGTAGGAGATCCACTATAACAGAACGGAAACGTAATATCGATTAATGGGCTTCGGCGTTCTAGTTGACGGCAAGTATGCTCTCTTTTTATGTCACTGTTTCGAAAAAAAAAAAAAAAAAAAAAAAAAAAAAAGAAAGAAAAGAAAAAAAGAAAGAAAAAAGGGATACATACAGACGAAAATATTTTGCAAGGTATTTTTTTCTTTTTCTTCTTTTTCTTCTTCTTCTTCTTTTTCTTCTTTTTTTTGTTATGTTTCCTTTTTTCTTTTTCTTTTCTTTTTCCTTTTTCTTTTTTTTGTTGTTCCATTGGAACATTTTTATAAATAATTCATTATAAAGATTTCTTAATAAAGAAATACATTGAAACGATGAGAAACAGGTATGATAAATAAATAAATAAATAAATAAATAAAATACGCGAGATAATGAAATGTAATCAGAATAAATGAGCTAACAAGATAACTATAAATATAATAAATGATTCATGATATCGTTGAAATACATAGAACGCGATGCTTCCGATGAAACATTATATCATCGACATCGCCGATGCCGCCCAAGCCCCGTCAGTATCTATGAATTTAATATTTATTAGATTTCCGGCGCGAAGATCTCGCCTGGCAGCAGGTTATTACGAAAGTGGAGCATTCTGGAGGCATCGAGGTCGAAGCGTTCAAAGAGACGGGGGACACTTCGAAACTCGATAAAAATTAATTTTAAAACTTTGTCAATCTTGATTTAAATTCTCTCAAAGTTCGTCCGTACGCCGTGATGGAACCAAAATCCGTACAGAGTAATTCTAGACGAACTAATACGTTGGTCGATGTATTTCTATCTCTATCTCTATCGCTCTCTATCTCCCTCCCTCCCTCTCTCCGTCTCTCCGTCTCTCTCTCTCCCTCTCTCTCTCTTTGATCATCGAACGCACGACATTAAAAATGGACGAATAATAAGAAAGTAAGAGCATAAAAAGATTTTACAAAATACAGACATGAGTTCAAAAGTTCCTAGGTAATTTTAAAAATCAATAATTATGCATTTCTTCCAAACTTTTTAGGCTAATTGTTTTTTTCTTCCATTTTTCTTCCCCTACCCCCCTTCCCCAAAACGGTTCCAGAACATCTTTCAGAAGTTAGACTCTTGTAGTTTTAATAATCCGGGAAAATAAAGGGAAAAAGGTGGGAGAAATTAGATCAGCCTGAACAATCTTGAAAAAGGGGAAATCTGAAAAATCACATACCAACTTTTGGCTCATCTAAAAACTTTTAACTTACCCTATTTATAAAAGGAAACAAATTAACGAGCTCATATGAGATAAAATAAAAAACGTTTCAATTGCGTTACGAACTAATCCATGTTTCTTTTGTTGGTTTTCTCTCTCTCTCTCTCTCTCTCTCTCTCTCTCTCTCTCTCTCTATCTCTATCTATTTATCTATCTATCTATCTATCTATATCTCTCTTTCTCTCTTTCTCTTTTCCATGCATCGTCGTCCCTGGTGTCCTTCTTTTTTACGATACGACCTGCATCGTCGGTTACAAATTTTCTCGACAGTCCTGGAGATTCAATGAATTTTAGATTTTAAGTTATCGCCGACTAACTGCCGTTCCCCCGTTGGTTATTAAAAAAAACTCCATGGCGTCTTACTTCGTCCTCCCCTCCCCCTTAGTTATATACCACGATTTTCTACGATATAGCGACCACACTACTATCTCGTTTACGGCATACTAACATCTTTCTTTTCTTTTATCCTTTTTTCTCTGTTCTTTTTTCCTCCTTTTTTTTCTTTTTCTTTTTTTTTTTTTTTTTTAAGGTCAACAATATGCGCGTCCTCTTTGCTTCTAACTCCTCGCTCACATACTTTTCCATGAAGATAATTCGAAAGAATTTGCAAAAGAAAATCGAAGCAAACATGCAAAGAACAAAAAAGAAAAAAGAAAACGAAGAAGAAGTAAAAAAAGGAAAGCGGGTTAAACACTCGACGAACATTCGCATTGATATCGATACACTCGAGACAATTATATATTTCGATTAGAGTTCGATGACACTAAGAAGTTTAATACAAAAGTCACGTTCCACATTTGCGCATCAAGTCATTGCTTTATCTTATCTTCCATGCCAACTCATATATGTTTGTTGTTATTATTATTATTATTTTTTTTTATTATTATTATTATTATTATTATTATTATTATTATTATTATTATTATTATTAATATTATTATTATTGTTCTCCTTCTTTTTAATGACCTCTCTACATACATACAACACAACACAGCACACACAAACAGAATGATATTTTCAATGTATATTCCATTCCTGTCATCGATCATAAAGATTTCAAGATATTCGAGTTTGTCATCGATCAACGTTCAAAGTAATATCAAGATCATATTGGTAAAATAAAATAAAATAAAAAACGTCGAGATAAAATAAAATATCTATGTATCAACGAAATGATAACGAGAAAGGTAACTTTTTTACAAAGATTCGTACGGCTCGATCTGATAGAAAAAACAGATAGTAAAGCTTAAATTATAAGAAAATAATAACTCAAAAATAAGCATCGATGGGATATAAAAGATGAGAAAAACTTTGACAGAAATTGGTTTAAGTGAAACATCCGAAATTCTAAGGATAGAACGCGAAGATAAAGAGATATATATATATATATCTCAATATACATATATATATATATATAGAGAGAGAGAGAGAGAAAAGATCCAACGAACATGAGAGAAATAACGCCGATGTTTTTCCATGCAAATTTATATTTCAAACGATTACCTTACGAAAATAGTCTTCCGTAATCTAACTGTTTAAACAACCAGACAATAATTTTTACATTTACTCTATGCTCTCTTAACTGCGTATAGGCCGCAACCACTAATTTCTCTCTCTCTCTCTCTCTCTCTCTCTCTCTCTCTCTCTCTCTCTCTCTCTCAATTATATATACATATATATTTTATTTGACTAATCTGTCTTTAGATTTGTTTGATGCAACTCTCCATACCACCCTCTGATGCGCTAACCATTTCATCTATACATAACTACTATAATCTAAATCTACCCTAATCTGTTTATCATAAGCATTCATGCCTTAATCTCCTCTCTCTCTCTCTCTCATTCTCTCTCTCTCTGCCATTTTTATTTCACCTATTTCCTTCCAAAACAAAGTTAACAATTTATACACAAATATAGACATATCTTTCGTTTTTTTCCTTCTTCTTCTTCTTCTTCTTCTTCTTCTTCTTTTTTCAGACTCATAGGGAGATCGTCCTAACGAAACAGAGCATCTCCGAAGCGCGTTAGTCAAACAAAATGACAAATTTAACATCCCCTTTCAGCCGGTCTTCTGGTTCAAAGATAAAGTCAAACGGTACGAAGGTACAAAGCGATATTCCAGGAAGTTGGCAGAAGCTTTGAAGAAGAAACTTAGTTCGGGGACGTACACATGCAGAGGCTGAGAGAGAGAGAGAGAGAGAGAGAGAAAGAGAGAGAGAGAGAGAGAGAGAGAGAGATAGAAACGAAGATAGATAAATAAATAGATAGATAGATAGATAGATAGATAGATAGATAGATAGATAGATAGATAGATAGATAGATAGATAGATAGATAGATAGATAAATAGATAGATAGATAGATAGAGATAGAGAGAAAAAGAGAGAGAGAGAGAGAGAGAGAGAGAGAGAGAGAGAGAGAGAGAGAGAGAGAGAGCACATCTGATACCGAAAGGAAGGAAACGACGGAGAAGATATCGACTTAGAAGATACCTTTGCTCTCATGGATGTTTGTCGACTATCCTGTGAACTTGCTCGATTTTGCCAAGGGTCAAATTTATGTGTAACCAGGGACAAACGGTTCTATATCCTGCAAACAATCGAACTCTCTTTTTTCTTCTTTTATATATATATATATATATATATATATATATATATATATAAACTTAAAAGATCAAATGGCGCAGTGTAACGTGAAAAATATGATCCTTTGCAAGATAAGCCTACCTGCTTTCGCTACCAGATTAGATCTTCGAAAATCAAAGGTATTCTTACTGCCGATATCTCTATATCATTCCGTAACTCACAATCTCAAAAGATATTCTCAAATCAAAAAATACAAATCATTATGAGTACTTTTCTGTTATCTTATCATTTTTTGATTAATTGATAACTCTGAATCATCTGTTTCCAAAGATATCTTCAAAGATTTCTTGATTATCAAGAATTTCTATTCTATCAACGTATTTAAAACTACGACCATAGGCTCGCTCTGTAAGCGTGTATTCGTTCTTAAAATGTATAAATATGTAACTCGCATCACGCACGACTCGAATTCAATTAATGTAGAGGTTACGTCTATCAGTATCGCGTCTCTCATCTTATCGCGTTTATCTCGCAAAAACAATAATGATCTAACGCATGGAAACGAGTAATAATATATTGATCGTTTTAATGTTTCTTTAAAAACAAAAAGAGAGAGAGAGAGAGAGAGAGAGAGAGAGAGAGATTATTTCTCTTGAAATAATCATACACGTTACACAATTCGTATTAAAAGAATTATTATAGTTAATGTTTTAATTAATTTAATTATTAAAAATACAATGTATAATTATAATAACATCATTATCAATTATTAGATTAAAGAAAAATTGCAAGATATATCGCTCTAATACGATAGAAAATGACTTGATTGAACGATTTATGAATATGTATGTATATCTATATGTATAGGTATATATATTGTATATATGTATTTCCTCTTCTTGATCTCTCACATAGCTTGTCAGTAATGCGCAATTCGAAAATGTCGATACAGTTCAATACAGTGAATCGTGAATACTCGTTAGCGAATATTATCCTCATTATCAGGCATTAAGCCTACTGTTCAAGCTGCAATAGTGCTTATGGATTTACGTACGATTAAAAAAAGTCAACATTAACGTATAAAGCTATTTAACACGGTTTGAGAATCGTATCGACGAAATCGATCGATTAATTCTAACGGATGGATATCTGTCAGTAAATATTTAGATAACGAATTAAGGGAAACAATAAAAGAAATTATTTTTAAGTAACTGGATCTTATAAATTACAATCTCTTTTTCTTTTTTATTTTTTTATTTTTTCTTCTCTTTCTCGTCAATTCTTTCTTTGTTCCAAATTGATCCAAAATCCACCTTTGATCTTTAGATTGAACGAATTGTTATCAAATACGACAGGATCGATCGTTTTACTCGTACGTTTGATAATAAATTTCTTAAGAATATTTACTATAACTATTTTCGTTTCCATCAGAGCGAAACGTTCACCAATACATCTTCTAGGGCCCATGCCGAATGGTAAATAAGTATAAGGAATAATATTCTGTTTGTTTTCTTCGCTGAATCTTTCCGGATCGAATTTTTCCGGATCCGGGAAGTATTTCGGATCGTGATGAAAACCGAAAGATGGTATCCAAATTGATGTATTAGCCTCAATGATTATCTCTTTGCCATTTGGTAAAGATGGAGGAATGACCGTACGTTTGGCACAAAGCCTATCGAGAAAAATGGCAGGAGGATATTTTCTTAATGTCTCGTTTATAATCATTTCCATGTATTCCATCTTAGAAAGTTCCTCGTAAGTGAGTTCACCGTTGGTCCGAAGCAATACTTCGTCGATTTCCTGACGCAATCTATCTTGAATTTCTTGATGCACCGCCAATTCGTGTACCATAAAACACATCAATGTCGAAGACGTGTCAAAACCAGCCAAAAAGAAGATGAAAGCTTGAGCTACGATATCTTGGATATCCAAATTACTGGATTCTTTATCTCTTGCTTGCATAAGCAAATGAATCATGTCCGGTCTAATGATACCCTTCTCGTCGCGTGCCTGTACGGTCTCGCGTACTATATCGTTGAAGAATTTAGCCGTAGATGGAGTTAAGAAGCCGATTCCTATTAATTTCATGAATTTAGGACAAGTACGCAATAAGGTGAACTTGATCGCGTTCAATAACCCATCGAATTTAGTTGATTCGACACCCTTTCGAAAAAATATATTATCCCTGTTCTTCATCGAATTCACCGAAATACCAAAAGCTACCGTCGCTATTACGTCGTTAGTATATCTTGTAAAAGCATCCTTCATTTCGATTTCCTTCGCTGCTTCCGGATGATCGACGAAATAATTCACGAATTCGTTCGAACATTTGGAAACGAGGTCGAACATAAATCTCATTTTACTTGCTGTAAAGGACGGGCTTAAAGTGTTCCTCATTTCCTTCCAACGTTCACCACGTAATGAAAAAATATTTTTACCGAAAATCGGATCTATAGTTTCGTCCACGAAACCACGATGATCAGGAAAATGATCGAATTGTTTCACCGTTATTTCCTTCAATAATTCAGGATCACGTATTATCAATAATGGCCTTGAAAAATCCATAGAGCCCACGTACTTCGCACCTGGTAATGTCTCATATATTAGTACATTTAACTCTTGAAATGACTTTCGGCCAAATAAAACCGTCCAATTGAATCCGAAAAAAGGATAATTTAGCGTCATTGGTACACCCTTTTTCTTCCAATATGTAAATTGAAAATATAATAAAGAGATCGTTTTTATCGCTATAATCGCGATCAAAGTAGTTAAAAGTATATAAAAACTGGAGGATGATGAAAAAGACAACTCCATTTTGACGGACGTCGAATAATAAACTACTGACAGCTCTCCAACGATAAGCTACACTGCTATGAATATGAAGACAACTTCGTCAGGGATTTTTATCTTTCTCTTGATCAAGAGAAGTAGAAGAGAAGGGGAACGGCAAAATAAGCGAGAGAGATAGAGAGAAAGAGAGAGAGAGAGAGAAATATCTGACGTAACAGCTAAACAATCATTACGTCAGAATGCCGTTTATCTGTAATGATAGTTGCGATGCCACAGATCGTATTCTTTGTATTCTATTCTGAGCGAGATATGCGCATATACGAACATTTGCTTTCACAGTACAAACATATCTAAACTATATTATTAAATTTTAATGGACCGAAGAGATCGTGTCGGAATAATTAATACATAAACATAACGTAGTATTCAAAATAGATGATTATTTAATAAAGCAAAAAAGAAGACACAAAATCTATCTTACACATTAGAGACATGAAATAACTACGCCTTTTTTTTTTTTTTTTTTTTTTTTTTTTTTTTTTTTTTTCTACACGAAAGATATATATTCGACATTACCTTGAATAATAATAATAATAATAATAATAATAATAATAATAATAATAATAATAATAATAATAATAATAATAATAATAATAATAATAATAATTATCACTTACCGATAAAAACGAAGATCTGATGATGAGAATAACGAAGCAACATCGATATCGACACGGTCTGAAACAGTGACAAATATTACGTCGTAAGAACATCAATATATGTAAATCGATCTCAGGATTTAAAAGAACAAAGAAAAAAAAATAGAAAAAGAAAATAAATAAAATGAGCCAAAAAGAAGACGCGATTTTTTTCAAATTTCCTTCGTAAATAGAAAACTGATATATCTCCGCAATGGTTATCGATAAAATGATTTTCATCGATATATATACATATAAAATAATAAAATATTAAATAATGTATAATTTTTTAAATAATAAGTAATTATATATATAATTATATAATATATTTCATATATATATATATATATATAATATATATGAAAATATATATATATATTATTCATATATATTATATATATATATATACGAATATATATATATATAATATATATGAAACAAAAATCATTCTTTCTATCCTCAAAGGATCTTTACGAGCTGCATAAGCTGTAACGCACAGATTCCTCCTCCAGGCTTAATTCTTCCTTGTATAGTCGAGTTTAGTTCGAGCACAGAGTTGTTTTCATTATGTAGGATACTATCTCGCGTTAGAATAGAAACGAAGTTAAAGAGAGAGAGAGAGAGAGAGAGAGAGAGAGAGAGAAAACACGTTAACCTTTACCGTACAACAGGGTCTGGATCGGGGGTTGGATTTGCTTCTGTTAATATTTCGTAGAGGCACAGTAGTTTCAACAGTAGCAAAGCGAGTTGGCGGCTCTGAGAAAGGTTTAGCATCGAGTAAATTGAAAAGCGGGACGGTCGCACTCGGTTACCGGGTTGAACGAATGATGCAATTGTATTTCGACCCGTAGAAATTGAAGTACCACCTGACACCCTACCGAAGATAATCTACTATCGAGCGATGCCCAATAACTGCAAACGAGGACGCATCCATCCCTTATCGAGAAATTCTGCTTGGAAAATTGTTATCGACCTCTTCTTCTTTTTCTTCTTCTTCTTCTTTATCATCATCTTCTTTATCTTCTTCTTCTTTTTTTTGCTTCCTATCTCTCTTTTTTGATAATTGTCGATAATACGCATACGCCATATTGAAAATTAATATTCCATTGTTTTTAACGCACTTCCGTACATTATTTCTATTAATCTATAAGCTATTTATAACTTATAATTACTATCTACTAATCTATAACATTTCTACAACTATTTCAATTGTCATTCGCACAATCACCAATTTGGACAATAGAATTATACTCGTACAATTCCTATTATTACAAATAACAAAACAAAATTATATTCGTACTTATTAAAATAATCAATTAAACGTACGATACCACCGATCGTAAATAGATACGATATTATCCTTAAAAAAAGAAGATCCTATTCTCTTCCTTCTTGATCAATTATAACAATCGATAACGAAGATTGCCGAACGAAACCGAATAAGATATATGTATGTCAAAAAACAACAATGGCCGCGTATGATATAAAAATTAATAAGGAAAATTAAAGGGATTTCGTAAAACGGTTAATGAACGGGATAAATTTTGAATGACGGCACAAGCATCGTATGCACATGACAGTACGAATATAGGTGTAATATATACAGCCAACGCGAGACAACAGTTCTGTACACGTGACCATGTATACTGTGTAGAACGTTTGAGGAGAAAGGGAGGAAGGCGGTACATTCGAAGGTAAAGCACCTTTAAAGCGAATTCACGTGTAACAGCACGAGCGTAACTAGAACTCTCCCCCTCTCTCTCCACCCCACCATCCCCCATCCCTTTTCTGTTACTTCTCGGTTACTACAAATCGAAGCATTCGTAAGAGTCAATCCATACAATGGACGAAACTCGACAAAAATCTTCCGACTATGAATATACCTGAAATATATTAGATTTTTGATTCGTCAAAGATGGGAAAAGGAAAAATCTTCTTCTCTCAAATATTTCCGAAAGTTGGAGAAAAAAAATACATTAGAAGATCAAGCTGTATAATTAAAATTGATCCTAAACACGTCCGGAACGATTCAATTTGATTTTATGTCAATGAGAATTCCTAACAAATATTGTAATTCCGGTCATGGGATAACACGATGTATTTCATGACAATTTGATACAAAATTACCGGCCTGGGGCCACCACAACGAATATGATGCCCCCTAATAACGTTGATTTATACCACCGGTTCAACTCCAAAGGGATCGCTATGATGAGGACTGGGGAGGGTAGAAAGTCTATGTGCGAGTTGCCTCGCCGGGTGGTTAGTTTAAATTGATTGCCATATCCTTTTACACACCCTGCTCTATCGTGTAGGTAATCTGACGGAAAGGAATAACTCTGCATCGAAAACGTATACGTGAAAGTAAATTTAACTTGAGTCTTCGTACGGTATTACCTTTCCGAACGATACATCAAGAGCTCACTTTTGATGTCAAACGTCAACGTGCCATAGCGATCCGTCTCACGAAATGACAAAAAAAAAGAAAGATACAAATAAAAAAGATGTGACCCCTTCTATCATTTCATAAAAGAAATTAACAAAGATTCGCTTATTTAAAGTATTAAGAAATAGGAAGGACGATATTAAAGGCATACATATAAATGATACTTACGAATACTAGCATGATAAAAAATGCAGCGAGATACGAAGTTTTTGCCATCCACATGCTAACGAAACGATAATGTTCACCGGTTACAACATTTCTGAAAGAAATGATAATAAAACGAATAGAAATTTATTTATTTCATATATGTATTTCTTAATAGATACTTATTACATTAAAATATTTTACTTACCTTAAGAAACCTTTATTATCTTCGTGCTCTGCTAATGTCTTAATACTTGCCATTAGCAGATCATCATAACCCAAGAATTCATCCAGTATTAATCTTGAAAATGCATCTCCAAAACATTTATCATTTACCGGATCCAACGTAACAATTTTCACTGGTATTTTTAATCTTTGTCGTGCAGCAGGTGATAATCTCAGAAAGCCATATTCCAAGGAATATTCCACAATATATCCATCCTCTGGAAGTACTAATAACAGATTAGTAATATCCAAAAGTAAATAAACATTTTATAGATATAGATATTTTTCTAAATCAGCATTAATAATTATATAAATATTTACCTGTTCTTGATACTTTCTCGACATCCGCAGAATGATCTTTTAAAGGCTGAATCACTTCGTCTTTATCAGATTCTTGTTCCAGCGTTGCATTATCCTGTTGTACATTTATCAGTTGTAATATGTCTAACATATGTTTAATTGATGTCTAAAATAATGTTGTACCGATATTGACAACTTCGTTTAATACAAGTCTTTCATTTAAAAAAATCTCTTTCAAAAATTCTTAAGTATACCTCTGACCCGGGTCCATTCAATCCATTTAAAAATCCATTTAATGACGGGCTTCTCGTTGCATTCGTTGTACTTAAATTCGGATATTGCGTTTCTCCAAAAATTGTTGAACTCGTTATGTCCACACTTTTTATAGGTAAAGTAACATTTTCGTAGTTATCTTCATTAGACACATGAATTGTTTCTTGCCCTTCATCGACAGAAGATGGCTCGATATTTATAAACCTATTAAATAATTATCTACTATAAAATAAAAAACAATCTACTATTTTATGATCAGGATAGAAATTATCATAAATTTAAATTAAGATTATCTAAAATTTTAAAATTATTTATTAATATTTTAAACTTTATCATAACTAACATTGTATACATATGTTGTCATTTTTTTTTTTTTTTATAACTACCATACTTACCCATCTTGTGTCAATATCCCTAAATCACTAGCCAAATCATCGATCTTTTCTTGTCGTAACTTTTCCTCTTTCGCATAACTTTTTTCTATGCTATAATCTTCGCCTCCATTTCTAAGAATTTCTACCCTTAATATACCGTCTCGTGGCCAATCATCTCTTATGTGTTCTAAACAATTTGTTGGTGCTCGCGAAAATACTATGTGAATATAAGTGAGTACAAAAAAAGCCAGTATTGCCTAAAAAATAAAAATATATGTATATACATATATGTATATATATACTTCTACATTATATTATAATATTTATCATTATTTTTCTTATAATATACTTACTTTTAACAAAACTATGAACTCTATAAATCTTCTAACAGGTCGCGGAAATGTTCGTGCATAAGCTAATGCAGCCTTGATGAAAACTGCATGAAATAATCTATCTCGCACATTAAATAATGGATTCTGATTATTATTATTCCTTGCAGTATTCATATTATTATTATTTAAAGCTGGTCCAATAACACCAGTGAAAGTACGATTATTATGTGCCACTGCGCCATTTTGATTATTAGATACTGAAGCAGTAGTAGTATCGGCTTGTGACATTGTAACAATAAGAAATTGTTTGATCTGTACCAACGATATGATTACGTGTAAGAATCAGTAATCAATACTCAGAGGATTTCCACATACGTTATATTTATATGCACTATTAACAAATATTTATATAAGCTGTTTAACATTTCCCACTGATTGTAACGAACTTATCCTGAAACAAAAAAAAAGAAAACAGATAAAATCTATTAATAATTATAAATTATAATATAACGCAAATTATCTAATTAATAGATTGCAATAAAAATTCACATAAACAAACTTCGTATATATATATAACCTGTAATATAATGAACATAACATTTTTCATTTTATTTTACTTTAATAGGAATCGTTTTCTTTGATCGTCGATTGTAACAATAATCTATCTTTAAAAAAAAATAAATTATAACATAAAAAATGAAAGAATGCAATTAAACTTAACCTGTAATGTATGATAAATGAACGAGATACGAATTATTTCCTTTCATCATACAAATAATAATATCTCGTTATTGTAATAAAAACTATTTATAATAATCCAAGTTAAATAAATAAATGTAATTTTTGTTGATATGAATTCTATCAGATAAAATGTGCTCATGAGAAAAATTCGAATATTATATCATGAAAGAACGTTCAGTTACGTAATTAAATGTACAAAAAAGTTCTATTACAGAGCATTACGAAGCATTATAAATACGTTACATATTCCATATTGTTTTCTAAACATATTACAATTAAACTAAATCGATATTATATCCATAACATATGAGACTTTACTAATCTACCTATCGTTGTTCGAACAACTTTCTATAAAAAATCTGGCATACCATACCTTATTCAAAAATGAAGTAAAAATATCGTTATCTTATTTAAATCAATGTTTTTGTTTTTATTTACGTTACTGCATCACTAATTTGCAGTTTTCTATTACAGTTATGTTAACGAAGGTAATGCAATAATCATGAAATTGTCACTTTATCATCATGTTTTGATACCCGTCAGCTTACACTATTCCCATACACTAAATAGAATTAAGTATGGAAATCTCTAGTAACATTTAGTGGACAATTTCTAATCGACACAAGCGCCATACGAAAAGGTCGATAATATAGGAAGTCAATGTTCGATCGATAACAACGGTTTAAAATCTCAATCTTTTTAATAATAATAAATAGCGACATATATGAATAAAAGCATTATTTACTTAAAATTCACGGACAATCAATAAAATTATACAGATCATTTATTATTATAAAATTGAAATAATTAATTTTTAGTTGGAGGATCGTTCATCATTCCTGCTTTTATAATGGTTTATGTCAACAATTAGTACAAGCATAATTATTAACCAATTTTGATGAACAAGATCTCATTTTAAAGATAAAGACGAGTACATGGTTATTCGAATTCTTGAAAAAATTGTATTTTCTTTGAAAAAAAATCGTGTAAAAAAGTGTTGTTTCTTCAAGTATAATTTATGTATAAAAATAAAGCTTTTTAAAAAATTCAAAAAGGCCAAGTCTTGACTTAAATCTTCATCTTTGAAATGAGACTTTGTTCATCAAAATCAGTTACGAATTACATCTAAACCCGCTGTTGACGTAAACGTTGTTTTCGATATTCTTCATGGAAAAAAAAGTTTCGTATAATGGCGCACATTGATCTAATCAGCAAAAACGTTAGGGTAGTGTGCGATTTGTTTCCGTAAACTAGACAATTTTTTTCTTGTTTACCATGCTCATATTTGCCAAATCATTCGAAAGTAGTTGTTTTCTAAACGAGAAAACTTAAAAATTAATACTTCCTGTAATTACAGATTTATTTAAACAATATACTATATTTAAACAATATAGTACGCGAAGTTCAGTAAACTAATATTTAAACGATAATACATTCGCTCAAACATTAAAAAGATCATATCGCGCGAGAAACTTGAAACAATTCTAATTTAAAATATCAATACTATAAAATTTCATTTCGCGGTTGTTAGCTACGCATCATGTCTCTTCGTCGATCGTTTGATGTCAACAAGAATGAAGATTAAATTAAAAATTACTATGTTAATCTTCTTTCATATTCCGAGGAATAAATGCCGAAATTCCCTTTTCGTAGAGCTATGTTAAATAATCTTATAGATTCGATAACTTTATAATAATTTAAACAATTTACAATGCACTTGGAGTACGATGGGGTAATAATTAAACAATGTTACATTCTATAAAGCACATCCAAAATTACATTTACTGAAACATAAATTTATACGTGATAAACGCGGATTAAGAAAAAGATGATTTTAAAATTTATATATACAAGAAATAGATTTTGAAATACCGTAGAAATAAAATTGACCGTACGAAATAGACATAGGTTTAAATTCATAAAAGAAATCATTAATAAATAAGATTATTTTACTAACATTTAAACAATAGAACATTCCTAATAACATTACAAAGATTGTAAGACACGATCAATATGCACGCGATTTCTCATCGAGAGATGGATCCATCATCGATGGATCAACCTATCAGCGTGGATTCATCGTCTAAGGCCAAAATTCAGTATCAAAGAATTAGATCTTTATAGGAAAGTTTAGAAATTTTTCTGCATTAGATGCGTAAGATATCTTTTCTTATTGCTTATTTTTTGGTGGGCAGATGCAGTGTTTGGAAACGTGATATTAAGTCCTATCGAAAATTGCGCTTTGATTTTTGATATACCAAAAGTACGACCGATTGTGTTTATTAATCCGTTATGTCTGAAGCTGACAGTGTCAAACGGTGAAATTATCCATAAGCGAAGTCTCACCCATGTCCTGTTAGTTAAGAAGCTTAAAACTCCTGAAGCAGAAAAGCATCTCGATATGCGGATTTTAGAATAGAGTCCACCATTAGCCCCATGGATCTTCACATCCAGCAACCTTCACGCAGTGAAATCTGAGTCGATATTACTTGCTGTATATATAATTTTAAACTTAGATCATACGTAAATATACGTTATATCGTAAGTACCATCGAACGCATAGCTACATATTTTTATACGTTTCCAAAATCTTTTCTTTCTAATTCCGACTGAATATTAAAGTATTTACATTTTATATTGCTCAATAAATAAAATATATTAGATATAGTAAAATTCTAAAATAATTTTTTAGAGATACCCAATGAAAAATTCTAATTTCTTTATTATTTTTATTGATTCTTATTTAGTTCTTATATTTACTCTTATTTACATTTTTTGAATTAAATATTATCTATTGTATTTAAATTCCCAATCATATCTACATATCTCAAAATTTAAAATATGCATCACCGATCTTCTTTCTACTTTTCTTATTATTATCTTTTATTTCTTATGTATTTCATCGCAATTAATAACGAGCTAATGACTGCTTAAATATGGTGTACCATATTTGTATTAGTTTAATTAGAAAGAAAAAATATAAAATTTATACAATTAATAAGCACTTATCAATTAATCTATCTTCAGAGAAATATAATTTGGCATATAGTCTTTTCTTATTTTTATCAGAAGTACTATTATTTTTACTACATATATAAAAATTTCTTTAACACGCTAACTTTCGATTGTTAAGTTACGCTCAAAAGAGATATAACCTGCATAAGTTTATAGATCGGCGATACAAAGCATAGTTTGTCCTTATTGCGTTCGTAGTTCATATTTTGTCCATACCTGTCGCTGAAGTTACATACGTTAAAAGATGAAAAGTAATAAATAGTTGAGTTTGCATTAACCAATCGTTATGCGTTAAATAAAAACCGCTTAAATATAAATCTACACATGAATTTATCTGATATTGAATGCTAGTTATTAATTCATGATTTTGATGAATATATATATATATATACTTTCAGTATATTCGACACATATCTTTTAAATAAAATGAAATATCGTACTGTCACATAAACCTTCTTTAATCCTTTTGTTATTAGTCGGAAATAGAAAACCAAAATAAGATTATAAAAATCCTTTGACTTAGTCAGGGGATATTTCAATAATCAAAGAATATTTCATTATATTATTACTTTAACTTACGTTTTTACTGTTTATATTAAAACTCAAAATGGAATTATTTGATTTTGATAAATTATAAGATTTTCCATCGCGATATTTGCCCCCTAAAAGTGTTATTTGATATCGTATAAGTTCTTTTCATTACAGTTCTTCTTCTTATATTAATACCATTTGTTTCTATTTTCGCAGGCTATAGCAAAAAGCGTGTGAGTATCAATTAATGTAACTTAAAATCAAAATTTGCAATTTTATTCAACACTCGTAATAAAAAGAAAAGTAAATAATATAATTATATACAATTTGTTTCATGCTATCAAAGTATTTACGTTACCATAAAAACTTGCATTAGTTTAACAATTGGATGCTTTTTGATTGATAAGATTATTTCCTGTAATTTATAAATATATATATATTTTTTTTTTTTTGACTAATATTTATATCATTCAAAACAAATTTTTCAATGGAAAACTCTGATATCAAGAATGGGAAATTTGTATTGTAGAAACTATCGTACCTTATAAAGCTGGAAATAACGCAGATATAAATTCAGTAACTGGTATAAAAATAAGTTTGAGGTCTGTTAATATTACTTTGAAAGATATGAGGTATAATCTATGCAGATATATAAGTAATGTATTATATATATATATAATATATTATATAATATATATATATAATATATTATATAATATATATATAATATATTATATAATATATATATAATATATTATATAATATATATATAATATATTATATAATATATATATAATATATTATATAATATATATATAATATATTATATATTTATATATATAGTATATATGTTAGAATGAATGTACAAATACATTTACAGGAAAAAATGAAGAAAAAATGGAGTATTATCAAATGAAATTATTAAATATAATGAAATATTTCCATGGACATAGGGTCAGGGCAAACTTGGATATGGACCTTATAGTTTGTACTTTTTCCTTGGTAATATGTACATTATTCAAATAGACTTCTACAAAGGAGTCTACGAGGTGCTCGAAAAAGAGGTTTACCTATTCCAATCTTATGGGTTGTAGAATATTTTGCTATTGATGGGGAAGGTATATGATTTGGTAGATTTTATCGAACTGCCAGGTGGTACTGTCATATCTTATTATGGTTTGTATATATAATACGTATAAAATACTCATTAATGCTTTTGTACACAATTATTTATAAGAACAATAAATTGTTATATTTAATTTTTTATGGATGTCTTATATTAAATTTACTGTCTTAATTCACAGGACTGCGTTTAGTTGCTGAATAATGTCAAATATAATGTTGCAATTTGTAAGCTGATACACAGCTTATTTAATTGGAATAGTTGATGGATTACAAATACTAACTTGTAACTTATGGGTCTTTATACGTAATAAAACTCCACTTATTATACCTTTTGAAAATGGATTTTTAACATTGCATTTTGGTATACATTTTTGGATGTCTTTTGCAAGTGGTAAGAATTGTTTGTTGCACATCTTTATCTTATTTAAACTATATCTTTTAAAATTAAACTTTCTTTTTAATAAATCAAAACTTAATTCATTGTTAATTTAACCATATAGGTAGTTTTTGTATTATTTTGGCTTTAATAATAATATTCATGGATCTACGATATACGGATAATCTATCCGAATTTCTTGGAATGGATCCACTCGATCAATACGATGAATATTTACTAAGTAAGTTTGATATCATGTATAAGAGTATTGCTAATGTTAAATTAATAATTTATTTCTGATTAGGCCCCAATGAAGTAAAAACTATAACACAAAATAAAAAAAATAGTAGATAATACATTGGAAATGGCTTCTATATCAAATACTAATTTATCAATGAAAAATAATACCATGGCAAATAACAATACATACTTTTGCATAAAATTTTAAATGGAATTCATCTACAGTACAAGCAAAAAATTGTTTTAATATGATTAAATATGGTTTCATTCTATATAGCTGTTAATGAAAAGACGATCAAGTATAATAAAACAAGTTCAAAAAGATCGTTTTCGTAAACCAGTTCCAGTAAAACTTGAGAAATATGAAAATGTAACAGTTTATGAAAATCCATCTATAGCAAAATAAATATTTAAATATATACCTCTATTGATACAATAGCATTTATTGCTGTAATGGAAACGTAATTTTGAAGTATATGAAAACTAAAAAAAATACATATAAAACAACAAGAAATGATTTATAGCAAGGAATGAATTACAAAAGCTATAATTAGTAGCAAGCAAGAATTAACATTAAAATAACTAATGTTTCTTATTTTTTTTCCAAATAAACGTGTAATAACATATGAATGAGATATGTTTTTATAACTTTGAATAATATGCTTACTGTACAGATAAATTACGTCTTATTATATAAATTGAAGTTAACCAAATAATCAGAAAATAAAAATAAGTGTTCATTAGAATTTGAAAATTTAAGATACGGATTCCTTATCTTTATTTTCATTATTTTCAGATGCAACTCTATTCTTTTCGTCTGACTTTGATTCTTTCTCTGACTTTTTTTCCTTACTTGATTTCTTTTCGCTTTTTTCCTTATCACCTTTATCCCCATCATTTTTCTTACCGTTATCAGATTTATCCTTACTTCTATCTTTATCTTTATCCTTGTATTTATCAGAATATCTAGATTTAGATGACCTAGATTTTGATTTAGATCTGGAACGTCTAGATTTCGATTTAGAACGTTTACTACGGGAGTGAGAACGACTTCTACGCCGTAGAGATCTTTTTCTACGATCTCTAGATCTAGATCTTGATCTACGTGATCTTGACCTTCTAGATCGTGACCGAGAACGATGACGACTACGAGAGCTACTTCTTCTCCGTGAAGGTGACTTTCTTCTACGTTCTTTGGATCGAGAACGTTTTGAACGAGATCTGGATCTACGTCGATGTCGCGAACGAGATCTCTTCCGTGATCTTGAACGTCTACTGCGACCACGGGATCTAGATCTCGACTTTCGACTACGGGAACCGCTGCGACTTCGTTTGTCTTTTGAAAGCATACCAATCATTGGATCTATAGCAGCAGAAATCAAATTGTGAGCTTCTTTGACACGTGACATAGCTTCTTCTATTTCTTTCTGAGCTGCTTCATTACTTTTTGCTTCTGGTTTAGCTATTGCTTGTGTCGAATGATAAATCTTTATATGTCTATCGCCAAGCATTTTTCCATTTAATAATAATGCAGAAACCACTGCTCCTTGTTCCGTAAGTTCCACTAATGCATAGTGATCTGTATCAGAATCTCTTGTACAAAGGCGTAAGTACTTAATCTCAACGTTGTTATTACTGAAAAAATCTAGCAATTGTTCAGCCGTCGTAGAAGCATCTAAATTAGCTATTACTAGTGTTCTCCTAATTTCCTCAATTCGTCTACTATCTAAATGGCCAGGCAAATGTGGATAAGGCGGTAATCCATGAGCTTCTAATTTAGGATCCATTGTTGTAATTACATGATTCGGAGGAATACCTTCGATTGCATTTACAACATTTGGTGGAAGCTTTGGTTCAGAAGGGTATAGACCTAAAAAAAAACGAAGTAACACATTCGTTTAACACGTAAAAATAAAAATATACAATACTAATTATTAATTTCTAACTACTTACCTGGTACAACTGTACCATTGTTAGTTAACTCAAGAGCACGCTGTTCATCTGGAATATCTCCATTTTGATAAGGAATTACTATCAATGCTCGATCAATGAATACAGTATTCGTCATGTGTTGAGCAACTGCAACACATCCTTGATCGTGAAATTTAACGTAACAAATACGCGATTGTACAGGTACTGCTACATCTCTTATAGTGGGATATAATCTAATATCTTCTATCTTTCCTAAGTAACCAAATAAAGTTTGCATTTGATCTTTAGTTGCTTGGGGTGCAATGTTTGTCACTTGTACCACTTTTGTTGAACCAACCGCCATAATTATATTGTTTTATACAGTAGATATAAAGATTATATACTGAAATAATTCTACATGAGTGAAAACCGCCAATATTACTACGTTCTCTTCTTCGAACGTAAGTACGAAGATTTTAATAAATGAAGTAGTATAAAATTTATTGTTATACCTTATTTCTTCCTTTCTTTTTGTTTGTTTGTTTTTTTCTTTTATTTTAAAATATTTACACTCGTTAAAGCTTACAATTGTTCACAATAAAATAGTTTTCGACTACAACCTCAGTTCCATTTTTACTTGATGAGAAAGATGGGACGCGAGGTTACGCTTTCGGCTGCGCCATCTACTGACTAATAGATCGAATTATTAACTCCCTCTACAAATTGATTTCTCTTACTTTTCAAACACTATTCTAATGTATATAATACCGTATCGAATATATATTAAAATATAATCTACCGATATGCTACAAATATACTGTCTTTGGAATATGTTTTTTCACCATTTTTTTATAAATGCTTATGGGTATAGTATAGTATAGTAATGTATAGAAATACAGTGATTTTTTAAAAAAACAAAAAAAATATAAAAATTAAAATGTTTAAATTACTAAAATTTTTTAAATATATTATAAACTCCTCACCTATATATTACAATTCATTATTAAAAGAACATAAAAATGCTATCTGTATCTAAAAATATTTTGTATGGATGAGCTAACATATGAAAAAAATTCACAAATATTTTTGAATACTAATGATAAATAATGTATAGAATCTGAATTGTTCAAATACGATACTGACATATCTGAACTTTCCATAAAGCAAATTTCTGATGTATCCTAAAAAAACGAAAACAAAAAAAAGAAAAAGTTTTATAATAATATTATAAAGAACTTAAATATTTATACATATATTTCTTAAATTATTTTTGTTAAACCTTGTCCATAGGAATCCCTGCAGAAATATCATTTTTAAATCTCTTTAATTTTCTATTTAATCGAAAACAATTCTCTTGTTGTTCTTCCATTTCATTTTCTTGATTTTCCTTCTCAAAATACATTATATTCGATGGATTCAATTGAACCTATTTATTATTAAAGAAAAGATTTATTTAATCAAATCAATATACTTAAATCAAAATAATTAATAATTAAGCCCTACATCTTTTGTATCTTTTGTTCTTTTTCGTTTGATGTATCTTTCTTGTAAATCCTCAGATGGAAATAAATTTATATTTTTATGTCTCAGTGGTTGCCTTGAACTACTATCTTTCCTCAAAGTTTGTCTACATTCCGTATACTACAAACACGAATGAATTGAAGTTAGATTGTATTATAAAAATAAATGATTACATGAGAATAATACCTTTTCAATGGCTTTTTGTAATAATTGTATCCAAGAGTTGCTGTCACCATTTTCTGAATATAAAAAGAGCATTTCTTCTAAGCATGTAACACGAAAAAGTCCACCACTTAAGACACTTTCTACTTTACACTTATTTAAGGGAAGTACACAACGTACAGTCAATGAACTTTCTGGTTTTCCCTTACAATATAATAAAGTATCATTTAAAAGTACAAAATATCTTCTATAAGCAGTATCGCCGTTCCTTGAAACTCTCATTAATGTTCCTTGCTTAATTAATTTTCTTCCAGGCTTTACTAAATTAACTCCATTTACAATACACTTTTGAAGCATCAATAATCTTTGAATATCTTCATTCTCGGCAACTAAATTATTAATATGTACTGCAGCTTTTTCAACTTCTACTAAACATGCTGTACAAAAAATGACATTTTAATAAAAATATATATAATAATCACATCATAATTATGAATATAAATAATTTATTACCTTGTAAAAGATTATACTCTTTGTGCTTGTTAGGAGTATGTTGTAGAACTTCTTTCAAAAGTAATTTATATCTTGGTACTCTCTGTATCGGAGTAATTAATAATGAAAACAACGATTTTCCAACTTCTGGTCTTGTTTCTTGTTTGCTTATGAAATTTTTAAAAGAAGGATCCTTCTCTTGAGTAACCTGTAAAAAAGATAAATTTATTAATTATTACTTGTTCAATATAAAAGTAAACAAATTTGAGTACCTGTAAAAGTGTTGACACTTGTTCATAATCGTATGCATAAACAGAATATAACTTAAAAAATGGTGCAAGCTTATAAAATGCTCCAGAAATGTTTTCAGTATCTTGTTTTAATTCCTTAATTAATTCTCCACTAATGTTATATAGTGTTTTTATATTTTCAAGCAATGTATTTAATATTATATGATTTACCAATTTCTTTTCAATGATTGGTTGTAAAAAAAACTGAAAAATATTATTATTAAATTTTAATGTACAATACATTATCTATATACTATAAAATAAGTTAAAGACCTCCATTAATATTTCCAACTGTTGTAAATATGTGACCTCTGTTGTTAAAATTTCTTGTATAGCTTGAAGTCGCAAACGTTTTTCTCTTTCAGCTCTATTTCTCACGTCATCTTCATTAAGAGCATTTAAAACTGAAAATAATAAATTAAGTTAGTTCATTATAAACATAACATTTAGCAATAATTATACCTTTCATACGTGATTTCATGCTCAGTGCATTTTTGTGAGTAATAATATTCTTCAATTCAGAACTAAGATTATTATGTGGTGATCTTGGAGAATTCATTTCCTTAATGTACATATATTTTTCCTTATTTAATATTTATAAATAATTATACACATAAATAAAACAATTCATCTGGATCCTATATAATTATTGTCAAAATATAATTGTATTAAAAAGATTGTGAAGAAATCTCATTCAAATTTAAACAAGAATGAAAAATCTTAATTTGTTCTATACGATAAAAGAATTTTCTTAAGTATTACTAGTCTACTTAAAAATAGATAAAACGGTAAAGATATTTAATCATATGCTGCAGTTAAAATTTGAAAGAGTCAACAGAACTCAGATGTACCCAGTGATGCAAACAATACATCAAGAAATTTCCCTAGAAATAGAATGTAGCTAGTGAAAAGAATTTTCATTCGTGATTCAGAAAAAATCTTCAAAAGGTAGATATTGATGCAATTATTGTTAATAATATTTTAAGATCTTATCTAAATTCGAAGAGATTAATTAACATTTTGCATAATTATTTTATTTACATAATTCAAATGTATTGAAAATATATATATATATTCTTTTTAATTAATCATTATTTTTAATAATAAGAACTAAAAAAAATAGAAATAACTAACTATAAAATAAAATATATTTAAAAATTAAATATGATTATGTTATTTAGAAAAAAACCCTATCGTTACAAAATAAGAACTGCTCGTGCTCCTCTGATTCTTCTAGCATGAAGAAATAATTAATTGAACTTGTAATGTGAAGTGCAAAAAAATAAAAAATTTATTATAAGTAATATTAGTATATTATAAGAAAAAAAAACATGAATTATACTTATATCATTAAAACAAAAATGAATCATACTTATATCATTAAATATACATCACTTAAATAATATCAATAATAGTATATCTACAAAGGTACTTTCTATAACTACCTAGTTCTTATATCGAATTATCCAATAATTGAATTAATTAAACAAAAGTATGAACATAAAAAAAAATATGTAATAATATGTATTTAAAAGGATGGTAACAAAATATAAAAAAAACTTGACTAATGATATGACCATATTTGTGGTTCATAATCTCTAAAGAATTTTTAGAGTTATACATTTATATACATATATCAATAAAGATAATTATTACATTTGTACCTCTAATCTTCTTTAATTTTTACTGTAATAATAGAGAAGGAATGGATAAGTAGAACACTATAATAGTAATTCCTTTCATAACATCCAACAGAAGAAGTGAACATTTGTCGGAATGTTATTAACTTGATAAACGACAAGCAGTATTTTGCAATTACACGATTATTCTTGTACATAAACATCCATATATAAATCTATTTACATAAAGCATATGTTTAGACCCAAACTCCATGTGGATTTTTACTTGTGGGTACTGCTGTCTCTAATTGTCTAGGAGATCCTATCATTTTACGTGTACTTCCTGGTTTATGGGCACCTAAAAAAAAATATATATATATATATAATAAAATATAACGAATTAATTATATAGTATATTCGTTAAGGACAATCTATCTATACAGACAATATATACCTTCTAGTAAAGATTTTACTTGTTCATCTTGACAAGCAACAGTTAAACTTTGTAAATTTGCCTCTTTCATATCAGCTACTAATCTCTCAACTTGTAATTTTTTTTCTACGATCGCCGACTCCAAACTAACTATTTCAAGTTTTAACGATTCTGCGCATTGTGAAGCTAACTCGGCTGATCGTTTAGCTTGTTCTACTTCGTTCTGAAGACGTTCAACTTCATTAATTATTTTTCGTTCAATTATTTGACGCTCGTCTGTCTCACGATTAGTATTATGTTGTTCTACAGCAAGTTCTTCCATGATAAATCTATTACATGAAAAACATTATTAAAATCAGGCATATAAAAGTATTATTAATAAATTCTTATGTTTTTACCTAATCTTATTTTTACATTGAAGTAATTCTGTTTCACAATTTGCAAGCTTTGATCTGAGAAGCGTTATCTCAGATTTTAAAGTTTTTTCTTGCTGCCTTACAATTTCACTTTCTTCTTCCACATGAGCTAATTCTTTAAGCTGATATGTATTAACACAATGTAAATTTTAATGAATTTTTATAAATTCATTTTTAAATATTAAGTCATACTTTTATGTTTGAAATAAATAAATATATACCTGATCTTCTATAATACGACCATTTGCTTCAATGCGATTTAATTCTTGGGAAATAAAATCCATTTGATGCATTTGTTCTCTATTTTTAGTTTCCCAATATAATATTTCTGCATCAAACTAAAATAAATAAATAATACAGATATATTAGAGTTTATACAATTATATATTTATTTTCACTTACTTTAGTGAGATCTGCTTGTTGTGCACTAATAGTATCTCTTTGTTTATTGACTAGTCTAATAAGGTCAACATAACGTTGAGTATAAGCAACAGTCATCATATTCTGTGTTTGGCCAGATAATTGACCAATTGTTTGTGTTTGACTTTTTGTATCTTGAAATTCCTAGAAACAAAAACATCGCACATACCCGTTAAAAATGTAAAACAATTTCCTTTAATTATACTACCTGAATTAAATTTCTTTTCAATTTTACAGTGTTGCTAGATGATGGTTGTTCTTCTTTATGAATATGTGGAATATTACTGTTTGTGCTAGAAGCGTATTGTGATCTTGCTGGACTGTTTAAATTTGGTGGTGGTGGATCTCTATATGGTGGTAATGTTCGTAATGGAGGAGAAGCTGGTCCTGGAGGATCTCTATAAGGAGGAACCTCCCTTATTTTTTTTTGAGATAGATGCGCATTAACTAAAAATAAATAAGAATAAAAATTAGCTATAATTAAATCATTAATTCTTATGAAATTGTTAATGAATTTGTTAATAAAATTAAAAATCAAAAAAATATTAGCTTACTATCAGGATTAGCACCTCGTGTAGGAGATTGTGGGATATTTTTTCGGATATTTAATTCTTTGTTTTTAAAATGTGGTGTAGGCTGAACAATAGCAACATTCTCCATTAGAATCTGTACAAAAATTAAAAATTATAAAATATATGTACAATAGAATTTCTAAAAATGATTGCATATAAAAATAGCATATTGTTTTACATCAGCATTATTCTCAGTAAGATTCCCTTGAAATCCACCAAATGTTAATGACTTTCTTGTATCGCGATTTCTTTCTAGACCACCTTGTAAGTCATCAAAATCTGAATTTAAAATCGTTGGAGTAGTTTTAGAATCCTCTTGAACATTGTTTGTTGCTCCAACTTCTGATGACATATTTGTTGTCCCATTTATTCGTGTTCCATGGGTTATTCTTGATGCTGATGATCCTGGATTTTTATTGTTATCAATAGAACGTCTCAAAATCAGCTGGACTTCAGAAGAATACTCTCCCCATTTTAATAAAATCTGTTTTTTAGAGATACTGCTTTAGAGATACTCTGTATTATTACTTATTTTTATATAGATACTTTTAAATATATTAATTTAACATATTTATAATACTGATATGTTTTATATGCTTTAACTTTTAAAAATATTTTATACCTTAAGAGGGTTTTCATATGGAGCTAAAAGCCGTTCATTAGTTCTCCAACGTTCTACTAAGGTAAATCTACCGGTCTGTGCTGTTGCATGTGCAAGAGCATATACAACATCCTAGAAACAGATAATTATTAAAATGCTTTAAGTATTTTTCAATGACATAAATGAAGTAAATATATTAATATTCAATATTCTACGACATACATACATTGTGCTTCACAACAAACCTGACAAGTAGTATTTTCTGTAACTCCACACACAATACGTTGTATACCTTCCACCCATACTTTCAGTTCCATTACGTTAGCAGTATATATATCCAAGTATATTTTGCATTTCTAAATCATGTCTAACTATAAATCCAAACTAGTTTTTTCCTTTTTTATTTTTATCTTTAATACTGTTTATTTGTTTATGCTGAAAACACATTTTGTAAATTTAAAGGAGCATTTAGCACTCTTACCTTTTAATAATAGTGCTTGAAAAAAACATTTATAACTTTGTTACTATGAAAAATAATAGAATCTAAAATAATAACTTTGTTGCATATTTTTGTTTATAAAACCAGATCTCTCTACCACGATACCAATGGCTATAGAACGACTTTTTCAAGTATAGAAGAATAGCGCCTCACAAACAAAAAAGTTTTACCGAAGCCATGTGCACGAACTACGTAGTAACTTTCTGCTGCACAGATGCACTAACTGATAGCATAGAAAAAGATGCATATGTGCATTAACGCGCAAAACACATTTATGAAAATATTTGTTTAAGATAAAAAATATTTAAGATAAAAAATACTTAATGAAATGCAATTGTAAAAACTGAATTTATCAAATGATTAACTTATAAGAATCACGAATTATAGCATTGCAGTATAATAAATTAAATTTTTTTATTTTCTCTTGTAAAATATTTTAATTTAAACACTTTTTATTATTTTAACATTTATTATTAATTATTGAAATAATTTAAATAAATTTTTTTTGCAATATTCATTGTATATACATAAGATCCTTTTTTTTTTTAATTCTAGCGCGAAACGATGTTATTGGTTATGACGTAGCAGTTTCTAAATAAAGATCATATACGACCGAAGGAGAAGGATCATAGTCTTAAATTTTTAACCGTTTTTCTTAAGAATCTAAACAAAAAAATGAGTTTGTGGGTAGATAAATATAGGCCTACTACATTTTCTAAATTAGATTATCATAAGGAACAAGCAGAATATCTTAAAAATATGGTAATTATAAAGAAATTGCAGTATACCGGTAGAAAAAATAAGGTTGGACTTCGTTATTGATAGTATAACGTTCCCGCCTAATTTCTTTTTTTTTATAATATTTAGTTTATAGCAATTATCAAAATGTAACAACATATAAATGTTGCTTTAATAAAATCATATTCTTATATTCTGTTCATTGCCTATAATGGATATATAAAAATAAGTATTGTTTTATTTTTAATAACAGGTACATAAAGGAGACTTTCCACATTTGTTAATATATGGACCATCCGGAGCTGGAAAAAAAACTCGTATAATGTGTATTTTGAAAGAATTATATGGTTCTGGAGTTGAAAGATTACGAATGGAAAATATGCAGTTTGAGGTTCGTTTTATTTGAGAGAATAATTTTTTAAAGTAATTAATCAAAAAATAATATGTTAATTGGAATTCTATTATTGTTATAGACTCCTTCTAAAAAAAAATTAGAAATAATGACTATAAGCAGTAATTATCACATAGAAGTAAATCCCAGCGACGTAAATATATACGATAAAGTTGTTGTAATGGATTTAGTAAAAATGACAGCACAAACTCATCAAATTGATCCGACCGGACAAAGAGAGTTTAAAGGTATAAAATTTGAAGCAAATACTTAGTAAATACTAAGTGAAATATTTTGATAGAAAAATATAAAATATTCTATTTGTGAAATAGTGATTTTATTAACAAATGTGGATCAACTTACAAGGGATGCTCAACATGCACTACGTAGAACCATGGAAAAATATATTGCTACTTGCAGATTAATTCTTTGTGCAAATTCTATATCTCGTGTATCACCAGCTATTCGATCTCGATGTCTAGGAATACGTGTTCCTGCACCATCGATAACAGAAATTAAATCTATTTTACAATCAGTCTGTAAACGGGAAAGTCTAACTTTGCCAGATGAATTAGCTACCAGAATTGCTAATATTAGTGGGAGAAATCTTAGAAGGGCAATATTAATGCTTGAAGCTTGTAAAGTTGAACAGTAAGTAAAAATTAGATATTTAATTAAATCTTATAATATGCTACCCCCTCTCTTCTCCAATAAAAATTTTAATGTTTCTTTCAGGTACCCATTTACTGCCAATCAAAATATTTCAGAACCTGATTGGCAAACATTTATTCGTACTACGGCTAATATGATGATAACAGAACAAACTCCTAAAAAGCTATTAGATATTAGAAAAAGACTTTATGAATTATTAACGCATTTAATACCTTGTGATGTAATTTTTAAAGGACTGTTACAAGAATGTATCAAAAATTGTGATCTTCAATTAAAAAGTGAAATTATATTCATAGCTGCTGAATATGAGCATAGAATGCTAAATGGATCTAAACCTATTTTTCACTTAGAAGCTTTTATTGCTAGATTTATGGCTATATATAAAAAATTTATGGATTCGTCGCTTGAAGATTTTGTATGATTTTAAAAATCTAATTAAAGTTATTAATATAAAATATTAGAACAACAATCTATTTTGACGATGTGAATGTCTAATCGTAAATATTTTATTATGTACAAAACATCCGAAATATATGAAATATTGTATTGTATTTTACATTTAAGGAAAATACAATTTTTGTATTGGTCCTTACATAAATACATTTCCTTAATTTCTCCCCTACAATGTTTGCCTAAATAAATAAACAGATTAAAAAGTATTAAAAACAGTTCAATCTGTAAGACACAATCATACAAAAGAATTTGTAAAAAATGTATCTCTATAATAACTTATTTTATTTCATACAATACTAACATTATAGGATGAGATATGATGCACATCCAAATAACAACGAATTTCTAAAAATAAATAATTTCTGAAATAATCCACTTAGTTTTAGTGCTTACATAGCTGCTAAAACAACAGCAGAAATAGCTGCTAAAGCAACTACTGCATAGCCTGTTGAATATACTTGTTTAATTGTCAGAAACATTCCTAAATCCCAAGCCTGTAATATTACAAAAAATAGACAAAATTTATTTTAAAAATAATTTTGTTTTATATTACAGTTATTTCATATATCAACTTTTTACCAAATGTCGAAATCCATTGAATATATGAAATGTAGCAGGAAAAGCAAGTAATGTTTTGCCTGCAAAAAGTATAGGAACAGGCAAATTTAATTCGCTTAAAAGTTCTATAACGCAAGGTATTCCACCTGGCACAAATAAAGTACCTAGAACATAACAAAAGAGAAAAAAGTAATTTCTGTAGTAACATTAAAGAGAGATATCATCAAAAAAATATTGATTCTGATTTCACACAATGTATGATGAAAAATTATATACTTACCAAGCCCTAAAAACATAGCATAACTTGATAGTATTATGCCAGTTGTACGATGTGATATAGAAAGCAATGCTGTTAATTGCACTTGATAGATAGTCAAATGTGGTGACATAGGTCGTTTAAGACGCATATTCTTTTCATCGTGTGTTTCACAGATATTTGCACGTAATGGTTGTGATAAAGATGTGGTAAGTGAACTATAACATATTGAATTTTTATTATACAATGTACATACTCGTTTGTAATTTTTTTTAAGATAAAAGTATATATCATAATATATATATAGATTTTTAATTTATTATCTTTGCAGATATTCAAATAAGCAGAGAAAAATATTCCTTAACATTTAAATAAATTGATTTTAGAAGAGAAATATAATTGACAGTCAGATGATCAAATCGATATTACATAATACATTAACACTCACTTGCTTGTATATAAGCTTCGAAAATGTTGAAAGCCGATACTTCGTCGACAAAGAAGCCTAAAATATATTTAATGTTGTAATTCTGATTTGATTAATGAAATTAAATGAAATAATATTTAATACCTAGTATAACACAATGCCATCGTTGTTGAAATTTATATTCTTGTGACACGAAGTGTATAGATATTACAGAAAAATAATTAGATACAGATTACTTTTTATTTTGTCGCGCGTAAAATATTTCATTAATTCGTATCGAAAAAATACATGCAGGTAAGACGAGAATCAACACTTCTTCAAATATGTGCTAGATAAAGTGCGAAAATATACCATAAGCAGAATTGCCAAGCATCCAATAAAGAAAGTCCTTTGCGATATCATATATCACGTGATCAAAATATCGTTAATAAGAGGTTTATTTAAATTTTTTTGAAATTTTTATATTCGTATCAATTCTTATGATTATATTAATATATTTTACAATAAATTTTTCAAATTAATGTTTATATATATATATATGTATATATTATATTGAATTGATATATATACATATACTAATTAATATAACGATAAACTTCTTAAACTGTGTGGTAAATTTAAAAATCATAATCTTAAATAGTAATTGAATATAAGATGGAAATATTATTAAAATTATAAAATTAAATAATTTCTTATTATAAATAATCATTAAAAAGACAGTATTAATGTTTTAAGTAAATAAAAAATTAAATTACAAAAGGAAAACAAGTATTAATAGATGGCGTTGGTTAACGGAAAGATCCATCTATATTTCTCTAGTCGATTCTTATATCATTTGTATAACCACATGGAGTACCAACTGAACGTATCCTACGTTAGTTTTTGCCTTATGGTCGTCGATGTCGTGAGTCGTAAAAAAAATCAGTTTCACGTCAAACAGTATTGAATTTTGTCGAACATTTATACATTTTCTGTTATCTATTTTAAGGTAAAATATTAATCTTATTAAATCATATATCATTGATGATACTAGATAAATTCCAAAAAACAAAAATACTCCATGAAAAGCGATAGAATACTGTCAATTTATGACGTGCTTATTCCAATCATTTTTTTCGAATCCATTTTCTTATAGCGTTACTCAAATAATATCGTTTGTACTTCAATATTCGTAAAAAAAAAAAAAAAAAAAAAAAAAAAAAAAGAAAGAAAAAAGAAAAAAAAAAGAAAAGAAAAAAAAATGGTGCGGATTATTTATTACGCCTAATTTTACCTAATCGTATTATAAAATGACATACGCGTCCTTAAAGGTGATTTACTTTTTATACATTCGAATCAAAAATACTTAAAAAAGAAAAAAGGCAGAAAATAATTCTAACACATATATGTGCAGTATGTATTCTAATTTATATATCAATATTTAAATCAGATTGTTGAAAATTATATGTTTATATAATATCAATAGAATTTCAATATTATTATGCATATGTTGTTAACAATTAAGAAAAAAAATTATTTTTAAATTTAATATATTCATATATTTTTACATACATTTCCATATTATATATAAAGTTAAATTAGTTTACTATAATATTAAATTATTCAAAAAGTTCTTGCTTTATGATATCCTAATAATAATTTCAACAGATGATTGTTTGAATGATATAAAATATTAAATTACCATGGAGGGTCAAGTACAAGTAAAGGAAGAACCAATTAAGTCTGAAGGGGTTGTACAAAGTTCTGATAGCAGCGAAAGAAGTGAAGGAGCAGCCTCTCCACCTCCTAATTGCAGTATTTGTCTTGGAAAACTTATCAACACATCATTTACTGACAGTTGCTTACATCAATTTTGCTTTAATTGCTTATTACAATGGTCTAAAATAAAAACAGAATGTCCATTATGCAAACAAACTTTTAAATCAATCATACATAATGTAAGATCAGAAGAAGATTATGATCAATATCATGTACCACGCGAATTAACGTCTCAAATTCCACAACCTCCAGTCATGGCAATCCAGCATTTAGATGTTAATTTTGAAGTAGATGGAAATTGGGATGTTGGTTTACGGCGTTTCTTCTACAGGTAATAATGTAACAAATTATATATAAACTAAAGGAACAAAATTGAAGAAAATCACATTTGTAACTTTTGCCTAATTTAACCTCGTAGAACAACTATGAATGATAATCGTCGTCGTGGAGCCATATCAAACACTGAACAGATCGCAAGAGAACAGATAATACCAGTTATGCAGCGACAGGTTCCAGGAGAAGAACACAGGCGCATGAATCCTACTTTTCGTCGTGCTATATACACATATGGAATATGGGCTACTTCCTTACCTGGACGTTTTGGATTTGGACGTTTTCAAGAATGTAGCGCTGAATATTATCGGCATGTTTCAATATGATCTTTATCATTTATTGTAAGTTGCAGTGGCAATGAAATCAATAAGTAAATTATATTTTATAGGAGATATCCAAGGGAATTGGATCGTCTTGTTCCATGGTTAAACAGAGAATTACATATATTAATTAATAATAGACCGGCACATATTCCATATGTTTTAAGAAGGATTATGGACGCATTAACACGTCATGATATTAGAAGTCTCCAATTTCAAAATATTGTGCGACCATATTTTGGTGTACATACAGAACATTTTATACATGAGTTATTCAATTTTGCAGGGACTAATTATGATATAGTTGCATATGATCAAGCTGTTACTTATTTATTTGAAGGTTTATAAAAGTTTTATATAATATAATTATTTTAGTAATTTACTAAAATTAAAAGTGTATATATTTTGTGATAGGTTTATCAAGAGATTACGTTTCACATGTTGTTTCACCTGTATCTAGTAGCAGTAGTACTTCTTCCGATGATTCAGATGTTCATGTACTTGATGAAGCAATTGATTTACGTGTAAATGCTGAATTACCTGGCGTAGGACCACACCCAGTCAATATGCCTGGTAACAATAAAAATATAATTATTTCGTAAATTCTACTATAAATCATAGCTTCAGCAAATATTAATATAATATTTACTTATATCAGGACCTAGTACTGTTGGGCAATCTTTTCAATTGGAAATGCCATATAATGTACCAGATGTTTTGACAATATCATCTGGATCTTCAGATGACGAATGCGAAGTGATTTGTTATGTCAAACCTCGTCATGAAAGAACACCTGAGATAATAGAATTAGTCTCTTCCGATCCTGAGGAGGCAAATACAGCTTATGTATCTAATGATAATGCAGAGTAAGTTTTTTTTATACTAACTTGAATATTTATAAGTTTAAATAAGTTTAAATAATGTACATATGAATATATATTTTGTATTATTGTTTAATAGACCTGTGCAAACTTCTGTTTACGAGGATGTTCCTCAAGCTAGTACATCATTTAATTCTAAGAAAGGATCGTCTAATAAGGTAAATAGTGAAATCATAAGGACTATTATCTCAGAAATATCATCTTCTTCAAGCGATAATTCGTCAGATAGTGATTACAATCCTAGAAGAAGCAGACAATGTCGAAGTCATGTAAAGAAATCGTCAAAGAAAAAAATCAATAATAAAAGACGTAAACACAGTAATTTCAAGAACCGTAAAAGAGTAGATAGTAGTGTTTCAAGTTCAGGTGAAAGTGATTTCAGAAATAAAAGTAGTAGAAGAAGCAGTCAACGTGGAAAAATAAAACCATATAGTTCTAGCGAATCTAGTTTGGAAGAAGATAGAAAGAAGAAATTGAGTGAAGTAAAATCAAGAAAAGAAACAAATTCGATTAAAGGTACAGTAAATGTGCGTAAGGATTTAATAAAAAAAGAAGAAAGATACAATGAAGAAAATAATGTCCTTAATAACAATAATGGTAGCAGTACTAACAGCAGCAGTAGTAGCAGTACTAGCAGTAGTAGCAGTAGTAGCAGTAGCAGCAGTACTACTAGTACTAGTAATAGTAACAGTAGTAGCACTAGCAGCAGTGAGACATGTAATGAAAGTAAAGAAACTCACAAATGTGAACTTTTACAACAAAAGTCAAGAACTAAAGGTTCTACAAGCTCACGTGTTTATGATATTGAAAAAATTGAAAGAGATGGTAAAAATAAAGATAAATCCCGAATGATAACCGATGTAATATTATTAGATGATTCTAGTCGAAAAAATTACAAATACAAGGAAAATAAACGATCTAGAACCAGAAGTACTAGCGAATCTTCTCACAAGCAGAAAAAAAATAAAAGATCAAGCTGTAGAAAACGACAAGTTCATAAATGTAAAAATGAATACGATAGTGATGATGCTAGTAATTCGATAGACACAGATTTCTTAAAGAGAGAGAATAGTACATGTTCCAATAGCCAATTTAGCAATTATTCAGATAGATCATACAAACATAAAAGAAGATCTAAACATAGGGATTTATGTAAAGATAAAAGGAGAAAACGTTCTCGTATTAGATCGCGTAGTAGATCTCGAAATAGATCCCGTAGTAGATCTAGCAGATCTAGTAAATCTCATAATAGATCTCGTAGTAGTTCTCGTAGCAGATCTCGTAGTAGATCTCGTAGTCGATCTTCCATCTCTAATTCAAGTGTAACAAATTCAGTAATGTCATCTAAAAGTGAAACATGTTCAATATCGAAACATTCCGATTCTAAAAATAGTTCATCTAGCAAAGAGAAGCGCAAATTACATAAAAGTCATAAAAAATCAAAACATCTAAGATCGCGATCAAAATCAAGATCTAAAAAGGTGAAACGTCGTGTTAGATGGTCTTATAGCTCTAACTCGGATTAATTTTTTTCATATAGCTTATTAATCTTCTCAACTATAAATTAGGTTTATTTGTAATATAGTTGCAATGTACACTATGAAGGATGGCTTATTATTTTAATGTTATCTCACTATAACAATCGTTTATTGCTTACTACACTTTTGAAATATGATGATTAATCAAGTGAGAAAAAGACAAAATATAAAGAAGCTAAGATAATAGTTTGATAATTTTGTTTGAAAACAAACTAATAAATTTTATTTAGTACATATACGTATATACATTTTGTTCACTTTTTTTCTTATTCACGAGATCATTAACAAATTATATTATTAAGAAAAACATGTTTATTCATTTTTTTAAATTTCATTATAAATTATAAATATAATTCAAGTTGATAAGTAGCTTCTTAACTAATACATACATTTCTTTTATATATTATTTCTTATTGTTATTATTATATTAATGTAATAATCTTATACGAAATATAACTATCATTTAAAGATATTTATGAATATTATGTAAGATAAAAAAATGTCATTTATATATAGGGATATTTATAAAAATTAACAAAAGAAAAATGTACTGATATATTAGCTGATTATAAACATATGCTAGAACTTATGTAATAAAGTATAATTATAGAATTATAATATTAAAAAATTAAAATATTGTTTTACTGTCAATAGAAAATTAATTTTAAACGGAACTAATATATTGCATTATGATTCTCAATGAAATGACATAGCATTTATAATAAATAATATTTACAAAGTTTTTTTATAATTATTTTTTATTGAAGTTATAAGAGAAAATAAATATATAATGATGCACAAGTTGCATAAATGTAAATGCATGAATAACAAATTATAAATAGAGTAATACAAAAATGGATATAATGTTGTTGTCAATGTTGCAATGAAGATAATTTTTAGAAATTGGATTCTTTACTAAAAAAAGTTATTTTTTATTTATCATTTTTAAATGATAATACTCCTAAGTTAATTAACAGAAAAAAAATTTCATACTAAAAGATAATACTAATTCTAATATTAATGTATATTAGTTTTTCATATATCCTTTACAACAATTAATGAAAAAAATAGAAAAAAAAAAACAAAAAAATTAAAACAAATGCACATAATATGTTCAATTAATATCTATTACTTTCTATGTGATATAAAATGAATATAAAACATAAAAACTGAGTTTATTCATGGAACAGATCAGAATGTATTTAAATTCTATATTATAATAAATCTATATATAGTATATATCTGTGTGTATGTACATATATATATATACATATATATAATTTATTTTTTTTTATATTTTGCATTTATTTTTAAAAAATAATTTACACTTAAATTTTTTTTATATTATACAGTAAAATTTATGTAACTTGTCTTTTGTTTTCCCAAAATTACTTTCATGTATATAATTTTACATTGGAAAATAAATTATTATTATATATTTCTTTAAATGAAAATTTCTAAATACTGTTCTTCTTCAACGTGATTCCCAAAGAAATAATCATATATACACTTTCACCTTGTGTGCGAATAATGTAATTAATACATTTGTAAATGATAAAGATACGTATAAAGATAGCGTATGTATTATGCGTGATAATTTTTATATTAAGTATAATTTAATTATTTATGATTATAAGGATAATGAAAATAAAAACAATATAAAAGGTTTAATAAGTAGAGTAGATACAATTATGAACACACCGCTGTCATGTATTATGTATATATATATAATGCAATTTCTTTGTAACAAAAAGATTATATCCTTTTCTTTATAAATTAAATAAAGTATGAAAACGAACAAGACATTAGTAACATTTGATAATATAAAAAAACAGAACACAAATAGTATCTGTATCATAAAATGTAATTGTAATAATTATATACTTTATATTTAAAAGTTTCATCCATATATAAATATCTACACATATATAAAAAAAATATCTATATTTATTTACAAATATTACAATATTTCTTATAAAAAAACATAATGAACATTTTTTTATTTTTCTCTTTGGATTTTTTATATAATCCTGATGATTTTCACAATTTGATCATTTAAAGAAAATGAAATATAAGAATTTTTCTTTATTCATGTAAAATGAATTCCTTCAGCATTGAATGCATGTAAGAGGCTAGAAACAAAATTTCATACAACAAAACTTCATACAACAAAACTTCATACAACAAAACTTCAGATATATTATAATTTTTACATACCTAATAAAATCATCAATATCCATAGTTCTAGCTCGCTTATTTTCTGCTTTAACAGTTAGCAATATCTTATTTACCATTTCTCTTATATCAAAATCTTCTGGTACTGTCTATATTTTAATGTAATAAAATTAATTTAGAAAGATATCTTGAAAAAATATTTCTACAGAAATTAAAAGTGATGAGTACCTTATTGTTTAAACTACAATGAAGTTTATAATTCTTTTCTAACATTGTCATTACAGTAGTTTGTTTAAATGCAGCTGAAAGGGTTTTATTTTTCCTTACAAATGTAATCCTTGTTAATCCATCCCATTCCTGATAATTAATTGGTGGTGGTGGATTTCGAGGTTCTATTCTAACTACATTTGACTCTACTTTTGGTGGTGGTCTAAAATTATTTTTTCCAACTTTCATTAACATATCTACACGTGCTAAAAGTTGCGTATTGATGCTAAGACGACAATATAATTTATCGCCTGGTTTTGCTACCAAACGTTCTGCAAATTCTCTTTGAAACATAAGTACTGCACATCTAAAAAAAAACAATTTGTAATAAAATAGAACAACACATGTTGTATATTTAATTTTCGCAACATAGATAAATATTTTCATATTATTCAGTTTCATATAAATATATTAATTACCTAAAAATAGGCCTGTGCAAAAGTAACTTGAATACTAATGGAGACGATATTTGATAAGGAATATTAGCAATGCACAAATCAAAAAATGGCAAATTTGTTTTCAAAACGTTTCCTACTATTATTTGTAATTTTGTTTGATAAGGTGATCCTTGTACACGTTTTTGGAGTTCTGCAACCATTCTTGGATCTAATTCACATGCTATTACTTTTTTTGCTTTATCTAACATTTTGATTGTCATATTTCCAGTACCAGAACCAATTTCTAATATAATATCTGTCGATCTAATTGCAGCTTTTTCAACCATGTTTTGTATAATAAGAGGATTTTTCAAAATATGTTGACCAAAATCCTTATTAAATTGAATACCTACGAAATATAAAAATTAAATCTAATTTCTCATACAAAGTAAGTGAAAAAATTAATTAATAAAAAAGTTCTTTACCTTGTCTTGTAACCTCTTTATGTACACGAGATACTTTTTCCGCACGTATTTTCGGCATTTTAATAATTAATATTTAATAATTAATAAACTTATTTTTCTGAATAAACGAACTCTCTAAAATAATATTAAAACAAGTTTTTTTTTCAACTATAATTATCAATTTTTGTTTTTAAATCTGTAATCCTTAAAGGTTATAAAATCGTGCCGACATTCAATCATTCGCTCGTCATCTATTGACTCAGTATTAAAGAAGGTAAAGATAATTTGTAGTGATGATTTAATATCTATATTAAAAATATAATTTTATATTTTTAGAATCAAAATAGCAAAATCATTTAATCAAAACTGATGGTAAACTAATTCGATTTTTATTAGTTTTTTTACGTTTTTATTAGTTAAACTCCATAATAATTTTTACATGAAACGATCAACGTATAAGAACATTTCGATATAGTCATGTGGTATAGTTTTTACTATAAAAGTATTTTTTATGGAACCATTCTATTGTGAGGAAGAATATTAAACAACATTTTATATTAATATTAATTAAAATAATTTAAACAACGATTTTATTATATTTATAAAATAATAAACAGTAAGATTTAATATTCTCATGTTATATTGTAGTAGTATAATGTGTGTGAAGTTAGATAAAATTTAATCATTTTTTCATTTTTTTCATTTTTTTTTAATTATAAAAACGTTACAGTAATAATAATAATAATAATAATATTATTGTTATATTGTTAGTAAATTTATAATATTTTAAAGAAAATTTTACAAGGAATGTTATATATTATTGCATATTTTAATATTAAATATTACATAATATTTATATGTTGTATTTATAATGTTGTATTTATAAAAATACAATACATAAAAATACAACAATGTTAAATATCAATGTATTGAAAAAAATCTTTCAATTGCACTTGTTCAAGAGATAGATGGAATAATTTTTCTTGAACAGATTTATCAAAAGCTATAGGATTTACTTTTGTTTCTTTACAATTATTAATATAAATGCCACCATGTTCTTTAATTTTATCATTTGTAGCTGCATAGATTATTACTATAGCTCCTTGTTCAGGACTCTGCAATTGTTATAATTTATTTATCAATAAACGATTATAATAGTACAAAAATATAGAATTTCAGAAAAATTTCAGTCAAACTTACCTTTATTATATATTTACTTAAAAATTTTAATTTATATATATAAGAATTTTGAAATAAATCTGTATTAACAATTCCTGGATGTACCGCATACATTTGAATTCCCAGTTGTTTCTTTTTAAAAAGATTTTGTAAATGTTTTGTAGAAATTACTTGAGCTAATTTACTTTGCCCATACATTGCATATGTATTGAAATTTTTTCTAATAAGTACAATTGTGTTATAAAAAACTTAATAATCTGTATTTAAAGTTTATAATTATTGATTTATATAAATTAAATGTGTCATACTTAAAATTTATGTCATCGAATTGTATATATCCACCATAATGAGCACAAGAAGAAACATTAATAACTCTACTGTTTTCTTGTGGACGACTGCCAGCTTTCAGTAGAGGTAATAATAATGCTGTCAAATAAAAGTGTGCCAAATAATTTACACTCCATTGCTGTTCAAAACCATCCTTTGTTTCTTCACGCGGAGTAAACATTATACCAGCTATGAAAAATATGTAAGTTGATTATGAAATTATTAGTTATAGCCAAATTTTTATTAAAATGCACATATATTCACATTTAACTATTTTTACCATTATTTATTAAAATGTGTATTTTGTTATAATTAAGTTTAATTTGATTAACAAATTCTTTTACAGATTCCAACGAAGTATTGTCAAGTTTGTAAACTCTTGCTTTTCCTGAAGTAATACCAGATTTTCTGATTTGGGAAATTAATTTTTCTCCAGCAGCAGGAGTTCGACAGGCTATAATAATAATTTATTAATTGTAAATGTATAAAAAAGATTTTATTGTAATACTTACCAATTATTACTTCCATGTGACATTGTAGCAACATTCTTGTAACTATAGCACCAATTCCTCTAGAACCACCCGTTACAATAACGACTTTTTCAGGCATTGGTAACAAATCTTACAAAATAAAATAATTTTAATCAGAATTAATACTTATTGTAAAACTATAATTATCTATAATTATTATATATTAAACTAAAATTATTAAAATTTATATCTATATTCTAATGATTATACCTGTATCATAATTTAATTTTCGATTATAGCAATTGCTTTAAGTAATTTGTAAATCTTTTTTTTTTTATTCAAATAGAAATATATACAATGTTCTTCTATCTTTGAAACAGTAAAAAAATTGATATTTACTTTTATATGCATTTTCTAATAGATTTATTAAAAATAACATCAATAGATTAACAAATGTATAAAATGATACAAACAAAATATCCAATTCTTTAGAAGAAATCTAGTACAGATAGCTCTTGATGTTTTTCTTTATTAAAATAGTAATACTAATTCAAATGGAAAATTTTTAAAAGTTCGTATCGCATATGCGTACTGTATAATTTTTAAAATGCGATTTTAAATTATTATTTTTGTTGCTTTTTAAACTAAATGAATAATATATAAAAGATCGTACCTGTTTTATTATTTTTGGCATTAATTTTGTCGTTAATTATATCTTGAATAGCTATTGTGGAATATATTATGTTATAATAACAACTCGTTAATAAAAAGCTTAGATTTATTCGAAATTTATAATAATATAGCCAACTAAAAAGAAACGCGCACATCGAAGCTGTTATAAGTAACATATTTCCGTATAATTTAAAATCGCCTATTTGTATAATGTTACAATTCTTTAACCGATAGTTGTTAGAAATTAACTGTCTTCATAGGTTGAAATGTAATGGAGTTCCTGTATATGACGAAATCAAGAATACGTGTTCAAAATACCGTTAAAATGCTAGTTTCTTTTTTTTTTTTTTTGTACAATAACAATTATTTACGTTGCTTTAAAAGATAAGAAACTTAGTAAAAAAAGAATGTTCGTTCTTAGAAACAAGTATATAATTTGATTTTAATATAAGGTTAAATAAACATATATAGTATAATAAGTATATAAAACATCGATTACATTATTAGACTATATCAAACGCATGTGAACATTAGATTCAATAAATTTTGTTCTTTTTTTCTAATTCTTTTTTGTTTTATTTCATTGGGCGCAATTTATATACAATATATGTTTTACTATATGCATGATAAATAAATTTTTATTTGTTTATATAAATTTATAGGTATATATTTCTTAGGACACTAAATTAATAAATAATCTTTTCCATTAAGAGAGACGAATTCTTCTTTTTGCATTTGTTTATTATATGAAAATATATAATTACATTTTTGAAAAAACTTTCGTTTTTTTAAAACCATCTTAAATAATAAATATGCAATTATTTTATATATAATTTATTTAATAGTAAATATTAAAAATTAATTTTTCTATATTATTTGTTCATTTATTCGCTCTCTGATTTATATAAAAAAAAAATGTTATACATCATTATCGTTAATCACCGATTTTTTTTACTTCTCATACATTTATGTATATGTAAAAATTTTTGCTTTTTATACATTTATATATATGTAAATATTCTTGCTTCTCATACATTTATGTATACGTAAAAATTTTTTCTATTCATACATTTATATATATGTAAAAATTTTTTCTTCTGATACATTTATGTATATATAAACATTTTTATTTCTCATACATTTATGTATATGTAAAAATTAGCATTTAATTAGTTTGTATATTTACAAATTACACTGTTTACTACTTTTCATTTCATACTTTTCATTGGTTAGAATGAAGTGTCGTCACACTATATTAAAGCTGTTTGAAGATCATATTAGAATTAATTATAATCTAATTAACTACATGTGTATATATTAACTGCATGTAATATCAATACGTGGATAATGGAAATTCAAAATTCATTGACAAAGGATGGTAAAAAGATCATGAGTACACCATCTATTTAAAAAGAATGAACTTCAAGAATAATAGCTGCTGCGATTATTCTTTACTAATTATATATTATATATATTAAATATTTCGGAATATATACGAGAAACGTATATAAGATTGTTTAAGGAAACGCATTTATTAAATTTAAAGTGAATGATTATTATTTCTTTATAAAGAGTTTATGGAAAGAATAATTTTTATAAAAGAAGCGAATGCATACTTTTAAAAGTTTACACATATTTCATTTTTATCCGTAGAATTATTAGAAACGTCGATTGGAATGAGAATTAATTTTTGAATCAACATGTATAAATAATTACGTTTTTTGTAAAAAAACAAATTAATTTTTGTGATATACAGAAGAATTCGATGATACTTTAAATACAAAAAGGTTAGCGATACTATTCTTATAGGTTAAAATTTTTTATTTTAACCTATTTATCGTTAGGTTAACCATATTATTCTAATATTTATATCACTTTGAAGAAAAATTGAGTTTATTTTTTTTATGTATTTAACTACCAAAGCGCATAATTCCATCATTCACTTAACTTCATCTAATTCATAAAAATTGACTCACAAAGATTCTTACCCAACCTAATAATAATAATATTATGCATTATAAATTTTTTATTTTATTAATTTGTTTATTCCAAAATTTTATTCAATTATTTTTTGTATTTTTTTTAAATCTTACTCAAAGCGAAAGGAAAAGCGACATTTAGCGACATAAAAGCGACAGAAACCTATCGACAACATAGGTAACTAAAATTTATAAAACATTGATATAGATACTTGTTTAAGCTCTTGCTTGAGCAAGTTTAACCTTATCGGTGATTATTAATAATTATATTTATCGAATTTTGTATATTATAAACAATAATAGCGATATATAATGTTGACACAAAAAATATGTTACAATGGAAGTCGATATATACCAACATTAATTTATATGCCCAAAAGAAATATTCAAAATATGAGAGATATAGAAGTATTTGAAGAGAAAATAAGACTATCTGAACAAAAAAAGAAATTAGAACGAAGACCACCATTTTTAAAAAATTTATTTATTGGTAAGTTTGACTTCGATTTTATGACCTTTCCTGAACCACAATCTTCTGAAAGGTACAAACAATTTTTTGAATGGATAAAACCATTTGAAAATTATATATCTTCCATAAATAGAAATGAAATATCTACAACAGAAGCGTTTCAAAAATTTAAAGAATTTGATATTTTACGAGCTAGAATAGATACAAAATATAATGGATTAAATATGTCTGAAGCGGAAACTCTTAAAATATTAGAAACTTTAGGATCTATTCCTTGGCTAGCTACAACCTTTGTTAAAAATAATATTATACCTATTGATTTAATTTCTAAATTTGGTAATGAAGCACAAAAAAGAAATTATTTACCTAAAATAGGCAATGGAGAATTATTACCAACAATTTGTATTACTGAAGTTATAAGTGGTCCTAATATGAAAAACATTGAAACCGAAGCATCGCTTTCAGATTGTGGTAATTTTTGGATAATGAATGGCAGGAAAGAATTTGTGGCTAATGGATCAAATTCTAATCTCTTTCTAGTTATTGCTCAATCTGATAAAAAGAATTTTTCATCAAATCTCTTATCCACATATATAGTGGAAAGTAATTATGAAGGCATTACTTGTAGCAATGTTATTAATACAATAGGTCAGCAAGAAGTACATATTTGTACAATTGACTTCAAAAATACATATATTCCTAAAGCAAATATACTAGGTGAAATGGGTAATGGAAATGATGTTTTATTGGATGTATACACTCCTGGAAACAATAAGGTTGCTGGAGAAGCAATTGGCATTTTACGAAATTTTTTGTCTTTATTGAACAAAAATATTTTAGGAAGAAAACATCTTGACAAAAATATGTATGAATTTGAAGCAGTACAAGAAGTTGTTGGATTAATAACATGTAGTTTGTATTGTATGGAAAGTGTTGCATTATTTACTAGTGCAATAGGTGATCTTTATGAAAATCAAGATTTGGAATTAGAAAAGGCTGTAACAGAAACCTATTGTGCCAATGAATGCATAAAACAAATTTATAAAGGATTGCAGGTGATTGGAATTGAAAGCTATATGAAAGATAATCCATATATGAAAGTTTATAAGGATGCTTTAGGATTGTCTTTATTTGATGGATCTGCTATTGATGAAAAAATATATATAGCTTTATTAGGTTTGCAATATGTTGGAATAGATATTCATGAAGATATTGTTAAAACAAGAAATTATTTACTAAATCCTATTCATTTGCTAAAACAAATATTTTCTAACAAAAAAATAAATTTATATTTGTTTGAATATGCACATTTATCCTTTAAAATGGCATGTTCTTTAATTGAACAATGTCTTCAAATATTAGTAGATATAAGTACAATGTTATTAGAAATATATGGAACAGAAATATCTTCTAAACATATTATATTACAAAGACTAGCTGATATTACAATTCAGTTATACGTAACAATTACTGTAGTAACACGTGCATCTAGGAGTTATTGTACAGGAATTAGAAATGCCGAACAGGAAAGATATATAGCAATGTATGTTGCTCAACAGGCATTTAAGGAAGTACTATTATTAAAAGACATTATAATTAATAACGAATTAACCAAAAATGATAGAACATTAGAAAAATTATCTGAATCTGCATTTCACTATAAAGGATATATGTGTGAACATCCTTTGAAAAGAAATTTGTAATTATATTAAGAGATTTTCTATGCAATATTGGTACATTTCTTGACCAGTAAAGACTTATAATCTAAACGATTCAACTCGCATATGTTATTTTTACATTGTATATTATCTGAACAGTTTATTTTAAAATAATTAATACATTGTAGAATTATAATAATTTATAAAATCTGTTGTATGTATAAAGATATTGCATTATATGAAACAATTTTATTGCAACTAATTTCAATGCATCGAAGTTGTTGCGTGTGAAGACTAATGTTAATTACTTTATAATAAAAGTATATATAAAATTCAGTTTATACAATATCCAAAAGTATAGAGAAAATAAACCCCTTTAGTTCATAGGTCTGATATTTTATACTATAATAATATATACATATATATATATATATATATATATATATATATATATATATATATATATATAAACAAATACACTGATAATCATTATGTTCAGATAAATTCTTACAATTGTATAAATAAGTATTGTTTTAGATATTAGAATTTTATTAATTGTTTAATAAAGTAGTTTAATTTGTAAAATTAGATTTATAAAATAAAAATTATTTACGATACAAATTACTTTAGAATTTATCTTATATTATGAATACTAAATTAATGCAACATTGAACATATACATTACAAAAAAAAATCAACAAATTAAAGAATTGGATTAAATAATTGAAAAAACAATGATAATTAAATAGTGAAATAAAAATAACGGCAATTTACGAATTAGAATTTATAAATGAAACTAGTATTACTGAAAATTAAATACTCATATTCATAAATTTCATTCATATTTATTACTTACGGAATTTATTTTATAAATGAAATAATTGTGCTCATATTATATTTAATTCACATTAAAAGTTTTTTATAATTTGAAATCAAGAAAAATGAGCAAGTTTATTTTTACTTAACTTTCTCTATTTACATATCAATTACAATGTATCCTTATATTTTTACACTAAAATTAAACTTCGAAATGCTTAATTTTTTTATTTTTATATCATGCTATATATTTTAAAGTTTTCAATTCTTTTTATTAATCACTTCAAAATATTTAAGTGATTTAATCTACTATCGTTGTTCATAATTATAAGATTAAGTTAAATTAGTTATTGGAAATAATCTATAGTTTATGAACTTTATATATTCTTTCTCGTATTTTATATACCAATTGCTTTGAATTATATTTAGTATTATTTATCATGTTCATCATTACATAGTATGTAATATATTAGGTAATTTTATAAGCATTGTATTAAAATCAAATTAAATGGCCACTTACTCAAAGTATTATAAGAAAATTTTTCAAAATATTATACTTTAATATGTTAAAATATTGAGAATTAAAATTGAAGACAATATATTACGAAAAATTACAAGTGAAGAAACTAAAAAAGAAAAACTAGTATATTATTAAGACAAATTCATTAATTTGTCATAGTGTTGTCATTTATAAAAACAGAATCAAACTTATTTTATCATAAAAAATAATATAATAAATAAAAATAATAAACAAAAAAATTACAAAAATATAATAAATAATTAAATACACAACATTTTGATAAAGTTAAAGGTCAATAGACATTTACATAAAAATAATTATGTAATTTCTATATAATATTTCCATTAATTTTTTAAAAATTATTTAAAATGCATATTTGTCATAATTTTCAATACATTTTCATTGTATTACAGACATTTCAAACTATATGGACGGTATTTATCTATAGAAATAAAATTACTATATTTTTACCAAAATTATGTCTCCATACTATATTATAGAATTGATTAAAACAACATAATCACTATAATCTTTCTGCTTGAACAATAATATGTTCTTCTCTGTATGAATCAGTTGAGGACCAGCAACTTTTTAAACATGTGAATATCAGAACTGTACCAAATTCAATTTGGAAATTTTCCTCATTTTGTGGTTGCAATGTTAATTTTGGTATAAGTGTTGGCAATACTTGTAATTCAAAAGTCATTTCTGCTCCACAATGTCTACATTTTCCAATACAACCACTTATAGGATATAATAGTAACACTCCAGAATTGTCTCTGCAGTATCTATAAAATAAGAATATAAAATATATATTTTATTTGTATAAAAAAATAAACAGTCAACAAGATAACTAAAGTTTTTGTACCTTAGCAATTGTCCAGGATTATTTTGTATGCGACTGACAAAATTATGGAACATTTCATCCCCATGCAATGGAATACTTTTTTCATACTTTTCTATATCTGTCCCAGCATTTTTGGAATCATTAGATTCTGTTGGTGATGAATCTGGGTTGGTATGTTGATATTCTAAAAGTAACTCTCGAACATGTTGTGGTACATCAATATTGGAAACTTCTTCATCAACAGAAATAAAGATTTCAGTAAAAAAGTATTTCTCATCTGTATTTGATTCAATCTCTATTGGGAATGGCGTTACTTCATGTAACAAACTGACCAAATCACATTGTGGCTGGGTAGGAGTATCAATGCATACAACTTCACTTTCTTCACCTTCTATTTCTGCAGATGCTTGAGGAGAATCTACTTTTCCTACGGCTCCTCCAATTGGTGATTCTATACTCGCAGGACTAAGGAATATGATTGATATAGATCAATACACACATATATATATATTGTATACTATACATAATTTAATATAACACGCATATAAAATAAACAATGACAAACCTATTTGCATTTGGGTCATCTACTTGCAATACAGCAAAATCATCTACAAAATCTTTTCCAATAGCAGATTGCATGGAATTATTAAAATCAATAGGAACATTTGATAGCATATTATTTCCATTGTGTTCACAAGAATTCTCATTCAAGTTATCACCCCAGTCATCTGCTCCTGCCAACCAAGTTTTTGTAAGTAATACACTTGTGCCATCTTCACTAGATGGATTTGTTTTACTTTCGTTCTCCAAGGACTGAATTCTCAAACAAGTCCAACTTTCATTGTGATTCCAACAATTTGGATTGATGCATGCAAATATATAAAGTGTGCGATGGTATTTAGAATTTTCTAGTGGAGCATACAATTGTAGAGCCAAGAGTTGGTGTAAGCCGCAAAGTCTACACTGTGGTGATGACAGTGTGTTCTTTCCATGCCAGTCCTATCCATAGAAATATTATACATAAGTAAGTGTTGATTTATTGAATATGATGTAGAGAAATTATACAAAATATTAATATATATATTTTTTTAAGAATATTTAGATAACTACTTTAAAAATAACAAATAAAAAACAATACAAAATATCTAGTTTTATCTGTCTATATAATAATTGTTAACAATTTGTGCAAAAATATCATATAAATTTGTAAAAGGGTGTATCAAATGACTATCTTTCTTTTTTTTATCTACTATACAAATATATTGTACAAACATGCAATATAACGTAAAAACTTCTCATTATCTAATTTTTTTAATTTCTAATCTATATATAAAAAGCAGCAATATGTAAAATAAAATTTTTAACAAACTTTTTTTCTTATACTCACTGGAAATCCACCAATTTTATTAGTTGTAAAATTAATTAGATTACGATGCTTATCTATCACATAGTCATCTTCGTAACCAAGATATACCTTCGTACGATTATTACGAGCCATTAAATATGATTCAAATAATATTTCATTGGAAGACTATCGATAATAAAATAGCACTGATTTTTTAATACAGCGTTATCAATGAAGCTTATAAAATGCAGCTGATATGTACATAACTTTTGTACGACGCGTGCGCTTTTACCGGTTTCTGCTTTAATCGATTTTTGGAGCTTTCACAAAAGATAAAGCATATTACAGATTTCTTCACTCATAGTTTTAAGATAAACTCTAGCGGTGGCGCTATTATAGCTTTTTTCCTACCGTTTTTTATGTTGGTATTTCTTTTTCGCTTATTGGTTGTTATAAACCAATGCACATGACAGATAATATATATAACACATACCTTCTAATAGTGAACACTGAGTTAAGAAAGGAAAATATGAATATATAAAATTGTTTTTTTTTTATTTTTTTTATTAATATTCTCAATTTCTGTTTTTACGACTTATCTATCAACAACTTGTATTAATAGGAAAGTATTTTAGCACATTGTATTTTCTTTATCAACATTCTAATAAATACTATGTGTGTTGTTCATATTTTTTACTATAATATTGGTAGCATTGTTATATGTTAAATCGTGCAAGATTGTGATGGGGGATCAGTCTCGTGGTATCTGCCGGTGATTCTAAGTGAACATTGTTGAATAAAAATATTTATAATTTTGTTGTATGACCGTGCAATTAGATAAACATAAGATGTTTATAATATTTCGTACGCTTCTCATACTCATTCATCTTTTATACAGCTTACGGTTAATAATTTATAATAGCTGTTTAATTGTTCATCGAAAGTGTATAGGATATTGGTATAAAAAAAATCCAAAGATTGAAATAGAAATGCTTGTACACAGTATGAATAAATTAAGTAAACTGCCAGAGCATGTGGTTATTTTGGGAGAAAAGAAAGATTGTATCAAAGATTCAATACAAATAATCTCTTGGTGTATTACATTGGGTATCCCTTTCATTAGCTTTTATGGACGGAAAGGTAACATGCCATACCAATTATACGTCATTATTAGCTATATTAGATATAATTGCCGATACAAGGATATTAAAAATGACATTATTTGTTTTTGTTAGAATGACACATTATTTTTTATGTAATTTTATCTATATAAATAATCTTTATTACCTTTTAACATTACTTTTAATTTTACTTTTTATGTGACTATTATATTTATATACTTGTATTTTACTCAATTTTATCTAGACTTTTTGTCACAACACGAAAATGCTATAAAACAAGAGTTTGCTATTAGGAGACCAGAGTTAATGGAATATATTAATTGGAGTCAGTTGCACATTCCACACAAAGAAAATGGAATTACAGGTATAGTAAAATTATTTTAAAATTTTTCATATATAAAAGAGATTTTATAAAATTATATTGAAATAAATAATTATGTTGTTATTATAAGAATGTATAAAAAAGAGATTTATAGGATATTATGTTTGACATACAGTTTACTTGCTTTTAAAATATTTGCTAATATTATAAAAATGGTATATTTTACATAAAAGTGAATTGTATATTTATTTATATAATTTTATAATAATTTGTTTGGCCATCTCTTTTCTCTTCTTCATATTTTTCTAAAACTGTATTTTTAAATATGATAAATAAATAATAGTTGATCGCATGTTAAAATATTTTTTTTTATGAATATTATCAATAAGTTTTTAAAAGTATTCCTTTACATGGAAATTGACACCAGTTCTGAAGAGGGCCAATCCTTTTGAAAAATTGATGTATTCAAGAAGGTTCATTGTGACTACCTTATGTAACAATTGATTGTCGGATTGATACAATTGAAAATGAATCTAATTGAAACAGTAATGAAAATAATATTTCTTATATGCAATTTGTTTGTAACTTTATATTTAATGCTTTTTGTTTGTCTATAATAATATTTTATATATCTTTCTAGGTTCTAACACTATGATTCGAATATTATTACCATGTAAGAATAGTGGAAAGGGTGGAGTAGTATTGTTAACTCAACATTTAGCAGAGGCTGTAACAACAAAAAATTTAAAAATAGAAGAAATCAATGAAAATTTTATTCGTGAAAAAATGACGTTAAAAGGGATTCCTGACCCTGATTTAGCTTTAATACATGGACATATTTGCTCTACATATGGTTTTCTTCCATGGCATATTAGGACAACAGGATTTGTGTACGTAAAAATATTAACTAAGTTATGTAAACAAATTGAAATTTACTTCTATATTTTTAGGACATTACCTGAATGTCACAATGTGTCAGTAAAGGATTTTATTTGGATACTAAAAAAATATAGTAAGCGAGAACAACGATATGGTGAATAATATTATTATTTATAAATAATTTCTTTATGTATTTGTGTGAAAAAAAGACAATTGAATTGAATCCTTTGGTAAAGACTGAGCAGGAAATAAATAAGAGGAATTGTTTTGTAATAAATAATGACTTTTCAGTATAAAGTGACAATATCTTTGTCGCAATTTAATTTTATTGCGTAATTAAGAATTTTCTATTTATTAAAAATAAATAGATTGTTATTCTTATATTAGATCATTGAAGTCATTAAGAATCTTAGGTTTTAAGAGAAAAATGTATGTATCAATTATACAATTTTTAAAGTCTTATTATTTTCTAATTTACATAATATGTAAGTGTAAGTATGTATAAATGCATTGTAATTCTTAAATGACTGGTAGAAAATAATTAAATTACTGTTAATTGTGTTAAAATAGGATAGTGAGAAAGATAGACATAGTATCTGTCAATATGTTGTCTCATTATTGCATTATATTTTTCTTTTTTTTTTTTTTATTTAATCATTAATGTAGAAAAATATATGGGAGAAATGAATTTATAATTTACATATTTGATGGAGATGATATTTTAAAATGTGACATCTCTGCTGTTTTCAACGATGCGTCGTCTTTCGTGCAACAATTCTAAAAATTTTGCTCTTGGACTTTCAGGACGATATCGCCATCTTTCCCAGGAATATGGTTTAGTATCGGTAACGGTAGCTCGATGGAATATTCTTGAATTGGCAAAATTCAGTGTTTCATTTTTTGTACATCTCAAAAAAGTGTTTGTCATTAACCTTGGAAAGCCATTATCCTCAAATGATTTTCCTAAATGTTCGTAATACCTTATAGGCTTCATTAAAATACTACTTGACAATTCTATATTTTCATCCTCCTTTGCGGCTGAATCATCGAGAAAATCGTTCATATTTCTATCATCATAAAAATGATAAAATTTGCAAGTACTATTCTGAAATTGTTTCTCTTTTCTATAAAAAATACTTTTCGTACGACAATGGCAAGATGGATAAACGTTTATTAATCGATTAGAATGTTTTTTTTCAATTTTACTTTTTACATTAAACACTTCTTCATTATTCGTATCGTAAAAGTCATCATAGATCTTTAATGGATCGTATGGATCTTCTGTAAATCTCGGCATGGAAGAATCTTTAAGAGAATACCTGTTAGAAGGAAGTAAATTCTCTAAGGTTTCCGAAATAATAGGTTCTTCCTGTAAATTCGTATCTTTTCGAACAGGATTAGAAGAGATCTTGGAATTTATACTAGAATCTATACTAGAGCTCGCTAAACCAGATTTAGCGCCAGCAGATTCAACAACGATGCCATATTTTTCACGGAGATACTCATTGTGCTTATTTGTTTTTTCTATACAGTTTTCTAATCTCTCGATACCTTCTAAACATTTTTTAAAAGATTCTGTGGCTACTATAACGTCAGTTTCTTCTAACAATTCAATATTATTATCGATAATTTTATGATCTTTCAATTCCGTATTATTTTCGTTTCGCTGAGGATAATATCGTCGATGATTTCCTCGTTTTTTCTCTTGTCTCTGATGTTTTTCACAAATATTTGTAGTATTATTTATATATTCATTGAGAGAATTCATATTACGCATAAACGTTGTTGCCTCGTTAACGTATTCTTGTAATATTTTCCTCTTTAATTTTACAATACAATCCTCGTCTCTGTAAATGTCTTCACTGCTATCGGAATCACTCCAACTATTTCGAAAACTATTTTTTTCGCAAGACTTGATGTTTTTATTACTCGATATCTTGACAAAATTAGCCGTAGTCTTTTTCTCTTGCGCACTCGATTGCATTTTGTCTTTGATGTTATCACCTTCGTTATTATTTATATTTTCAAGATGATCATCCGAAATTTTGTCTTTATTTATCAACAATTCTCTATCATCTATATAAACAATCTGAGAATCATCATCATTAGCATTATGCTCGTGCATTTTCTTTTTAATAAAAGGCTTGGAAAAAGTTTTACTTTGATTCAATGAATTTGTTTCCGTTGGTTTAATCTGATGTTCTTTGGAAGTTTTGCTATTCATAAAGGTGACTTTTTTCTTGCAAGAATTTTTTAAGATATTCGATGACTTTTCTTCGAAATTAATTCGTGCTTCCTGTGAATTATCGATGTTAATTGTATCTTTACCTAAAATCAATGATTTATAATTGTGAACAGAAATGGAAGATTCATCGATTGGTTCGACAGATTTTTTCTTTGGAAATTCTATTTGATCCTTCTCGAAGTGATTCGCGAGTGAGATTTCGACGTTATTGTCGCAACTATTTCCTAATGTAATTGAATTTTCTTTCTTAGTATGAGCTACAACGTCGGGTGGACAAATATTTTCAAAAATTTCATTCTCCTCAGGAGTTTCTGTATTTATATTATTCGAATTACAGATAACATTTTCCTCGTTATAATCAAGACTGTCATCTGAAAAATTATAATCGTGTTCTAGCAGTCTTTTAGAATCTATTCTGGCGATCAAAGCCGGAGATTTTAAATCTGTAACTTCATTATTATCGTACATATTATTCGGAAGAAAGACATTGGAATTTAGATTAGGTTCTTTCAAATCTTTAGTACTAACGATCGCGGTACAGTCGTTGTTTAAAGAATTATTCCATGCAAATGTTAACCCATTAACTGATAATACATTTCTTGGGCGTTGCCACGAAGTTGGAGGAAATGAAATCATCCAATTTTTCCAAATGTCTGTAGCTAATGGGTTATTATATTTTTTTGAAATAAACGTTTCTCTAAAGCTTTTGTCTCGGTTAAATGATCGACCACTTTGAAGTGCATAAACCTGTCCCTTGTTCATATCAGTAGCAGATTCTTTTGTATCTGGAACGAAGGAGGTACCTAAAGAATTGGTAAAAGTAACTGATGCTTTCGTAGCTGTGTTTTTAGATGTATTCAACGTATCTTCTTCCGATTGAGTACATATCTTAGAGATGTGCCGAGGATCCTCAAATATATTTTCGATTCTAAAACATTTATTATCCGTTTGACTGACACTTGATTTTGTTGCAAATTCTTTCACATAACAATCATTACTCATGTCTTCCTCTTTGATATTTTTCTTTTCAGTTTCAGTTTGACATTCGTTGTCTTTTAAACGAGATAAATCTCCTTTTTCCGAGATACTTGTCTTATTTAAAGTATCATCAATTATAACAACTTTTGATTCTAAAAGGTTTGAGCTTTCGATAGTTATACTAATAGTATCGGGTAAACACATGGAAATAACGTTTCTATCTGATTTTTGTACAGCCGTTGTAAGAATGGATTCTTCAATTACATTGTAATTCTTTTCAAAATATTGGGTTGTTTTTTCTTGTACAATTGATTGCTCTGGTGGCTGTTGCGTTTGAATGATAGAATTGACTGCAACAGGAACGGCCACAGTATTCGTTGATTTATCAAAACGATTGACTTTTTTATCGTTAGCTAAACATAATTCTGAAGTATCTGTATTAGACATTTTATTCGTATAAGTTCTCATATCTTCCAATAATATTTTGGAATTATTATTTAAAATATTCACACCGTATTCGTAAAAATTGAGATCATTCACCAAACACTCTGCATCTTTAGATTCTATGACTTTGTATTTTAATTTGTCCGTCAATGTTGCAATTTCTTTTACTCTAATAACAGGCGATCTATTGTCCATATTCGTTTGATAACCGTTGTGTTCGTCGGTTAATACACCTACATCTTGACAAACAATTTTTGTTTCGTCCGTTAAAGATGCCGAATCCTTCATACGAATCGTTTGGATTTGTTCCGTTTGCGTATCAACATTGACACGTCGTCGTTTGGCTAGCATCTTTCTTGATATCTCTTGAAGTTTTGTTTTAGCCGTCAAAGAGGACGTCGTTAATCTAACGTCCGTTCCCTCTGGAGGCGAACGAATACCTGAAAGAGACGTTGATGCAGATCCTGTCACACCTGTCATTTCTTCCACTTGTTTCCTGCTCGAATATAATCTTTCCGTAACAGCAGCCACAATCTCCGCTCTCTTCGTCTTTTGTACAGGAGTGTGAACCCTTGTAGGTGGATTATGATCCAATGAATCCTTTCTCCTTAAGATCTTATCATTCGTCAAACTCGAAATCAATATCTGTTCGTCTTTCGAACTACTCGAACTACTGTCTTTACTGGTCTTCCTCTTTAAACTTTCTAAACTTGGCTTTCTCGCTGTATTTTTAATTTTCCCTATAAGACCTATCACGGATGAATTATCTTTTGGATTTTTTTCAAATTCATTACTACCAGTCCTTTGAAGAAAATCTCTACTGTCAAATTTGTTAGTATCTTTCCATAGGCTTGTATAGCTATTGCTTTTAGAATTTTCGACTTTTCCTTTATCTACGAGTTTATTCTCTATGTCGACTTCCTCCGGTACCGTCGTTTGTTTCTCCAAATTCGTATTGGATCTCTCTAGAGTCGCTAGATTATCACGTTTTTTTTGTAATATTTCGACAGAACCGAATTTTCTCGACATATACAAGTTCGTAGACGTTTCCGTTGGTGTTGCAACATTAATGGAATTTTGTTTACAAAATTTAGACTTTTCTTTTCTTCCCAAATGAATGATATTTGAACGAGTATCGTTTATTTCATTATCCAAATCTAGACTGAAATGATTATTTTCATTTTCATAATCATTGTTCGCAGCTTTGCTTGTACGATTTTCACAGATTTCGCGAAGGTTACTACTTCCTATAAAATCCGACTCGATCGGATAATCATGTATTTCATCAGAACAAATCTCTTCGATTTGTGTCGAGTTCTCGTGGAAATTATTATCCGGCTTTATAAGTACTGCAACAAGAGTTGGAATGTCGACGAATACAGCTTCGTTTATCTCTCCGATGAAATTGTTTTCTTCGTCCTTCAATTCTGAAACCTCAGCACGATTATAACTGTAACTAGTGATAGTGCTCGTTTTGTAATCGAGACATTCGTATGAACCAAATTTTCTAATAGATTTTACGGAGGCCTTATCGTGATTTGTTAAATTCTCAATTGAATTAACCCTTCTGATTAAAGAAAGAACTCCACTATTACTACTATCACCAACACTACTAACACCTTCTTTTATATGTTCTATCTGTCTCTTATTTCCCAGTACGCTATTTTTCGACGATTGATCCTTCTTTTTTCCCGAATCGTTCGTCTTGGATTCATTTTGTAATGATTTTTTATCTGGCTCGATGTTCTATAAGAATAACAAAATAGACGAAACATACGATTTAGGGTAAATAAAGAAAATATATGAAACATCCTCGCAATTTTTAATATATACCTTCTCTAATAACAAAGATTTCAATCTTGTTATCTCAGCCCTTAATTCACGGATTGTTTTTGCCATGGGATCTTCATTGACCACGGGTTTATTGACCACGCTGTGCGCCCTTTGAGCGAATCGTAACGTATGCGCGGTTTCGTTGTAATTTTCACTGGCTGGTGATACGGCTATGAATAATTATGAATAATTGAATATTCTTGTTTGTTTTGTAATAAAAAACGCTTTTATATATATACATATATAGATCTGTTATATAAGATCATTGCCTTTAAATGTTTCCATAGAAAGCATCTAATTGTAAAGTAAATGATAAAAAGGCTATAAACATAAATATTTACTTGCGAACATAACGGTGGTAGCATTTCCACCGAGTGCGTCCTTCAGAAGCCAAGTAAGCGAAGAATCTCTATAAGGTATATACCTTCTACTGGAACCACTAGCACCTGAGACTTTCCCCGTTAAAGCCGAAATAACATTGCCCAAGGCTACCAAACTTTTATTTATATTCGCACCTTCCTACACAAAAAGACATTGTATGTTGTTGTTATGAATTATTATATAATATATAATGAATTATTATTGTTATTATTATTATTATTATGTTTTATTACGATATATATGTTTACAAAAAGTCAATAATTGAAAATAAATTTATCTATTTATTTTTTTGTTTTGTTTTATTTGTAGTTTAATAAAAAGAAGTTTCTGGAGCAATATTGATTTCTTAATACTTACGACAATATCATAAGATATCTATTATCTTTTTTTTTTAATAGAATAACTCACTTTTAGTCGATGTACACCATCGCACCTTTGAGCGTTTTCGCTACCGGCTAGATCGACCAAGTGCAGCTTACTGCCGTTATTACGAGGTGTGACGTCGTTGCGCTTAGTAGAGGATGCGCCATCGTTGTATTTTCTATCGGTATTTTCATCATTCGTTGATTGTTGCCCTGTCGTAGCTGTCGTCGTTGATATCTCCGGATTAAGAAAAATTGTGAGCAATGCGTGACTACGACTACTGCTGGAATTTTGTAACGTTGCGGCTGTCTTTCTGGCTTTTGTACCTCCTTCGACGTATGACATTAACGTTTCTAATGTATTAGCTACGTGATACGTCAATCCTTGTGATAGAAAATAATTATTTTTTAAATTAATTTTTAATCGTTCGATAGAATCTAAGGAGTATCTTTATCTTTGTCGATTACAATAGAATCTTTAATTATTATGAAATAATAAATTATTTTTATGTATCATATAAAATTATTGAAAATTGTAAATATTTTATGTAGAAAAATATATTTGCTCTATGAAAATGATGATTTATATTGTATTAATAATGTATTTTTTTATACCTTGGACGTAAGGACCTAGTCGAGGATGTTCACGAACTCTTAGATTATGGCTACTCGAGGATGGTTTCAAAAGATCTCTCACGCGTTCGTTATAAATTTCTAAATAGCTAAAACAGTAACAATCATGTTATTATATGTATATATATATATTTTTATATACGTTTAAATAATACCATAATAACGAATGAATTATTAAGAATTCTTTTTCATTTTTTTTCTTTTCATCCGTACCAATTAATCCTCAGATTTGATTTTCACAACGACGTACATTGTATTATCGTATCTTTCGTCGAAATTCTAAAGTCTTTGATAGATAATATGTTATTAATTAAGGCTCGATAACAAGGCGTGAAAGTCATTTATCAGAAGCTTTTAACTTTTCGAGTAGTTCGCGAAATTAGAGACGAATTACTAAGGAGAATAAAGAAAAAAAAAAAAAATAGATAGAGATAGAAGCAGGTGTCCGCAAAAACGAAAGCGATGGCGACGTCGTATAACACGTTTTCGTGTCTAACGGTTATTACGCTGCTGGAATAAGAATCGATTTGCAATCTTCACTCTCGCCATTACATCGGCGACGAGCGATAGTAATTTAAAACAAAAAGAAAAAAAAATAAGTAACATTTTGGCCGCGAACTCATCGAACAGTTTAATAGTCGCGTAAAAGAACGATCGAAACATGACCTTCGACTCGATTCATCGATCTTCTCTTTGCACTTTGCTGTTTTTTTCTTTTTTTTTTTTTACATAAAACGCAATATTCTCTCTTTAGGCCAGACAAATTTTTTCAATATATATATATATATATATATATATATATATATATATATATATATATATAATAAATAAATATATATACAATAAAAAGAAAGAAATCACAGAAAGGATTTCACGGTATTGTAATACATCATTATATTTTCTTAGACGTGTTGCGTGCATCATCTTCACGTTTCGAAAGAGCGTGCTAGCAAAAGATCATTGCATTTTATTCCAAGAATTCATTAGATTATAACGGCCCTGTATCATGCTATTGGTATTGATATCAAACATTGGTGTAGAATATTGCTCGAAACTTTGCGTCTCTTTCATCCGATAATCATTTCCATAAAGATTTACGATCGGCTTTATTGTAGAACTCTGATGAGAAAATAAAATAAAATTCTACAATTGGGCATAATTTACCCGTCTAAGTTATGCTCGTAAGGACTAACAATAACATCATTAAGAATCCTGTTCACTCGGCAAAGGTTCGAGCAAAGTTTCTCCCGCTACCCACTAACCTACTTAACGATTTTACGTCCATGACTGTCTTTACGAAGACAAGCAGTACCCATTTATACGTACATTACATATATATCACTAAATTAAAAAAAGAATTTCTTTCTTTCTTTCTTTCTTTCTTTCCTATGAATAATAATAATAATAATTATCGTGTTAAAACGTATCCTTGTTTAATTCTTCGTTCTCGAATTATCATAATTCCTGTTATAACTAAAGACTATTTTCTAATTCAAACACTACCAGCACTGTTATCAATATTATCTTTTTTTAATTATACTTACTAATAAATATATGTAAGTTTCAATAATATCGTTACTTTTGATAAGTTTCGTATAGATAATATCGAAATTTTAATAATATTATCTACTTGTTTTTTTACGTGTACGTGTGTGTTTACGTGTTGTTATTCTAGTAATGCGCTGGTAGTTGAAACGTAAAGGGTTAATATCTTTTAGCTGGTACAGTTATCGCTATGTATTCGTTCACGTGCAACCGTACACACAACAAAATTTAGCGTTTACCTTGAGTAAGATTTCAAGTCGAGATTTAAACTCTATCTAATTATTTAACACGTGACTCCTTTCTCCACGTTTCCCCATTCTATTTCTTACCACAGCTTTTAAACAGTTTTTCATTTCGTAGTCATATTATAAAGTTTCTTCCTTGATTAAATGCACGTTAGCGTTTCTTATCACATTCGTCTTTTTTTCATCCTTTAATTACTCCTGGTTGTTCTTTTATAATATATAACTACGATGTACTATGTTATAGGTATTCATTCTTCAAGGACACCACTACCACAACAAACTCTGTTATTTTTCTTTTCTTTAAGAATAACACACGTGCGATCAAATCTCCCATCGATTTACAATTAAACACAATAAACTTAAACGATGCGTTATAAGGGAATATATTTAAATTCCAACGATTATATCTCAATCTTTTTTTTTTTCTTTTAACTCTCATTCAGCTCTTCTCTAAATTATTTCTGACCGACAAATATGATACTCTGATTTCATTAACGTAATTTTGATAATACGATTATAATATCTAAAAATACGATATACGTATAATTACGAAACACGTAAGAGTTAAAAGTTTGATTTCATCAGCTGATTGAAAAAAGAAAAATAAATGGAGGCACAAATAATTAGAAAAAAAGACAGAGAGTGAGAGAGAGAGAGAGAGTGTGTGTGTGTGTGTGTGTGTGAAAGAGAGAGAAAGAGAAAGAGAGAGAGAGAGAGAGAGAAAGAGAGAGAGAGAGACAGAGAGAGAGAGAGAGAGAGGGAGAGAGAGAGAGAGTGAGCTTGCGTCCGTTTAGGATTGCGAGTCACGAGGCACTGACTAAGACTATAAGACACATCCAGGCCAGCGAGGGATTGAGCTTACAAGTTTGCAAGCTCAACTTATACGTCTCAACCACCCTCTACCTCTACCCTCTCTCTTAACTATCGTTTAGCATTTTCTACTCACGTAACAATAAAGCCGGACCTTTCGTCTAAAACTTAAGATATTTTTTTTGTTTCCGTTGATGGCTTCTCATGTAGAGAATGATTAGGAGAAAAAAAACACGAAGCCAATTGATGTACACTTAAGGAAACACGATACATTTGACGATATATTCTACAGTAGCAAAAAATTTTTTTATAGGATCAATTTCTTTTACATTATTTATCATTTAACTGGAAACAGTGTTTCTGATACTTTGCAATGGTTTGATTTATATGATGCCCTTTTTAAGACACGTAGGGAAAGGACAATTATTTTTCTATTTATAGAAAATATTGAATTTATATATAGGTATATATGTAAAATGTCTATAAGATTAATATTCGTTCGTTTTCTACGAAGAACATTCAATTGTGCGATAACAAAACGATTATTCCTCCTCATCTATTGATCGAAAATCCGATCAAGCAAGAAAATACGATATATGTACTTGAAACGTGATCCGTAGAAAATAACAGATAAAATTGAACCGATAGGCGAACCTTGACCAAAACCAAACATTACCGTCATCGATAGCCAATCTATCTAACAATAAGTAAGCTACAGACATACATCGGTATGAGTATTCGTGAGAAAGGTGTCGAACCTGCGATCTTTCCCACGATTATCAAATAGGAATATTAACGCGATCAGAAAATGAAGGTCGTCTAGGGGCTTAAAGTTCTATGTGAATCCACAAATGCTACTTGGTGTTATCGTAAGAATTTTCAAAATTCATAAGACGTTCACATGTTACAATTTTCAAAGGGAAAGTGTGAAATATATAATCGTTCATCTTGAGATCATTGGACTATTTTCCATCGTTTTTCATTACTGTGAGTTATCGAAAACGAGCTGTCTGATCGTTGAGAGGTATCATCAATCAACTCTGCAGTATATCCTGCACGGCAATGGTTTTCTTCAAAAGATGTAACTAAACTATATATATATATATATATATATATATATATATATATATATATATGCATATATATTCATATACATCGATCTTCCGTTTAATGCTTATTCATGATTTCGAACACATTTGGTTTGTCTTCGTCGAGATTTATTCTATCTTTGATTTCTATAATATATGAATCTTATATGCTATTTAGAGAACTCCTTTGAAATTTTTATATTATATATGCAAGAAGAGGTAGAAGTTATGAGATGATTTTAAAAATCAATTGCTCTTTTTCGAGATCTTTTAGGCTTGTAGTTAGATTAATTGTCTTACAATTTGAAACAAAAATTAGTCTAAGAAATTCTGAAAAAAATTAATTGATTTTTAAAATCACACGTGCGCACATACACACTCACACATATGTGTATATATATATATATATATATATAACCACCTGATTGAGACATGGAAGATATTTTCTTTCAATTTTTCTTCTTTTATACGAGCAAAGATACCCTTGCAAAGTCGTGGCGTTAGTCCTGGATCATTCTACGAAAAAAAAGAATAGCATAATTCTTAAAGAATTTGTTAACTTACATATTAATTAATAATTTGTATACCTCCGTTCCCATGATAGTATAAGTCTTTCCGGACGCGCTCTGTCCATAAGTAAGAAGACAAGAATTATATCCGGCAAAGATATCATTAAGAACAGATTTGCCAAGAGTATCGTAGATCTTCTCTTGATTAGCATAATTCTCTGATTCAGGATCGGTGGAATCGAAGCAGTAATCGAACTCATACTTTCGTGTACGTTCACGACTATCGCCAGCTTTGTTCAATGGGACTTTTAGATTTGTCAATGAAATCCCATTTTGATCGGTGCAGATGACCACAGTCGATCTAGAGTTCTTCAATTCTCTAAATTATTATTAAAATACAGATAGATCAGAATTTAATTAAACAAATTGATTAAAATCGATTAAACGAAGATTGTTTATGGAAAATATTTTTCTTTGATTCAATTTTGAACTGATTAATTAATGTTTATCTAGTTTTAAACGTTAAAAAAAAAAGAAATAAAGAGAAAGAACAGAAGAGAAACTGAACACAATTAATAGCAATTACAGACGCTTATTTGATATCTTATTACATTTCTAACCACCGATCACTCTTGCTTCGTATTTCTTGAAAAGTGAGCATGGTTTTGTTCTTACTTTCGTTACCACTTCTATCTGTCTCGTCTAAGTATAGAAACGAAAACACTCTTCATAAAGACGGAGTCAGCCGTTATGTATCTGTGGACTTGACATCCCGTTTCCTTTGATTCTAGTACGACACTCAAATACTATTCTTAAATTAGGTCAGCTGATTTTTTGATCGAACAAGATAAATTTCGTGTGTTACGATGAAATACTCACCGAGCCGAGAACGGTCTCACGCGAACAGCCACTTTAATGTTCGCCATATTGTCAGAGCCCGTTAAGAAGACACTAATTGTCTTTCATTCACATTGTAACGTCGTTGAAGCTAATTTAAGCTATTGTTAATGGATGACAATTGGATTGAAACGAATGATTGAATGATTGACATACATATATCAGTGAAAGTATAACAGTAATATACTTAAATATATATTTAAATTTGAAATATCGAGAGTTTAATAAGTTTTTGAAAACACAGGACACACTAACCAGGTCGTTGCAGAGTGCATAAGAACATGAAAAGGCAGAAAATGACGGGGACGGAGTGCGTGTTCGGGCCAAGTGCACGTGCTCTACTGCTGCGATGAAAATATCCACGAGACGCTCCAAAGAACATCATTCGTGCTCATGGTTTATCCCGGCCGGGATACTCGCTCGTACTTACGATGCTCCATTTAAAAGGGAACTATAACCAATTGTACGATAATCTTCTTTCTTTTTCTACCTTTCTTTCTTCCTTTTTTTTCTTCTTTTATTTCCTAGTTTCTCATTAACGTGCATACTTAATGTATATCGTAGAATTGTATATCCACTTTTTCAGTTATACTTCTATTTACTGAATAATCATTATATTAAATATATAAACATACATGAAGAAGATATAGATTATGTAAATCTAGATTTAATAAACTATATCTAATATCTAAATATCAATTTGATTGGTATTCACTGTAACACTCCAAACGTTCAACTGTAATGAAATTCGTACTCCAATTATACTCCAGTTGATATTTTAGTTTGATGTAGTCTTAACGTTTACTACAAGTATCTATGCTCTATCATTCTTCGGTCGTGGTATGGAGTACTGTGAGATATGAAAATGATGTACTGAGAACCTTTAAAAATATAAATACAAGTTCGTGTGAATATCAATAAAAAATTTAACGATTTATAAAAATTTTATATGACTCTGTTTCCTTTTTTTTTTTTTTGAAACTTACTGATGCGAAGCTTTCAAGTGACATACTATAAAATTTTGCAGCTGTTATTTTGCATGGTACTTTGCATCGCATGATGATCGTTCGTAGAGTTAAGCCAAAATTGTTGTTATACCATTCGCTTTCATAAGCAGCTAAGCCTACAGCCTCGCTCTACATTTATGATACAATAGTTATAATATTAATTAATACTTATTAATTAATTCGTAATTGTTAATATTTATTAATTCGATAAATAAGTAAATAATGTGAGGATAATACGCTTACCTCATCAATCAATTTGTTTCCGCTAAAACTAAATAGAAAAAGCTCCAGAATTGCAGAGTTCAAAAAAGCCGTATATTTCATGAATCGTCCTCTATCTTGAATCATCTGAGAAAACATATTATACGCACATACACAAACACACACACACACACACACCAGGTTAATCTTTATAAATTTATTGAGGTACGAATATATTATCGCAAATGATAACGAACCTCAGTGATTTGAAATCCTGCAAAGCACACCAAACCGGTACTAATAACGAATTGCCCTAAGGCCAAGATATTTATAACTCTCTCCAACGTATCAGCGAACCTATCTACGAGTAATTTAGTTAATAATTTATTTATTTTTATAAGATTAATATTTTTCAATGTTTGATCATATTACGATCAGAAAAGTTAATATTATAAGAAAGATTAAAAATAATATCAGGCAGCTCACGTGATAGCATCCTGATGATTTTTTACACAGGCTGAAAGTTCAGCGTATGCATTTTGATCGTTGCCTTTTATATTTTTTAATCTTCTCTGTAGGATTGCGAATTTTGCGGATCCGTGCATAACAACGACAAGATTGAAACTCGTTGCACCAGCTATAGTAGTGGCTGAGAAACAGCCTGATATAATGTTGAAAGTATAGATTATTTCGAAGAATGGAGAGATCGTATGATTTACAAAGAAATATCCACGAAAGGGCAATACCCTCATAGTTGTATCATGGATATATCCCTTTAACAAAACGAAACAATCTCAAATATTTATCTATTTTTTTTTGTTATTAATTTTTAGATTATTCTTGCATCAAATACCTCTATGAGAGGAGCGCATATAAATAGAAAAATGGTGCTAGCTACGGTGAATATGAAGTATTTGGATAGACGAAATGTAAATAAACATTTATCCCTTAAGATGAGAATATCTTCATAGTTTGCTAAAATCCAATCCGTTCTCATAGTCTCAACGATATAGGACATGTCTTTGCGATATAAAAAATAAATCGTGAGTCTAATTCCAGAGAGATAAAAAGCAGTACAAAGGAGAGCACATTCAGTTGCTTCGTTTAAATTATCGATATTGTTTATTACCTCTATTGTGGTAGCGGTAGATAACGATATAATCTATGTAAATATAAAAATTTTTTTTATTTTAATTAGTATATGTAATTAGTATATGTATATTATATTGTATAATGTATATAATGTATATTATATATTACACATATGTATGTACATATGTATATATATGCAGAGATAAGAAAAGGAAATATATAAAATTTTAATACGATAAAAGAAAAGAAAAAATATATTTCTTACCATTAAAAACATAGCGACTGTATGTAAATTTTTAAGTATTACAGCTGTCCTAGTAGAATCTTTATCCAATGGCCAAATAGACATTATTTTTGTTGTTATCATTACAGGTTTTATAAGATTGTTGTATTCGTGCGCAACAAATAATTGTTTATTCATATTGATTCGTGATGCAATCTTATTATATGTACGACGAAATATTTTGTACGATTTTATTTCATATCAAACGCGTGGTCACAATTAAAAAATATTTTAAAATTAAAATCGTTCTTCTTTATTTTTTTTCTTTTTTTTTCTATTTAACAATCAATAACGATCGAGAACGTTGTTTGTCACAAGAGTGCATCTAACTCTCTTCAAAAGTAATAGAAAAAAATATTATCTACGAAGTATCCTGGAACAATTCTTCGAGCGTTCTTCAATCGATACAAGCACAACTATCATTTGCGAGTACACTAAAATTAGACTCTTCCAACCTCTAATCAAACAGAGTGATATCCGAACTTTTAAACTACCATATATTCTTCGACATTTTCTACACCATATTCCATACCATATATTTGCATATCCGATACCATAAGATTTAGCTACAACGTAGGGTAGCATTTTGAACATACGTTAAATGATAGGACATGTGTAAGAATAGATTTAAATCACAATTGCTTTTCTCTTAGAGTAGGTATCGAACTTTCGTCAACTGCTTAAGATTAGGTCTATTAAAATAAGTTGATAGATCGATGGCATCGTCCTATGCTATTCTTATTCTCTATTTATTTATAACTATGCTCTCTGATGTTCTACGCTCCACCGAATGAAGAACGACGAAGATGTCAGAGTAGCCTACGATGGTATAATTTTATCGTAGTGTGTACTTGTGTTACCATTATAAAAATGACTATAATGAAAAAGAATAATAAGCAGAGCAAGTATATATATATATATATATATATATATATATATATATATATATATATATATATATATTAATAATAGTGAGTTGTATTCATAAAATCATTTTCAATATAATCTTATAGTGCATTAATATATTCTATTATAGATAATATATTTTTATATATAACACTATATAATAATTCCACTAATTATACTTATACAATTAATTACTTAAGCAACTACTATATGCTTAATATCTTAAAAGCGATAAACTATACTTCATAGAATATAATGGTTAGAATACAATAGTTAGAGTTAATCAATTGTATGAGAAAAGAACTCTCTTTGGTTTTTCAAACAAAATTTTAAACTATATTTCTAAAAATGTTTGTTTAAAACTTACTTCCCTTCTTATAACTCAATAATCGTTTTTCGTTTTTCGTATTGATATTCGTTTAAATATAATGCAGTACTGTCGGTTCCCTCATATCAACGATTTCGTTATGTATAACAAATGAATACGATTATTAAATGAATACAATCATTAAGTTCAGGTACACAAGTTATCTTTGACATGTTCAAAAACACGGATCAGTGCAATCCTAGATTTCCACCAAGACCTTGTTCCTTTCTCCATTGAGCCAATCTTATAGCATACCAATCCTATAATACGTTTGTGTATTAGAAGAGAAATAAATGTGAAAGTGAGTTTTAATTAAATAATTATTTCGAAAAAGACCTGCACATCATCCTCGGAGAGGCCTGTTTCCGCTGCCAATAGGACAATATCACCTGTATGAGGTGCTCTTGGCCATCTTTTAAATTGATCCTCAAGTACAGCTTCTTGATATTCCGTCAAACGAATCGTTCGTGGAATAGATTTCCTCTGAGGAGAATAGTTTCGAGTACTGCTGCTTCGTGGTACAAACTTTAACGTTCTCGCTACAAAGTAAAAGATATTAATGATCTAAGTTATGAAAAGCGCGAAAACAAAGTTAAAAAAAGAGAAAAAAGAAAACAAAAGTTTTAAATAACACTTTTTTATAATAGCGATAATTTTTTTCGTTTAATAACATTCAATTTATTTTTATTTTGATAATTGTATAAATTACTTGTTATACTAGAAATTTTGATTTTGTAAAGAAATAAATATTATTAGGTGACGAATAATATTCATTTTAAATTATTAGTTCACATATTTAAAATTTTATGATCATAAACAATGTGCTTTATAGATATTCCGACGCGAAATTCTTTTTTGAATTTTTTATTAATTTTGAAAATGGTCCAAGTTATTTGAGATAATAAATGTTTTGCCGCACACGCTATTTTAAAAACGTTTAAATTACATACAAGAATTATTTTTCTCAGAAATAAATGTATTTACTTTTTCTATGTTTGTCAATATAGAAAAATAATTTTTTAATAATTCAAATTCTAATGTTAAAATATCTCAAAATGAAAAATAAAAAACAAAACATATGACTTAGATCGCTTTTATAATTACCGGAGGTTTTTATATATTCTAAAGAATAATCTCTTGACTTTTAATTTTTTCTTTCGACAAAAACATCAAAGAATAAAGATGCTTTTGCCTTGAAAATTATAACGCAGTGGTTGCTCGTCCGCAATCCGTAAACAGTAGTCATTGGCGAGTAGATCACCTACGTAACATTTTTACACTTTTTTCCATATCATAATCATAATCGCAGTCGTGTTTTGCTTCGATACAACATTCTTACATTTTTCCACGAACTAATCATGATAGTATACATCTTATTAAAACTGGAATGTTTAATCTACTTATTCATTCGAAGAGAAGAGATTTCTTCGTTTCGATATATAGAATTTTTTAAACTACGATATTAAAATTAAAAAGAAGTTTTATTATAGAATACGTGATTTAATTTACCTGGTTTAATCGATTTATTCGCATCTTCCAAATTAATAGAGGTCGTGCGATAAAGAGCGTAATTGTTATCGGCATTGTAATAGTACGCTGATTTCCATGTATTTTTTGACGATGGATGCATCTTTCAAGAAATTATCTGAAAAACAAATAGATATTATGAAGAGTCATCAAATAAAAATTCTTAAATTTTTTGATTAATTATTAATTAACTTAATTGTCATTTATTGAATATTTTTTGCTGTCATTATTATAAATGTCTTATACATAGCAACAAAATAAAAAAAAAACACTAATAATAGCATGACATTGACCCAAATAATCTTTGAGTTTTTGGATACGTTTCAAAATCATTATTGCGCTGCTTTAAGGCTTACGCAATTCAACAAAAAGAGTATTTGCAATTCATAGACCGACGCGAATTTACACTTAACGATAAGTGTTGGTTGCAGGTATCTTTCGTTATGTGAAGTAAATTTAAAATGTTAATCGATGCAAATGGCGTGGGGCATTTAATTTGCCTTGAAACATTCGCAGAACTTTACGATAACGAAAGATATATGAAGACCGATCTAAATTGTAATAGTTACTTGATGAACTTGTCATTTTTATATATTTTTTTTCTTTTATTTTTTTTTTTTTTATTTTCTGTATAAAATTTAATTTCGCATCAAGTAAAATAATTACAAGAGAAACAAATGCGTGAGTGTAACGAATCTTGAGTTAAGTAAGGTTACGAATGTTCTTACGACAGTTCATTTTTTCTACTCACGTAGATAAAGAAAAATAGACAAAAAGTATGTCCAAACGACAACAATCGAGACAACGATGAATGACACCGTCACAACACTAATGATATTCTCACAGAAACATCTTGTATACATTTATTATTCTATCATTTAGCGTGGGCGGTAAGACATTGCGGTGAAATGCCTAAGGCCAGTCTATGGAACAATTCTACAGCATTTTAAACTTGACCTACAGATCGAATAGCATGCTAAACAAGTGTACTTGGACTCATTGAACGAGGACACTTTTATCATAGATCAGGAGAACGTATGCAAACATGTCTCCGCTTGAACCTTTTAATTCAATACAATCTTGACGATATTCATAAATACATACATATATATATGTAAATATATATACGTAAATATATGTATATGTAAATATATATATATATATATATATATATATTTATTCTGTAGATCTTAGTGTTATATACTTATATTACATATAAATATAAAAAAAAATAACTATCATGTATTGTCGAATAAAATATTATTTCATTCTTCAAAAAACAATGGGCTAGATTCGATATCAGCATACAACCATCGCATAAAATGAGGTGTACAATAAACAGGTAATTCTTCTTCCGAAAATTGTAAAAAATCTACGACACTATTTTCTATTTCTTGCTGATAAACAGATCCAATATATTTCTTTCTTATTAAATCACGATCCTTTTCTGATATCTATAATAAAACAAGCACGTTAGTGTGTTACATTTTAAGTTACGAATCGAAGATAATAAGCATATCACATTTCAGTGAGTTATATCCAATAATGATCGATCGAGTCTATTTAAAAGAGTCATCACTCACCTCTCCCGTTTTGGATTTTAACAAAGCACGCAAGCAATCTTCGACTAAGGAATCACCGGAAACATTCTGTTACGAAAAATGATGGTTTGTTTTTTAACTTATTAACTGTGCTTTTTGACGAATATACTTGTCATGATTAGACGATTTCAAAGATCAATTATTTTTCTTCGAGATTTTTTAAGCTTATTTCTTTTTCAGATTGTAAAGTACCAAACTTAGCTTGTAAAATTTCAAGTCTAAAAATTTTCGAAGAAGAGTTAATTGATCTTTAAGATATTTTAGGAACTTCTGGGCTTATCCTATATGTTATATATACTTTTAAAACCTTATCGATGCTTTCCAAAACGTATCTTACCGTTTTGGATAATAAAGTGGCACGATTTTCGACTCGCAAACATTCGAATCTGTCGTTAAAAAGTGCCATGGCCCATGGCTCCCGGAAGTATGCATAAAAGTCCAAGATAAGGGAATTCTGATAAAAAAAAAAGTATATCGATTAGAAAATTCAATGTGAGAATTAATGAAAGATAAAAAAGAAAAAAAAAAGCTACTGAAACTTACTCTGAAACGATATTTAACTTCGTTTAACATACTGTCGTGTTTTCCGTATAAAGTGATCAAGTGATTTATTTCGAAATTCTAAAAATATATAACGTAATGAAGAGAGATTCGAATGAATTATGATAATTAATTTCTACATTGGTATAAACCTTTTTACTGCAACAAGTTATTGATTCTACGATGTTCCGAATATTCATACGTAAACGGAAATAACCAATTTCGGATAAGCAGTTACCTGTCACCATGACATCGCCCTGATAAATAATAAATCAAATAATTAAAAAAAATTATTATCATCATATTATATCATATTATATATATATATATATATATATATATATATATATATATATATCATATTGTCAAAATTCTTACATAAAGAGATTGTTTTAAAACAATGTCACGAGATAACTTCTTTCCTGGTTTGGTGACGTAAAGATAATGAAAATTACCAGGTAATATACAGGATACAATGATTGGTGATCGAAATTCCGGTAATAATAAGCAAGATTTATTTCTGCCGAAATTATCGTATTTTCCTTTACATTCTTGATAGACATCTACCACTTTGCGAATAATTTTACCAAGCTATTCGTTCGGATTTTCAAGAAGACCGATAAATAACAATTAGAGAAACACACACATTTCGAGAAATTAAAAAGTGGGTAGTATTTGATTGATAAAGAATGAAATAGAAAATGTTACTAACTTTTTCTCCAATCTCTATACTATTGTAATACTTATGCTCGAACAATTCGGCATGAAATTTTCTTGAGTACTTGGTTATGGTTCCAGCTGCGAATATAAATGGATCGTTTGTACGAAATTGAGGATTTATCACCAGACGACCGTCGAATACTAAACCAGCACGACAAATTGCTGAAATATGTACATGCATATGTATATCGATCAATCAAGAATTATTAGCGATGACGTCTATCGAACAAAATACAAGGGTGGACCAAAAAAGTTTCTAAGTGATATTAAAAATTAATTACTATCTTTCGAAATTTTTTTGATTAAAACGTGTCGAAAAAGAGTAATTGATTTTTGAAAATTACCTAAAAATTTTTAAGCTGTATAAAAACTTTTAGCCCACCCTGTAATAAATACTATACAAAGACAATTATATGTTGTTACCTAAAAAAGAATTGATATCAATCTCTTTGTCATAAAAATTGAAAAAAAAGTCACAAGGAACGATTTCGACATTAGCTCCTGATCTTATAATAACTGATTCAATTCTTTTATTATCTTTATATTCTTCTAACAATGTCCAATTAATTACATTCCATCCCAAAAGAAGGTTTATTTCATTCTCCAGAACAGAATTCTTTATGGCTGTGTTCACCTTATAAAAGTTTTCGTATTACTGATTTACATCGATTAATAATTATTGATATTATATTATATAATATTCCTTTTTTTCACATACTTCACAATTATGAAAAAAATCATTGTCAGTATCACATAGGTTTAATTTAGGCTCGATCAAAGTGATCCAAGAACCTTTCATTCCATGTTTCATCAATCCATGAATGGCGCAGTAACAATCGATATTGTGTCCATAAAACACAATGGCCTCTATAAAAAAGTGCAATTAATTTTTATGTTTATAGTATAATATACATGTTAAAAGAGCTTACTTTTTTCTTTGAAATTATTTGTTACTGATTGAATTTTTTTCAATGAAACAAATGCTTCTATATCATCGTTTATAGTCAAACAATTCCAAATTATATCTGATTTTATATCACTGTATAATAGAAAGTTCAGAGTGACTAACAATAATAATAAAAATATATTAAAATTGAATTTTCAATTTAAAAAAAAAAAATCAGGAAATTTACGCTTCCTTGTCTTCCTGCATTTTCTTATTCGCGAACAATGTCTTTTGGTATTGAAGACCGCAAGTTAAGATCAGAAAGTCGTAACTCAAGTTTCCTTGATCCATTACAGTCACGTATTTATCCTTCCTGTTGCAAACGAACACGTCGTACATTTTAACAAATTACGAAGGTCACTGCCTTTTCCATTGAAATACGATGTCTCATCAATTTATTACCTATTAATCGCTTGCAATGTTCCGTAAATGACATTAATCCAAGCACGTCTTGTGATAAGGTACCGATAATCACGACAATATCTTCCCTTAAATGGGATCATATCCCACTTAAGATCATTATATTCCTTTTCATATGGTAATCCATTCAGTGAAATCAAAGTGAGATTTGTAAAGTGGACAAAATTTTGTAGATATCTATGACGCGAATCCATCGCATATATATATATATATATATATAAAATAAAAAAATAACTTTCTTTTTTGATATCGAGCTTTTACCCTAATGCTAAAAATTCGATGAAAGCTATGCCACAATCGGAACCACCTACGACGACTATCTTCGTGTCAATTATCCGATTTGGTATTGTGGCGATTCTTGGTGTTGTCATAAAAAGTGAAAATGCTTTGTTTTTCTTTTTTTTAAGTTCATTAATCTCATCATTCATTTTGGGGCAAGTACAAAATTCGTATTCTATTTTTCTACGTGGATTCACTGGTACCATAGTATTTAAACAAGAAACTATTGGCTGAGTTCGAGTCTAAAAAAGTGTGTATTAGCATAGTATTATTATTATTATTACTATTATTATTACTATTATAATTATTATTATTATTATTATTATTATTATTATTATTATTATTATTATTATTATTATTATTATTATTATTATTATTATTATGAGCATCAAAACTTTATCAAACAATCTAACGATCTAGCTGTTCTAATTATCTTCGATTCTTCTCATGCATTACTCGAGAAGAATTAATTTAATTCACCTACACAAATATGATATGTTACGTGAGAGTAAAAACTCACGAGTGAACTTCCTTCTTCCTCGTAAAGACGATAATAAAGAACCGTAAAGTCGCTTAGTCGCATGATCTCGCAGAAAAAGAATTTCTGATTTATCGAAAATATTGGCATTAAAACAAAATGTAAGAGGCAACCATAAGCTTCGTGAAAAATATATTGTCTCACAATAAAGTCTTCTACATGATAATGTTTTTTGATCTCTTGATGATCCTTCTCAATGCTAAAATTATAATAAAATGTATGATTAAAAATTGAATACAATTAATTTAATATATATTATTAATTACCAAACAATAGCTAATCCAATGATAATATTATTAGATGTGAAAATATAACTATAAACATCGTTATTATTTTCATTTACAGCTCGATTAAAATCTTCCATTATTTTCTTGCTTTTTGGAATGTCAATTAAAAATTGTTTCACTTCAGCTTGATCGGATAAATCAGCTTTGTGAGATCTAATTTCTCCGAAAAACATTGCCTTGTGAGCCACGTACAAAGACATAGGAAAATCTTTGTTATATCTCAATGGTACGCGCTAATATATTTAAATTGTTAATTAGGCATAACATTAACTTTCTAGATATCTTTATGTATGATTACATACATAATATATTATGTATATACATTACATATATATAACTAAATGAAATTTTCTATAAAATCTTATCTACCATGAATTGTTCCAAAAAGGAAAAGTATGAGTAAGCTGATGGTAAAAGTAATACACAGTAATCTAAATCAGGGAAACATTCAAAAGCAGCCTCCAAAAATTCTCGTGTCCCACGATTGCCAATATCTTTTCGTACAGCAAAAATCTCTACAACGAATGCATTAATTTCGCCTTGATAAATGGAATCCACCAAAATATCTTGTTTCATATGAGTCGGTTCTAATTCGACGAAATTCAACGTTGATGTTCCCTGATGTATCTCTTCGAAAGAATTCATTAATTTGGTATGCTGCAGTATACATGTATTATTAATGATTCTCTATAATGATCTACTTGTTTATTCTTACTTGGTACTTGAAGTATCGCATCTTCGAACATAATGTTAACATTAAACTGATTAGAAATCGACGGTCTATCATTTTGTTCGGAATTCTTAATAAATTCCAGAGGATCTTCATCTTTCGATTCTTGATAAGAAGTTTCTTTCTTCAATGATGTTTTACGTAATAATGATTGGATTTCATTCGTATTTTTTGAATTTTTTTCTTTATTCTGAAGATATAAAGGACAGATATATTGATTGATATTGAAAATAAAATGAAGAGTGAATAGAAGGGTATGTACTAGAGTTAGTTCATCGTCGTAAACAACGTCACTCATACGGACGTGTTTTTTTTCTTTAGGAAACGATTTCTTTTCAACTTCTTCGATTTCATTATCAACAGTTTGATATTCTGCATCTATTCTTATATTGATAGATTCTACATTTTTCGAACTATTTATACGAGTTTCATCTAAAGATACAAAAGAGATATGTAAATTGTCTTAATATTTAATTAACAGTATAAAAAAATGATATTTACTGACCATCCACGAAATTCATTTCAATCTCAAGTTCATCCTCATCGATTGCATTTGATTTTTGCTCATATTTCGACTTATCTCTACATAACAACATTAACATTTAACATATTTCTATTTACATATCCATTTCTAATAATTATATTCTCTTTCTATAAGTGTATATATATGTATTAAATATCGACTAACAAGAATATATCCTGGAAAATTTTGTCAGCAAAAATTTTGGATAAAATCTCGCTTGCATTTTTTCTTAATATCTTCCGATCCTGATCTGTTTCATGGGTTTTCCTAAGTCCACCATAAATAGTCAATTCAAAATTCTCATTTAAAAGATCGACATCGATTGTCGAATTAACGCAGATCACTCCGGTAGCTAAACCATTGTCGTCCTCGGATACGATTAAATGACGGCGACCGTCCGGATATCGAGTCATTTCGCTTATGTAATACTCCCCGTACAATTCCTTCACATAGGACGAGTCTGCGTCGATTATCGGTATTATGTCGTCATTATCTTCCTCCCTATATGAATAATATAATGCTCATATGAATATATATATTTTTTAATGTAATATTTGTAATACTATCACGACACTCTCCATAAAAAAAATATAATAATAATAATAATAATAATAATAATTACACAGCACGACGAATTTTTAATCTTGGTATGATACTGTATCGTGTACTTATGTACAAAGCTTGTACTGAAAAAGTATCCTTGGAATTAATTGGAACTATTCTGATCATGTGATTTGTGAAAGAATTTTCTAAAAAAAGAAAATAAGAAACTTAGAAAGAATGAGAAGAATCTATATATATATATATATATAAAGGATATAGCAGATAGTGATCGATGAAAGAAGAATCGATACCTATGTATATATATATATATATATCCATATTTTCATAGATTTACCTGGTTCGATTTGAGGTGGAAGCACTAGAATAACGTTAAAACAATGGACGTCCATGTCGAATAAAGCGACAAGAAGACATTCGAAAAAATTTTCAGTATAACGATCGTCCCAAACAAGACAATGAACGAACAACGTTCCATTTTCTTTAATGTCATCGATGCTATTTGAGAGGAAAAAAAAGCAAGATACCGATTTAGAATAAATATCTTATAATGAATTTTTCATAATGCATATTTACTTATAATGTAATTTTAAACAATTGAACCATTCTTGTTTTGGAATCGATGGAATATTAGGATAATTGCAAAGAAATATTCCCGAAATAATATCTCCTTTTTCGTTGTATTGAATTATAGTGAAACAGGAGGATTCGCTATAATAGATTTTTTATTAAATTTCAATCGTCGCAGGGAGAGAGAGAAAAAGAGAGAAGGAAAGAGAGAGAGAGAGAGAGAGAGAGAGAGAGAGAGAGAGAGAGAGAGAATGTTACGTACTAGCGGGAAATTTAAAAATCGCTCAAATAAGCATATTTTTATAAAAATAAAATTAGATATTAATATATATGATAATAGATATTAATATATATGATCATCGTCAATTACTATACTCGTCCAATATCGATGTCTCCAAATATGTCGTAAGTTCTAACCGATATTAAATGTTCCAAAGCTGGTAAATCGGAATGTAAACCACGACGATAACCGTTAATTTTTGGAACGTATTTCCTTTTGCTTCTTTCAGAATTATTTTCAATCTCAGATGTATCAATGTTGAACATTATAAAAATTCTAAATTTTTAATCTAAACCCATTTAATATCGTTGAGAAAGGATCTTGATAAGTATTTGTTTTTGATAGGACAAAAACTGTCAAGATCGAAATAACATGTACGTACATATATAGGCAAGTAATCTTTGAAGATAGCCACATAAATGATTTTGTATGTATATTTGAATATGTGACGTAGGCGGTGGCGCCGCTAAGTGGCAAAAAATGAAAACTTTGATAAAATGTATATATAATTGTATAATTATAATTTCAAATAAAATAAATTATTGTTATAAAATACTGTTGAAATGATTGTTTTATAAGATTGAAGAATTCCTTTTTTCCTCGTCTTACTAATTAACAATTACTTACTGAAATGTCATATCCCCTCTTAAATGATCGATTGAACAAATGCGTATGTAAGAACGGAAGTATCCACTCGCCACCCTTATGTCTCATGTATGTACACACATACATACATAAGTATATATGCAATGTTCTATACGTGGTAAATGAAAATAATAACAGACGACATAATAAATTTTCCCTTCCGTATTACAAGTATTTCCGTTTTACGATGATAATAAAAAAAACCAGTGTCCGAATTCTTTACTCTTATAACTAAAATCAGTATAAATTTAACAAATATATATTTAAAACGTTTAGTGTATTAATATATATTATCGTTCAATAGATATCAAGAATTTACATAAAGTAAATTTAAATTATAAGAAATCATCTAATTGATCGACAAAAAACAATACATTATAGGTAATGGTCACGTGATATATAATTATCATTATTTATCGATATTCTTAATAAATTCGAATTATAAAGACATCATAAAACAATTATTTTTGGATAATTTCCAAGGCATTCATAAAAAAGTAATCGTAAATATTAAAAATACATTTATGTACATAGATACATATTCCTATATACGATAATATATGAGAATATTTTACAAATAAAACAAATTAAGTATGATACAATAATTACATCAAATTCTTTAGCCATCTTCATTTCTCTCTCTCTCTCTCTCTCTCTCTCTCTCTCTCTCTCTCTCTCACTCATCTCTTTCTTCCAAGGGATCTCATAATTTGTAATTAGCGACGCGAAAAATGATTCGTGAATCGATGCCATTCATCTCCTCGCGTTATAAGATCGTGTTTGAAGCCACTCCTACAACTTGAAAAACATTCCGACGTTCATTGAACTAAGAGAGGGAGAGAGAGAGAGAGAGAGAAAAGAAAGAGAAATAAATACCACATATTCGTGTATTCAATGAGAAAAAGTTGAATACACAAGAATTTCCATTACTTCTCCTTCGATCTTGATTCTCCTTTTATTCATATCAAATATTTACTTCGTCAATTTATTATGAAATTAATTAACAATATTTACGTTTAATAAATAAGAACTACGCAAACATGAGTTACGGCAAACGTCTACTATTAACCTGTATCAAATTTCTCGTTGAAACAATTAGCGATATGCAAACTTGCTAAACGGTACATATTATACACACACACACACACACACACACATATATATATATATATATACATATATATATACATATATATATATACATATATATATATACACATATATATATGCATGCATGTATAATTATTTTGAAATAATTGAACATAAAACAACGCAAAACTTTTCCATAAATAATATTTCAAGAGTAAACGGCGAGCTAAAAATACCTGTTTGTAATCAAAAGAGAAAGAAAAGAAAAGAAAAAAAAGAAATCATCTTAAAAAGTTTCGAAAAAAAAAGAAAATTAATTTTTAAAATTATTTAGAAACTTTTTAATTTAAAATAGAATAGAAAATTCTATTCTAACGCGTTAAAATATTATAAGTGTAATATATTTCCATCGTGTGCTAAGACTATTTAAATTACTATTGAAATTAATTCAATAATACCTGTTTATCTTCGTTCGTTCGTTCGTTCTAAACAGCTTTCGAAGTCGTCGGAGGCACCACACAACCCTCGCTCGTTCAAAGTACGCACACGACTGACATTTGAGATTTCAAGTTCGAACGTGCAGTAATAATATATAGCGAGAAAGGAGAGAGAGGGGGAGGGAGAAAGAAGAGCAACTGATGCTGTACGTACTGTAAATACGTACTGTAAATAATCTCATAAAAACCGCATGCAACTCCAAGCATCTTGTACATTTTTTTTTTTTTAAATCATAATATTTGTCGCTGTTAAAATAACTGAAGAGGAAGAAATAAATATTCGATTAAAAAATAGAATGTTTTAATGATCTCTTTTTCTTCTCCATATATACCCACAAACAGAATATTGTTATGATTTTTTTTCTTTTTTAACAATAAACATTATTAGTATCAATACATTACATACACATGATGTTTACTTTATTCATTATCTTAAGCAGATCATCGCATTATTTTCATTTCCGTAAGACAGATAAATGTTATACTATTACGATTTTATGAAAACACTATCCTCTCTTGCATGCTATTTATCACCTATTATTACACTTTGAATTTTATTACATCATGCCTTTATTTTTTATTATTTTTTTTTAATTTTTTTTAATTTTTTATTTTGTAGATAGATCCTTATCTCTTTGCTCTTTTTTTTTTGTATTAATTAATGAAATTCAAATGTTCCATAAAGAGTATTGATTGATCGAATGGATTTAACTCAACTAATCTTTTTATCTATGCACACATACAATTTATTTAATTTAGATTACTGAGCTTAAAGAAAATTTATAGTGATCTTATATGTATATACAAATTGACCTACTATTTGACAATTATTATACACTTTCAAATTTGCCTTTTATAATATATTTTACGTCGTTTTCACTCATGTTAATCAATATTTTTCTGATTCGTCTACATTTATATTTACATTAATTAATTACAAAACAAAAAAAACAACAAAATTAATATCAATTTGTGATAAATGAATTTTACATGAATATTCCATAAAGTTCAGAAATCTAATGATAAATAAAAGTATGTACCTATGTCACTTATTAATAAGAAAAGAATCAAGTGGAAAAGTATATACGAAATAATCAAATAACATACATGATATGTAAAATATTCGGGATAAAACAATGTTATACTCATGTTTAACTTAACGATCTCAATGTATACATGCATATATACACGTAAAGCGTATGTACATAAGCTTAAGATTAGGCTTCGAATCTTTGTGCAGACATCATTTTCGGCAATAAGATATGCCAGGTACGAAAGAGTATTTTAAGTATATATGTATATATACTTAAAATATTTCTAAATCTGATATGAATATAAATTTTTTTTTCAAGCTTTCAACTGTATTATAATAGTAAATACGAATAGAAATTTTGATGTTAATCTAATTATAATTATATATAAAAAAAATAAGATATAATGTAGTGAAAAAGAGAAAGAGAAAGAGAAAGGAAGAGAGAGAGATTAATATAAATCTAATTCGTAGATAATTACATTATTAATATGTTGTAATCAATTACACCACTTGTTAAGTTTCTTTAATTATATTGTTTGATAACGAACGCATACAATAGCGTAAAGTAAATTTAAGGAAGAATGGATTAAATCCTATTATCGAGCCTCATATTTTTTCTACACCGTATTAACGTAATATATTATAAGAAAGAAAATAATCAAATGATATTTTACAGATCGATGTCGCACAATTTAAGCCTCCTTAAGTTCGCAATATTTATTAGTATAAAGAATATCACAATGAAGCTGTGTCATAGTAATTATCCCCATTGAAGAGTTTTGTCTATTATCTCTTCCAATGACGGGTCTTTCTTAAAATTGCTCCAACTCATTCTGATCTCCTTTTTGGAAGACTTCGTTATCCCCGTCCTTTTATTTATTTATTTGTTTTTCTCTTATTCTGGTGACAGCGAATCCGTAGAACATTCCTCCTTATTTTGAGGTTTATAAACGACATCGTGACAAAGTGGACATCGATCTTGTACGTAGAGCCATTTTCGTAGGCATACACCGTGGAAGTAATGATTGCAGCGTGTTATCTTTGCAGCCTGCATTTCTTGATAACATATGGCACATACGTCATTGAGAGATCGTAGCTGTTCAAACTTCGCTTCGGCTAAAGAATTAATTTTGTTGACTGCAGTTCGTCTCTTCATAAAAACTAGCCATCCAGCTTTGACTTCACACCAAATATTGAAGTATGCATGAATGCATATCATAATAGCACGAATAGTACCGCCAGCTTCAAAGATTAATATCCAGAAACCATTGAAGAGTAATATAACACCAAAGGCAAATTCTATGATATTGCCAAAAGATCTTATAATATATACGCAATCATCTAGCTCTTCCCAAAATGCAGTGCGATATGCATCAATGAGAAATAAGATATATATAGCCAAAGATACCATTACCTTGACTATTACCTCAACACTGAAAACAGACACAGCTAATAACCATGTGCTCACACTAAATTGTGACCAAAGAAATACCAATAGAGAAACTGGAAAGAATATAAGGAAGGCGCAAACTGCAAGAGCACGCAGATGCCTATGCAGTGCTGGATTATGTGAGGCACTAAGAGACATTAAGAGTGGATTTACAATGTTATGTACAAAATGTAATACTGCAGTAAATAGTAAGCAAAAATTTCTACATAATTTGACTAATCGATTTTCTCTATCTAAGCTTGTCAATCCAGTTTGAAGTGCTAATATGTAGAATAATATAGCGGATATCGTGCCGATGCTTTTTTCATCTCCATCTTCAGTCAATAATACCCATTGGAAGAAACAACCAATATAATGGCAAATAAGTGAAATTATACTAGTCATCCCTAACACTGCAGTCAAAGTCTCACATCCATTTACCAATAAAGTTCTGAGCATATCATAATATGAGAAATTTTCATCTCCATAATGATTCCCTAAAATTTGTATAACTTGTTCTCCTATTCTCAACAACCAAAACGTACGTAATACGCATGGTACGTTTAGACGAAACCATTCTGTCTCTACAAGAGCAGATAGACCATAATTACTTATAAAATTGCGTGCGTGAGCATATCCCATATAAATAGTTTTCAGAATTAAAACACTATTATACCAAATAATAAATTTACAAACAGCTAATGGAAGCAGTGTTGCAAAAACTGGCGCATTATAAAGAATCGACGTCTGAAACAATAATGAATATTAGCTTGAATTTACCGAATTTAAGAATCAATGATAATTATTAATTACGATAATAAATTTCCATTTTTTACTTACAGGTAATGGATGGATAGCCAGAAGTGATGGTGTCATAAAACTCATTACCAGCAATTTCTGAAGAATTAAATATCTTGGAGCAAAGTGTATATAACAAAAAATGGTAGCCAACAAACACTGTAATATATAGTTTTGAAAAAGCAGAGATCCTGTTCCTTCCTTGATAATAGAAGTCAGATTCAAATGTAATATATCATCCAATATACTGGTTGTATAATCAGGCTTGCTCACATATGCTATAACAGCTTTGATAGTACTAACATTAGACCAATAGGATATAAATATTACTCCTATAGATATCATATATAAGTACACAATTATAAGATGTTTCGTCCATAACATAAATGTGCACAAAGCCGCTATACATCCTGCAAAAAAGTCATTGTATTAACTAATTATTATCGCAAATTTTATGCCAACTCATTAAATATTTTTATTATATATATATATATTGTTTATATAATCACTAATTATTATATAAAATAAAATAATTCTAATTTAACATTTTTAAATGTCAATTTGAATATCCTTTTAGATTTCAGAAATTTAATTATAATAACTGATTAGTAATAATATGAATTGTAAAATTTTTCATCCTTGACAAGAACGGTGACTTATGATAATTGACCCTATCGCATGGAAAATAAAACTTTTACATTAATAATATATGAACTTTGATTACATATATATATATATATATATATTACATATATATATATATTATTTATATATATATATATATATATATATATATTACATATATATATATATTATTTATATATATATATATATATATATATATATATATATGTAATTTAGATATTCATATATATATATATATATTTTTACTGTGTATATAATAAAAAACTATAAGTAGACATACAGATATATATTTAAATTTTTATTACAATAAAATGTTATTCTTACCTATACAGCATATTATAAATTTCAACATTATCACAATAAACATTTGGTAACCATCTTGTTCGAAGTTAAAGTATTCAAATAAAAAAGATTCTGGACCAACCAAGGGAAAAGATTCAGCGAAAGTATTTAATACACTGTCAATTTTGAAGTCATTGTCTGTACTATTTAGTACAACAGTTTCATCTGGTAATCCAAGACGAATTCGAAGTAATCCATCGATGATGAACAAAGGTGGTACTCTCATTATAATATCAGCAAAAATAAAAAACTTATTCCATAAAGGGAATTCCATGTTTAATGCTTTGATTGATGCGTGGCACAAAATTTGTTATAACAAATCTATATACTTAGAGATATTCTTAGAAGCGATGAAATTGTAAACTAACAAGCACTATCAATAATTTTAGTTCTTGAATTACCATACCAAACAATAACACTGTTATATTTTAGAATAAAAGTTATTAAAATTTTAAATCTGAAATTTCGAATTTGAAGATTTAAAGAGCCACTTAGTCAACAAGAAGACACTTCAAATATATATTTTCTTTAATATTAGAAAAATATTAAAGAAATAAGTAGAAATAAATATTCAACTATATTAGGAAAGAACACAAACACAGCGGGCTCACTCGAGTCACGTATTCACTGATTTACAAAAGTCACATCGTCTGCCTTAAATATAATTTTGTTGGCAATAAACGTTTCAAATTTCGATATATATAAAAACAAAAAAGGAAAAGCAAAGATCGTTGATTAGAATCAAGTGGCGCGTAGAATCAAGTTATAACCAACAACAGACGATCGATCGATTTTTACTGCGTAAAAAATAAAAACAAAAAAAAACAACACGATACGTATACAAAACAATGTTTAAGGCTGAAAATATTTAACTAAAATTTAACAAATATACAGTTCTTTTTCCAAGCGCTTGTAAATCTTTTTTTTTCAAGCACTTATATTTGACAAAATTGAACGTTTTGCAGTTTAGCACAATTCGAGCGGAAGAATAACCAAGAAGACGATGGAATTTTCGGGAAGCTTTTCCACTTTACAATCGAAGCATTGTTATTTCAACGAATAATTTATAATTTATATTATTAAGATCAACAAAGTCAAAACTTATACGATGAAAAAAAATTCTATGGACCTTGGACGGTTATCGGTTTCTGTCAATCATGTTTTTCTTTGCGTAATTTTGTCAATCTATTGATATACGTCTAACTTCACTTCACTTCGGTAATTGCATTCAACCTACTCACTAACCGGTTGATTTAGTTGGTATCAATGATTTTCTGTTTTATCGACGATACAACACGATTCAAGAGAAAAAAAATTAAACTAAGCGCCAAGGAGGGGCGTGCCGATCGACGTGTTGTAATAATGGATTGAACATCGTACGCGATGTGTCGTATAGACAATAACTTCGGTTTAAATAATGTGATTGATGTTCTTATATATGGTATCGGTTCTGAATTATATTTCATAGTCGCTTGCAATCTCACATAATATGAGAGAATAATGCTTTTTTGAATTTTTTTCGTATGTAACTGCCTATGTTCAGAAGATTTCACATTAAAGAATGTATTTATTTTCTCATTCGACGTTTTACATTTTTTTAATTCAATTACAATCTGCGAAATAATATTTGGAAATTAGTATGACACTTGCAAAAAATAGAAAGAAGGAAATATCGTACCCGTTCACTGTTAGTAGGTGTAAATGCATTCATGATGCCAAGCAAGATGTTGCTTTCTAGTTCTTCCTTTCATGATAAATGTATGTATTGGTTTATAAATGATTTTATTTGCTGAGGAGCACCATCTATCAAAATTAGCTGGCCTTTAAATCTATCAAAATTAGCTGGCCTTTAAATTTTTTGGATTCTAACATACGTGTCAGTTCAATGTTATAAACGATCCAAGCAAATATCCCACTAACGTGAAATCTCTTCGATCTTTAAGTTTTTCTAATATATGCTATAATATATAAAGTTATATAATATGTCAATGCGTAAGATTTAATAATATTAGGTTTAATTAAATATCTTTTTTTTTTTTTAACACAAAAATATGTTGATAGAAATGAATTGGCCATCAGGAGATGGCCAATCCTCTGTAGTTTGTAATTCATAATTTGTAGCTAGTTGAAAACAAGTCGCGGACGACTTAATTTTTTATTCTAATTTTTCAAAAACGCTACCATATCCTTTAATTCCTGGAATAAAGAATACTTCGTTCTGACCTTCCTCTAGATTAGTTTTAAGCGGAATAGTTATTTCGGAGGAAGGTATTTCATCGAATAGTTGTGTCAACATTTTTGTATCAGTTAATATTTTTTTTATAGCACTTTTATTATAATTATTATTATATATCAGTTGATTATTCATTTCCATGAGTTTGGCGAAGTTTAAGCTTCAAATATCTTATGGTGTGAGATATATTTCATATTCATGCTCTAACGTTTGTCTTATTTCTACAGCCGTCATAGAATCCATTCTAAATCCAGCCAAGAACTATGGTGACTGACAGTCTTTAAATCTTTAATACCTGCAATCAGAAATTCGTACTTTTAAGCTAATAAAGATAGTTAAAACGTGTATATTACCAAGTTGTTAAGTTAAATAATAATGATTAATAATAATAATAATAATAACAAAATAAGAATATAATTTAGACGAAATGTACCTATAATGTTTAAGACAGTATCAACAACATTATTCACACCGTCGCTATCTGCTTGTTTATTAGCAACTAGCATACAAGTTACTATAGTTTTAACCTGTAGTAAAAATCGATTGAGTTCTCTTAAACATGATGTTATTGTTTGTTGTAGAGTACCACCGATAACATTAAGTTGCTTATTCTGCGTGTCCGCAACAAGACCAAAGTCTCCAATTGCACCCCATTGAGTAGCTAATCCAGGCAAACTTTCTTCTACTCTTTTTTCGCATATTCTTTCCATAATCAAATTAGCCATACCGTAGTTTGTTTGGTCGGGATTTCCTTTCCAATACAAGATTGAAGAAAAGACCACGAAATGTCGTAGATCTGGACAAAGTTTTCTAGTCACCTTTTCTAAACATTTCGTGGACCAAGCTTTTCTTTTGAAAGATTTTTCAAAAGTTTTCAACATTTGATTTTTACAAATACTGTCTCTCAAAGAAACTGCGATACCATTGAAGGATCCTTTATTTATCTCTATTTTTACAATAAGCTTGCATTCTCATTTAGTCGAATCGAGACCGACAAGGATCGTAATATTCTGATGATTCGTATGATTCCCATATTTTGATTCTCTTGCGTTGATAACCATTCTTGTCAGTAACTATGTGACCGCTTATGTACTCGAAATCTACATTGATAATTGATATTGCAATCATTCATTCTCCAAAAACAATTTTTTCTTTCCTTTTGTAAGATGTTACGAACCAGTCGTGTGAATGTTCCCATCTAAACATGTTATTCTAAATAGTTAAGAGTTTTTCAACATTATCCAAACTGCAACAGATCCGAAGAACAAGTACAAGATATTATCAAACATTCTATTATCATTTTTAGTTAAAATCTTATAAATATTGAGTCCACGCGGTTTTAACAAGATATCACATTTCTCTATTGCTTTGGCAAATATAGGGAATCTCATCAGAGTTTGACTTAGTAAATTTCAAATTATACTCAATTACTTTTAATCATTATAATAGTCATTATTTTTATTGATTTTAATGTATACGAAGAAACATTACAATAAAAATTTTCATATCCATTTCAAAACATCGCAAGCCCATTCCAGAAAAGACGAACCATATTGGCTTCTTTATATCAGAATAATTTTTTATCTCCCTTATTTTTCTGTTAGATGATTTAAGATCAGTTATTGTGTATCCTCGATATAAGTGATTTAATATTCGTTTAAGATGAACATCATGAAGAAAACGAATAAATTTAATATCTACCGATCGATTATCGATCTATGAAAAAAAATATTGAAATTGCATTTACATGATTCTAACAAATAGTATATCTATATTTCTTCTGTTAAAAAGAAAATTGATTCGTTTTACTTACATCATTTAATATAGTTATTACTGTTTCTTCGGTGCATCCAGAAATAGCTACAAGTTTAAGCAAATCGTCACTTGTTAATCCTTTATTGATCTTCGTTTTCGGATTTGATTTAAGTAAAATGTGAGCATTAGCACACCCTATTCGGAAAGAATTAATGCTTATGTATTCACCATCTAACGAAGTCGTCTTAGTAACAATTTTGATTCGCCCTTCTGTAAGACATTTCACATCTTTGCGTGGTCGATTAAAGTTGATATTTAGCGATGTTAGGCTTGACTTCATCGATATTATTGCCTGTAAAATATTAAGGATACGTGAATGAATGAATAATTATTACGTATTGCTTCGTCTTATCTTCAAATAATATTTACCTTAATGATGGAATTAATTCCACTAGCTGCTTCGGTATAACCAATGTTTGATTTAATGGTACCGACTTTAAGAGGTTTAGTTCTGCCTTCAGTGAAAATATGATCTATGGCATTCATTTTTTCAGGATCACCGACTTTCGTTCCAGTACCATGAGCTTCGATGTAAGAAACACACGTCGTTGGTATATCGTATTCTTTGTAGAATTTTTTGAAAAAAATACTCTGTATTTTCCTAGAAGGAAACATTATTTCCTCTTCCTTATAACCATCGCAATTTCTTTTTGTATGAAAAATCTTAGCGTAGATTCTTTTAGCATTTTTTGCATTTGGCAGAAATAATACAGCGATACTTTCACTACGCGCGTAACCAGCTGCATTTTCGTCTAAAAATTTCATACGACAATTTTGTACCAACGCCCCTATTAGAGAGATTAAAGATTGAATAATAGTTTGATATTCTCATTATAATTCGATGAAAAAAAAAATTCTTCAAGCAAGTTGACATAATCAATACCTAAACGGCTGAAGTGCAAGGACACGCTTGGATATAGGCAAAGATTTGATCCACCGACGATTGCGTAATCGCATTGTCCTCTACGTTAGCTTTATAAGCGTGTTCCATCGCATAAATACTTGAACTAGACGCAGAATCAATAATATATGATGGTCCAGTTACATCTAATCATAATAAAATTCTGTTGGCCAACAAATCTCTGCTATAAACCATGATACCAAAGCCATTTGCCTACAATTAATTAGACGTATCATTCATTTTATCCTCCCGCATAAATAATAGATAATCTCTCATTTGATTAATTTGATCGTTTCGCTTACATCAAATTTTTCATAGAGCCAAATTTTCTCGGATTCGGAGAAACATAAACTTATAAATACACCTGTCCTCGTTCCATGTATGTCATTTGGATTAATTCCAACATCTACGATAGCTTCGTAAGCATGTTTAAGCAACATATTACCTATAGAATTCATCGAATTGGCTTGTTCAAAATATACAACAAAAAATGATGCATCAAATTTTTCAATATTATTAACTTGGCCAGTTCGCTCTGGAATTTCAGGGTGATCTATGATAGATAGCAATAGAAAAATATAACGCTAGTTATCTTACTCTGTAAAATAAAATAGATCGTGTAGGTATTATATAATCGAAACCTTGTTTCCAACGACGATCGTCATCGATAATACAATCTTTGCCGTTAACAAGATTATCTTTCAGTTCCTTTACATTATTGGATTCCGGAAATCTATCAGCAAATCCGGAAATAACAACTTCTTCGCCTGCTTCTGGGTTAGCATATTTGAAGAATCTATATGATTCTTTTGGCTCCTTATATTCACTCATGATATTTCTTCACGTTAAATAAAATGATAGAAATTTGTAGCGAAACTAATCGTAAGTTCGTAATTATTGAAATTGTCGACGATAAACTCTTTTTCATAATAACGCTATATCTCCTTCTAAGAAACTCGTTTTAAGCTATTATAAAAATTTTCCAAATTCACGTTAAGCTTATTTAAATAAAAAAAAGAAAAATATCTTACCTTAATCCTTGTCTTTTATTTTGATCTGGAAATACGTTGATATTATTCAATGTGACGAAATGATCAAGTTTCATAACAATACTTTAAATATCTGATAATTGAAAATCTGAAATTTATATTTTTTTTTAGAATGTACATATGTATTATTTTTTTTCAGAAGTTTCGTATCATAGATGTGCATCAACAGTGATGAATTTACGCTGTAGATTGTAGAGGTAATCATCTCAGATCACTTAAGATAAAGACATTTCTTACACGATAATATAAATTTATATTAACATATAATAAATTTAATGTAATATCTAACAGTTAGTATATAAATTTTATTTCTATATTTGCGACTATAACCAAATTTGAGCAATGCATTTCTCACAACATCATTTGTATGAAGAGTTAAAGAGAAAAAATATATATTGTGTATATTTTAATTGTGTTTTAAAAATTTTTAACGCTTTGAGCTCCTTGAAGATTAAATCCCTCAGAAGATATATAAAATCTGTTTGAAAAACCGTGTAGAAAAAAATAAAAAGAACGTATTTACCATTTTATTTTTAGACTCATGTTTATTTGTGTAATAATACGATTGCAAATTCGAATTTTGAATGCTAAATCGAGAACAATGAAACAACACTATTCAATGACGAAAGAATCGTGTTTCTTCGTAATACCCAAAATATTTGATAATAAAAAATCTTAAATTTATTTTTTGCAGAATATTTGAATGGATAGAGATGACTGTTTATTTATTATTGAATATACAGTAATATATTCAGTAATTTCCTATTAAATACGTCCAGTCATGTTTTTATTAACTAAATAATGTCTGAGCTTAGTCCTAACCATGTTCACCCAAGCGAATATCTTACTTAGCCTGCGAATATCTTATGGGGAGATAATAGTATTAAAATGGTATTAACAACAAAATGGCGAACAACAAATATACTTTACATAAATTAATACTTATAAAAATAAACTTATTTAAAATTTTTCTTGTTATTATAAGACAGCTATTCTATCCTAAAATGATGAAGATGTATTTATTCGTCGGAATGCAGAAGAAAACTGAATTAATATTTTTCACTTAAGAAATATTCGTATTCGTATATATTAGCCAAATGCAACGATTTCGAATTTAAAATTTTAATTGATTTTATTTCCGGTAGATGATATAAGGACAAGTTGGAATATATCAGAATGATTAAAAATTAATAACATGCGTACATATTTTAAAAAAACGGTATTTCAGGGATATTTGGAAAAAATTTTGGTTACGATACGTTAATTTTTGTCAGTTTTACTTAGGATGTCAACTACGAATTATCTCGTAGTTTAATACTACTAGTTTCATTAATTTTTCATAATTATAAAACAGTAGTCAAGAAAAATGTAAATGTGATGCATTCGATTCTATATCTGATTTATTATTAACGAATTCAGCACATCTTTGACTCATCGGAATCTTGACAAATATCATGGAAGTCAAGTTAATTATGGAAGTAAAGAAAGTGCATTATAGGCATTTAATGCTTTAATTAGAATTATATCCATTTTCATTGCTGGTGTAAACTATTATAAAATCAAGGGATAAACAATCTTAAGAACAAACGTTTTGTATACGCACTAGCATATTCTTGATTTTGATTTATTGATAAGATCATATGAATTAATTCTATTAATAAGAAAGAATAATATTTAAGAAATATTATTCGAAATTATAATTTCGAAAGTTATAATTATATATCCTTAGTAATAAGATCTTGTATAATGGTCAACGTCGCCAACTCCCGACGCGACATCTGGAATATAAATATTTATAAATAGTTACTAGCATTGTGCAAATAATCATTTTTAGTATTAAGTACTTAGTAAATATATCTTTTGGAAGACGTTTCTGTAATAAATAATGAAGTTCGTATCAGTTAATCATAATTATATTCTAAAAATCATCGAAAAAAAAAAAACACGTATTAAATTTGCGATATTCAATATAAAATAATTTTGTTGGAACGAGTTTTCATTATCGTGAACATTTAGTTTAACTCACCCAATCTAATCCGCTACAGTATGTTTCTCCAAAAATAGATAAAATAATGTACGATGAAAATACGAATAAAAAGAAATTAAAAAAAAAGGTGGAATGATGTAATCCATCACATAAAATTTATCTCGAAATATTTCCACTCTAATGTATTGTTGCGTGTTACATTTTTTTTTTTTTTTAATAACTTAAATCATTGAAAAATTCAACGGACCTTATTAATACAAACGACGAATTGTGTTACTTCTTATTATTGATAATTTTATTATTCAAATTCACAGTTTCATCGAATAGTTTTTAATACGTACTTTTATTGTTCGCGCGCTATATTATAACGTATTGTGACGATAATAAGTACGATGGCTGTGAAAGAATATAAAGCAGCGCGGCCATAGTGGGGAAAGGAGAAGTGTGGTGGGGGAATGGGGTAGTAGTAGGAAGGAAAGGGGGAGCGCTGGATATCATAGAGTTATTATAAAATAATAATTATATTTGGAAGCATACGTCCACTTTCGTCACCCGCAATAATTGAAAATTTATTACGTGGTATAGACGTCGTTCTCACGATTTTTAAAATGTTCTTGGTGTTGCGTCTTAAGAATATACGCGGCATAATCTCTCGTATCGATTGTTCATACGATATCTCGTATATTTTTTTTTTCAAAGGATCGATCGATCGATCCTAAGAACATGGCAACGATCGCATTATTAATTATTCCGTATATGTTCTTTCTAAAAGTTTCAGATGGTAAAATGGATTGAACTTATTCATTTAAAAAAAAAATAAAGAATAAAAAAAAATTAAATCGTGAAACAAACTTAAGTTAACGAAAACGTGAATTTGTTTATTAATTTAGAATAAATTTCATCATTTTTCATGATACCACCTTCTTCTTAAAGTGGTTAACTCGATATTTAAATATTAATTCTTAATTAAATCATATGCATATTTAATTTAATATATATATTCAGAAAAAATAATTCGATCCATATCCGTCGTCACTTTTAAAGAAGAATTCTAATAGGATACTCGCGTGATACTCGATTGTAAAATTAAACGATCGAGAGGGGTGTTCGACGTAAACTGAATAAATAAATTATTCTCGATTTCAAAACGCTTTTTCGTTATTTTTCACAGACATGCGATTACGCAAACGTTCATCATATACAGTTAATAATAGTTCATACCACCACTCATTGAAATCTTTCTACCTATTGCGGTCATTTTTTCATCGTTCAGCACATACACAATAATCATATTCCATCATTGTTGTTTTAACTTTTCAACAATGAAATATCGATCCAAGATGTAACGCGCCTCCTCGTACATTTTCTATTAATAACATTATTTGCTATGTTTATAATACAAGTGTCTTTTTTTGTTTTTGTTATTTTTTTTCTTCTTCTTTTTTCCTTTATTTCTTTATTCATTTATTTATTTATTTATATTATCAGCAGAGAGTAATAGTTCGTTTACTCATAATGCTTTACGAGAGCATATAATTGCGATTCTCTTGTTTAGCGTCTCGTTCTACCTGACAACCTAACACCGATCACCTGTCTAATAACTCCGTTTCGTCGGGTCTCTCTCTTTCTCTCTCTCTCTTAGCAGTCTTGTAAAGTCTTCCTGTCTGCATTTTAATATATACGTTATCTACAAGAACCGAGGAATGTTACAAGAGATCGGGATGCTCAGAAAAATATTCGTGATCGCAGAAAAGTCAACTAATAAGTCACTCGAGGCACAATTCGCTGCTAAGTTAAACTAAAATAGTTTTCTTCCCTTCTCTCTTCTCTTTCGCCCTAATTTCTCTATCTCTCTCTTTCTCTCTCTCTTTCGCATCGTTTATCATATATCATACGATTAGGAATTTGGAAAAAAAAATTAAAAAATTAAAATAAAATATGATATATAAACGAACGAAAGAGAGTGACCACTTTGTGAACAAAAAAAAAAAAAAAAAAAAAAAAAAAAAAATCATTACAATCGTGATGTCCTTCAATATGCAATCTTACAAACGAAAATTATACGCAAAATAATCAAGAGCGCAGAAAGCACAGAGAGAACGCAATAATAGCGCAAAACCTTGTACAAAAATTCTTATATTGTTTCTTTTTCGTTATATATGTATTATGATAGCTTAGGACTTAAATCGTTCGGTGCAAATGCGAAGAGGATGTATGTATGTATGTGTCTTTTTAGGTATCGTTCGCCGTACGCACAGTCACTATGTTCTATCGTTTGTTTTTCTTTTTTTTTCTTTTCCTTTCTTTGCCTCAAGAATATAATAATATCGCAACGATCTCTTAAATGCGATGATAAAATTATCCAGATCATTTCAGCGGAATAATAATATATAATACGCACACAAAAATGGATATTTCGTGTATACGCGTGTAGTATGTTTTTCTTCTTTCTATATCATGTCGTTCCGCATACATGCGCGCGCGCGCGCACGCACAAATACAAGAGTAAAGACACTACACTTAAGTTGCGAGCTATAAAAATCCTAACTTCTGGATTATACGTACGTGGTCTCGTTAATAAAAATAGAGCTTTAGCTAATTGATACAATGACATTTATTATTATCACACGAGACAGGTCCTGCGAGAGCCAAAGTTCTAAATCTCGTTTTAATATTCAGTGTTTCTTTTTTCTTCTTTTTTTTTTCTTTTCTTTTTTTTTTTCTTTTTCTTTTTCATTTGAATTAGATTTATAGTCCGGATGTGTACGGATATAGCGACAGTCGTAAGGCATTTCGAGCAATCTAACAGAATTAGAAAGAATTGTTACGGCGTGTCTTCTCCTACCCGTGAATAGGAATGAGAGTGGAGGTTGGAGTAGGGGGTGGGGTGATAGCTTTCGAGAAGATAAGTTATTATCGTATTGCTTTTATAATATAAAGTTTTTTCTTTCTTTCTTTTTTTTCCTTATTAACTCTTTAACCAACCACCTCGCCGATTTTAGAATCATTCGCTGAACGATTTCAATAAAGACGAAAATAATTTTAATTTTCTCTCCGTCCATTAATCGACTCATTTTTTTCCCTTGCATTTTCACGGATTATGTATGTATATATATCCTAAGATTAATCTTTTGCATTATTTATCTTTCTTCCTCTCCCTATCTCCCTAACACCTTCCCTCTCTCTCTCTCTCTCTCTCTCTTTCTCTCATTATCGCATTATTCGATTCATTTTTTTAATCCTAACAACCAATCAATCACACAGTTAAATCATTTATAATCTAATGAAGCAAGATATCAGATCATCGTTATTACCATGACTAAACCTGCATAGCAGTTAACAAAAAACAAAGACGGAAACAAATAACGAAAAGATAATAGTAATATTACTACTATGGATTAGTAGGATGAGTTGAGGATGATGATGATGATGATGATGACAATGATAACGATAATAATAATGATGTTGTTGTTACGTACTAAAAAGTAATGTTACGATTTTGATGACTGTAACATAAAGACGAAATATGAATTTTCTTAATATATATATACGTATTTATATAATATATGTATCTTAGACAAGGTATAAAGGTATATGATGATCATCGATCTTTCATAATACCTTTACCTTTTTTATTTTTTGTTTTCTTTTTTTTTCATTATTTCTTTCTTATACATTCTCATTTTTTGATCTTTTCTTGTCTTTCTTCATGGATATTTAACATCAAGGAACGACTTTCCTAAACGTAGTAGGTCTGCTTTTACATAAGATAATTTTTCAATTACACATTACACAAACATAGATTTCATAGATTTTCGATATATAAACTGACGTGATGTATAAATAATATAAATTTTTTATACGTTGAGCAAAGTCTCAAAGTTCGCAAAAATTCTATGCACATCTTTTATACGATATTGCAATTATCATGATTCATGCAGTGCAGTCAATATTATTAAAACTGCTCAAGCTTTTTTTTTTATTTATTTTTTATTTTTTTTTTTTTTTTTTTAACTATTTTATTATGCTGATATATATCAAGTTGCAAAGTGATATATTTGTGTATCATTTTCTTTATACTAATTCTCAATTTTTGAAAAAGAGAGAGAGATGATCTTTTATTATTGAAATATTTTTTGTCTTTCTCCTATAAAGCCAAATTTTTTTTAATAATAAAGACTATGGAGAAAGGTTTGCAGTCTGTTAATTTTAAACTGCATTACAGGAAGCATAATAATGCGTTAATTATTCCATGAGTTGAAAACAAAATGTTTATCCTAATTAATAAACAAACTTAATTGCATAATTCCAAATCATTAATTTTGAAAAAATATCCTAGTTAAAAGACTTTTAATGTGTGCGATTTTAAATTAATTAATATCAATCTATTATTGTTATTTATAATTAATAGAATATGTAACAGTTCTCTTTTTTCTCTCTTTCTCTCATGTTGCTTTCTTTTGCTTTTTTTCACATGTAACGTTAAAGAATCGTTTGTTGAAGTGGAAAATATTTATTCTTTATCGAAGGAAATAATTTCCTAAGAAAAGGTAGTTCCTAATGTGTTTTTTTCTTTCTTCTTTTTGTTTTTTTTTGTTTTTTTGTTTTTTGTTTTTTTTTCTTTTTTTTTTCCTTTTTTTTTTTTTTTTTTTTTTTTTTTGATATGGAAAATCATTAATCGTGAATATACATTAGTCTGGTGCTTTATACATTTTTGAGTGCTTTTTATTCTCTCTGTTCCATTACCAAAATCTTTGTATCCTGAAGTAGCATGTGTTATGAAATTGTTTATATTATAATCCGTATTAAAAACACCTGTAAGAATTTAATACTTTAGAATTCCTGTTTTAATAATCGAGCACTCTTAATGCGCTTCAAGGCACTTATGAACCATTATTTAAGCAAAAACAGATAAGAAAATTAAAGGTAAAGTAATAGACATTAACAAAACAAAATAGATTAAAAAGATGAGAAGATTATTATAAATGTAAGGAAAATTCAACAAAATGATGTTGATTTTTTAAATTATCTTTTACGAAAGACGCTATAAAATGAAAAATAAAACTAAATAAAATTGACAGCCTTAAGAACATTTGGAGCACCCCAATGTATATGCATAGCAAAATCCAGACTGCATAAGTATATGCTGAGATATACTAACTATATAAAAAAATATATATGAAGGTGTTGTTTAAAAGAAGCCTGCTTTGTATTTCAAAATTAGTGCAATCATCAATTGAATCTTTTGCCTAAGATAAAACTTATTATATTCTGTCTCTTTTAGGTTTTATAGTTCTACTACACAATATTTAAAGGATAGTATAAATACTAAATACAACATAGATACGAAGAGCTTGGCTTTTTAGCCATACTTAAACTGAGTTAAACCCTTGATAGGTACTTATTCGAAATTTACGTTACTCGTGTAAGTTATTAGTTAAGTTATTATTACATACTTCATGTAGAGTCTGCAAGTCCAGCTTACCATCGACAACTGCAATGTATTCACTGTTTATATGCATATACGTTTCAATAAATAATTAATAAGAGTAATATTAGAAAATCCATATTCTTTTCGTAATTATGCCTCAGTTCCTATTTTATCTTTTACACAAATAATTCCATATAAATGAATGTTTTTTTTTTGTTATTGCTGTACCATAACATTGCTTCTTACTTTTCTTATCATTTATAACAGTTTTTACGTTTTAAGATTTTATTTTTTATCCGAATCCTTTGAAGCAGAAATTTGTGCCATATATTCCTTGATCCTATTATTAGCTAATGCAATATAGGAAATATACGTAACAATAGCTTTATTATGAAAATAAAAATAGGAAAATGTGTGTAGGCCTATATATAAGATTTGTTTGTTCCAGTATTGGTAACTGATGTTATTCATTCAGCTAGATGCACACTAAGCAGAGTTTACTAATAAATATTCAAAACAATTTAGTACGAAGATTTAGTAGCAAATTTTTCCATGAAAAAAAGAAAAGAAAAGGAAAGAAAAAAAAAAGAAAAGAAAAAAAAGCGAGAAAGAAGAAAAGTAAAGAAACATGATCTTATATACTGAACTATCATGTTTTATAATTATTACTATTATTAATTATATAATGATCTTCATAAAATATTCATGAATATGAAAGTAAACGATTAAATCTCATTGGCACACGTGATAGTGATTCATTTTTTTTTTTTTTAAAACCCAATTTGATAATCAAGTGGATAAATAAAGCCAAATTGCCTGTGCTATATAATCAGCTCCTGCCGAAACATCGGTTATATATCCACTGTCTTTCATTGATAGTATTATTTTTATAACTGATCGTAAGACGTTACGTTAAAACACTTTTTATATAATATATGAGCGAATTAGATATTTTCACTGACCGTCTCTGCATAGTGTAGTAGCGCAATTACTGCAATAGCACAAGTAAGCTAAAAATTCAGCTGCACGTTTGGTGTAAGAAAACTTTATAGTAATCGTCATTACAATTGTCAAATAATTGATTAGACGATTCACTTTATCAATTGAGAGTGACTCCATGTGCAAACTTATTTGAACTAGTCAACTTAAGAGTTTTGGGAGCTTTTATGCATGTGTCTTAACTTACATGCATTTATGTACATGTATGCGCGTGGCAAGGTATCAGGTGCAAATCTCTGCATGTAGGTGTATATATAACTTATATGAACGTGTGAGCTGTGTGGACGGCGCTATGTACACCACTTTTCTGTCAGTCGACCATTGACATGCAAATAGTCGACTTTCGTCAGTGTAATTCAGACACCTATTATTTCACCGTGCCTATTTAATTCAACGTGCCTCGCTCACGTCAATATATACCGTTGTATTATCTGTAATAAAATAAATTAACTAATATTTTATATTTTAAATTGCTGTACAGATAGGTTATCTTCTTTATTTAAAATCTTATTAAATATGTATTTGCAGCATACTTGCATGCAGATGTGCTAGAGTTTGTCTTGGAATAAGAAAAGATTATTTGTGGCTGCAACTGCTACAACATTTTCAGATGGATGCCACGCAGTATGTAATATTTTTTTGTTGAAATCCAGACAATCGACACTAATCTCATCCTTTTTACGTTTACCACCAGTGCACACCTATCATATGAGAAGGTAAATAAGTTTTATACAATTATCATTTGACAATATATATTTGTAAAAAACGCAAACCAACCTTACGAGGCTTCAGAAGAGTTTTTGGTTTGGCAATGTCACGTGCTGCTTCCAAAGTTAAATCACGTTTGGTATTACGATCAAATACTCTAAAGAAATTATTATATGAGCCTGTCATAATGGCACAATCATTACCACTCCAACAGCACTCAAATTTGTCGAAGATGCAATCATTTTCATAAAGTGAACATAATTTTGATCTTAAATATTCATGTACCTAAAATTATCCATATGAACATTAATAAAATGCATTAAATAATTACATTCTCATAAAAAAGGGTATTGAGAAAAAAATTATTCTTTCAAAGCATCTGTTACTTACAGGATAGCATTCAATGGGTTTTGTTTCCATTTGTAGATCCCACACTTTAACACTGAGGTAGTCCCTACTAATCATGTATCTACCAGAATTACTGAGCTTAACATCACTTATACTTGAGATTATCTCTGAGAAAAAACTCTTATTGGTCGGATCTTCTGGTTCTTCAAAAAGTTTACTATGATGATCACAAAGAGCAGCAGATCTCATATCGCAAAGTCTGATGGTCCCTTTGCTACTACTATAAACCAAGACATTACATTCTACAGGATGAAATTCTGCAGCTGTTATGACTTCTGTCAATTCTTCCATGTTAGTAGGCTTTATATCTACTATATCTGTATATTATCATTAAGGAAACTTTATAGATTTTCAAACACAAATATTATATATGTTAATTACATGAGAAACACATATGATTATCGATTAAAAAAGGATACTAAAACTCTGATCAGTAATTTCAAGATGCCACAAATTAATTCTAAGATCATCTGCACTGAGGTACGTTTCTTGATCACTGTTTACACTTATACTGTTTATATGGTAAGTGTGCGCATTGGCAAATATTCTCCTTGGTGATGCCTCTACCATTAATTCCATTGGTTTTATGGTTGGCACCTAAATAATACAAATATGCATTGTTTACTTACAATTTTCAATGATTTTAAATGAATTCCTCTTTCTATTGCATTTATTAAACTCACCCTCAAGGCAGTTATACAGGCAGGGTCCCGGATCGCACCATTCTCTTCTTTCGTATTATATCCTTCCACTCTTTTATCCCTTTCACTAACTTTCCACAATTTTATTGTCTTATCATTCGTGGAAAGTAAAAAATGTGCAGGGTTTTTTCTTTTTAACCACCTAATTTTATTAATTTTTTCCTCTATTTCTAATGATTTCAGGTAATCAAATTCAGGCTCATGGCTTTGGAAAGTGCTGTATACATTATATTCACCTCTCCGTGGTATACTGTTTTTACTCTGTATAAAGAAATATTTTTCTAAATATTCTATAATTAAAGCGCAATGATGATGCATCAGCACCAATTATAAATTTGCACTAAAAATTAATGGTCACAATGTCTTCCTTAAATGATTAATCACCTAACTGAATAAACTAACTTCAATACAACCACTTTACCAATAGTATCTTTTAAGCGAACATGGTGTTACCTTTAATAGAGTCAGTGAAAAGCTATTATAGCTCAATAAAGGATCACCTATACAAGATTGTCCGAAGTTACATAAGCTCTACCTCAAATCATGGCTACTCATACTGACTTCTTGGTAATGAATGTACTGTCTGCAAACGTAGTAACAGTTTGCACATATCAGTTATTAGTATCCTAAATACTAAATGTATATACAAATCTCACACGAGTGAGAACCATATTATCATGTTCGCGAACATGGTATATAATTTCTTATTAATCGACATACTTTCTTATTCAATGAAACAGGTAGAGAATAAGTTGGGTTTATAATACATTCCCAGGATATTCGTTAATACTTACAATAGGATCCCTTTGAAAAATAACAACTCGTCCGCCCTTATCCCCAGTTGCAAGAAGGTCACCATCGTGATTAAATTCAACACACGATATTATATCAGCTAAAATATCAATAAGTAATAATAAGTACATATTTAAAGGAAAGAAAACAATGCAAGGATTATTATATAACTTATAATTTTGAAGCTTTTTCATATTATCATATGGTAATAGCATATTGTTCCTCTAATGGAAAGTAATTAAAATAATCCCCTTTATAAAACCCCCTTAATAAATGCTTGCCTTCGGTAACGTCGTCTTCCAAAGTCCCTTTCACTTGCGAAAAACACCACTGAATGTCACCATTGCCTGTAATATAAAAGCAAATCTTTATTAAATCTTGAACAACAAGAATCCCTAAATGTTCATCCTTATATGTTAATCATCCTGATATAAATAATAAGTGCACATGTATAAATGAAGTGTCCTTACTCAACCAATACACACATACACACACACACACACACAAAATTATCTTTGTGAAGAATTTCATAGATTCATACATTGGCGCATAATCGAGAGTTAAACACCATGAAGAATTGTAAGCTCAAAAGGAGGTTAGAAACATTAAAAACAATTGCGACGAGATGGAAATGTTTGCGACGAATTAACACCAATGACGCGACACGGGGTGCCGATAAAGAAGAAAAAAAAATAAAAAAATAAAAAATAAAGAAAATAAAAACAAAAGAAAGAATGTTTCATAAAACTCCGCGACATGGCTGTTATTTGATCACTATGAGAACGCGGAAGACGTAACGATAACATTGGAGTAGAAGAGATAGAAAAGTGATAGTGTAGTAGCAGAATGCAAGAAGAGACAAGATAGCGTAAGAGAGACAGAAAGCGAGAATAGGAAAAGGAATAAGAATGATATATATATATATATATATATATATATATATAGAGAGAGAGAGAGAGAGAGAGAGAGAGAGAGAGAGAGATAGAGAGAGAGAGAGAGAACCAAGAGAGAAAGAGGAAGAAAGAGAGTGTGTGTAAGGTCACGGCGTGAGTTAAACGACAAAACCGAACACAGAGGAAAGGTAAAAGCCATCCTACTTGAAGTTTCGGCGTAATCCATCATGCTTCTAGGCCGCTACCGGCTTCGCCGTCGCCACCGTTGTCGCCGTCGCCGTCGCGGTCGCGGTCGCTACCGGCGACAAGCGCATCTGGCCTCGCGCGACGCACGAGGAGAGCGTAGAATCGTGAGCGCGCGGCGTGCGGTGGGCGCGTGCGAGATAATATTCGAGAGAATATGCGAAGAAATCAAGGAAGATAGAGAAAAGAGAAAGAGATAAATGGCGGAAGGTAAGCCCCCAGTTGCACGTAGCGCTGCTGCAGATATATACCCGTGAACCCCACGAGATAACTAGGTCAAGGTTCACCCTGCCGCGGTACGGTGCGGCACGGTGAAACGGTTGCACAAAGAGGAACGCGACAAATGTACGTAAGGAACGCGACGAAGAAACTCGAGGAGCCAAGAGAGACGCAGAAGAAGAATAATCACGCTGTCTCGATGGCTCTCTACTCCTTTTTTCTCTCTCCCTCTCTTTCTCTCTCTCTCTCTCTCTCTCTCTCTTTCTATCACTTTTTTATTTTCTCTTTTCTTGCACCGTAAGGCACGCGTATAGATAGAGACACGCGTACTAGAGACGTGTGTGTGTGTATATATATATATATATTCACATACACATATATATATACATAAGAGTACTCGTGGTGAGTAACCTGTCTCTCTCTATCTTTCTATTCTCTATCTCTCTCTCTCTATCTCTATCTCTATCTCTATCTCTACCTCACTCTAATTAGAGAGATACATATGAGCAGACGCAACGCGGACAAGAGAATACGAGGGAGAGAGAGCTGCGTGTGCCGCTTACTTACCGGCCATCTCGCATACACACACACGCGCGGCGAGATGCAACGCGCGTTAAAAACCTTTTTTCTTTTCTTTTCTTTTTTTCTTTCTTTTTGTAACGAGTAGAAAATACTCTCCGACTGTGAGAAAACAACGGTACGTTTTATTTCTTTTTTTTTTATCCCACGCGTAATATTACAAAGCTTGCTTTGCTAAAGGATTATCGGTAGCGAGCTTGCGAGCATACCAGGAGCACACACGACACGACACGACACGGCACGGCACAGCACGGCACGAAGATTCAACGCGTATATAATATATCTTCTTCTCACGCGCAGTCACACGGACGCGCGCGCGCGCGCGCTCTCCTGCCGCCACCGGGGACTTAACTACCACCGTCGTTACAGCCGGTTTCGTAAAAATAAGAGAGGACGTGTTGTGCGGTCCCTCGAGATGGCTTTATATTAAATTCTTTCACGAAATTGAAGATACACGCGCGCCAGCCACGGCCACGGGACTTCTCGAATACGGTCCTCCTTTACGTACGCCCTCTCCTACGTCATATATCCAACGCGCTTCTTCGCATGCCGCTCGTCATACACCGTGAAAGAGAGCAAGATAGCCGCCGAACCGTACGCGAAATACTTTCTTTCAATGGCGGAGGAGATACTCAAGAACGCATAACCGCGCGACACAACTCCCTGCCGTGACGTCACGCACACACCGTGCAACCAGGTTTAGTTGC